ACACACACACACACACACACACACACACACACACACACACACACACACACACACACACACACACACACACACACACACACACACACACACACACACACACACACACACACACACACACACACACACAAATACACACACACACACATTTATTTTCTCAATCTGTCTATGTTGCTTGCTCCATGCAATGTCTTCCTCAGAGAACGGGCCCTGGGGTCGCCTGGAAGTCCTCGAGTGCGGCAGTCTGCGCATCCACAGCAGTGGCAGCAGTCCACGTTGGGGTTTTCGCTTGTTGCTTACTCCCTTACTGCAGCGGCTTACCGACGAGGAGGCCCTCAAGGGGTGGAATCTGCATCTTGCGGCAGAAATGACTCTCCTTCTCGCTGCCTTCACTCCACAACGCAAACACGAAGGTATTGCGCGCGCACACCACGCAAGAAAAAGGCGTAGCCTCGAAATCCAAAATCCCCAAGCTCCAGTCCTTGCGCACGACTTGCTCAGGGCACAGCCTTGAGACGGACACACGCATTCAGGGAAAAATCAGCGCCATGAGCACTACGCCGCCTCCTCCCCACCCCACCCCACCCCACACTCTCTACCCCCGCGCACACTAATACGATCGCTTTCTCAACTCGTGCTGTTTGGACTGCCTGTGTGGTTCCGTGTCTGACTTGCTTGCAGAGGTGCTCGCGCCGATCGTCGCATTTCTGCTGAAGAGAACGTCTTCAATCGTAGACAGGCCCGCTGCTGTATCCTTGCTGCGGCAGCTGCTGCATTTGCTGCAGCCGCTTTCGTATGCTCCCGCCGCAACCCTCCGCACGCCTGAGGAGCAGCTGGCCCTGCAGCAGACGCTGCTGCTGCAGTCTTTGCAGAAGCACCAAACCCACCCCCACGGTTCGACTCCGAACCTTCCCCACACCTACGCGTGCTGCAACGCCGGTGGCAGCGGGCTGTCTCTACAGCGTAGCCTTCGCCTCACCCGTGCGCTGCTGCAGCTCCGCGCTGAGGCTGCCGCAGTCTTCGGAGCCTTGTACAGCCGGCTGGAAGCAGTGACAAACGGGGGCTTCGCAGGTAGCACAAAGCTGCTCTCGGGTATGGGGGTTCTCGCTGCTGCTGCACAAGCGGAGGCAGCAGGAGAGGACTCACACCCCACATCTCGGTGGCTTGCCGAGGAGAAAGCTGGCGCAGATGCGCGCAGGGAATGCCACACGGACAGACTTAGGGCTATGACAGAGGTGCTCATGCTTTGCTATGAGCACCGTCTTGACCCCCTCATCAGGAGTCTCTGCGGCTTTGCCACCTTTCAAGAGGCGTCGCTGCAGCCAGCGCCTCTTCAGCAAACTCAGCAGCACAGGCACCAGCACGATACGCAAGAGACACACGTGCCTCCTGATTCGGCCCGAACAACTGTACGCCGGCAGGAGGACGTCTCACACATTCCTTTCGACTGTCTCTCCATCGCTCTCGGAGCTCCTGGAAGCCTGCCTTTCTCCGGTGCCGCAGCAACAACAGCAGCACCAGCAGCAGCAGCATCAACAGCAGCAGCATCAACAGCAGCGCAAACGACAGCAACAACAGCAGCAGCATCAACAGCAGCGCAAACGACAGCAACAACATCAACAGCAGCAACAACAGCAGCAACATCAGCAGCAACAACAGCAGCAACAGCGGGATCAGCAGCGGAAACAGCAGTGCAAACAACAGCAACAACAACAGCCCAAGCAACAACAGCACAAACAGCAACACCCGAAAACGGGCAGAGCCCTGTGCGTAGTGGAGAGGAGCTGCTGCGTCAACCCATGCAAAATGATTCCACAGCAGAGGCAAAACTCTCTTCCGGCCTTCAGCAGCAACAGCCCGCAGTGACAGCACGCAAGCAGCAACAAGCTTGTCTGCAGCCTCCCGCGAAGCAAGAAGGACATAAATACGAAGGCTCTGCATTGCTTTCAGCTCTCAGTCTGATTTCTTTCTACAGGCAGCAGAAGCCGTTTTTCGTGCTGCCCTTCGCCGTGGAGGGTTGCGCAGCTGTCATTGGGCAGAGACCATGGCCTCAGCAGCAGATACCCAATGCAATGCCTTCACAAATAAGACGCCCACCGATTGATCAGACACAGCCTGACAGTGAGGCTCAGCAGGGAACTCCAGGAGTCGCTGCGCTCCCTGAGCAGCAGGAGCACCACCAAACCCTGCTGCCATCCGAGCAGCTACAGCAGCAGCAGCAGCAGCAACAGAATGAGCGGCAGGAACGTTTTTTCGGATCGTGGTCTGCCTCCGCAGGCTTCGTAGAGGGCTTGCACCCCACAGACGCTCTCCCATCACCAGATCCTTCTTCCTTCACGCAGCAGCAGCAGCAAAAGCAGCAGCCACGACGGCTTCCCCTGGGGAGTGCACAGGTATCCCTGCAATATCTTACAGAGCTCTCGCGCCTCCGACTGCGGCTTATCCGTGCATCTTTGGGTATACACGACGTCACTTCTCTTCTCTCAGGACTGCTCTTTGCTTTGGGGAATGCGTCGCTGCAGCTCCCTCCAGAGAGGGCCTTCTGGCTGCCCCTTCTGCAGCTGTGCAACCTTGCAGCAGCAGCAGCGCATACAGGCATTGCTGGTAAACTCTCAGCCTCGACCGGTGCGCAGTCCGCCTCCCCACACGCAAAGAGACAAACAGTGCGTGAAACGCAAGCAGACGCTGCCACGTGTGAACTCAAAGAGGATGCGATGAGAACAACGCCTCAGCACCAGCTGGTTAAGCGGCTTCTTTGCCACCTTCCCACTGCTCAGCAGAGTCTCATTTCGGCTGTCCTCTGCTGTGGAGACACCACAACCTTAACGGCCTCCCCGGAGACCGCCTCTCATTCCTTAGCAGAAGCTGTAGCATCTGTACCTGCCGACATACAAGACGCACTCCTGAAAGAGACGCTGCGAGTTTGGTTCGTAGCAGAGAGGGCTGCCTCGGGGGAAGTTCTTTACGGGGATTTTGCCGAGTGGCCTGTTGGAGCCACAGTCTTTCTTTCCGCCTTTCCCCCTCCGTGGCTTACGCGCTGTCTGCTCGCGGTAAACTTTTTCAAGATATGCTCGCTGCAGCGGGATGCTGCTCTCCTCCAGCAGCATCTGGCAGAGGGAGAGCTTGCTGCCGCATCAACTGCCGCAGGAGCTGCTTCTGCCGATGCGCATGCAGAGCCCAACGGATCGGCTACCTCCCCACTTCTGGCAGACGTTTCCAACGCTCTTGTACGCAGCACACACGCCACGGAGAGTTGTGCGGTACCAGCAGCACTGGGTGAACCAGGCGAAAAGCATCTAGAAATGCAACAAGGCAGATGGCAACGCCAGCTGAAGCCTCAACAGCGTCTCGCGCCACTGTATCGTCTGCTTTCACGTATTCCTGTAGTCCCTTCAGAGGAGGCTGCCTATGCGGCCTCTAAGGGAGCCTCTTCCCATGCGACACCCGCTTGCTCGCTCAGTGTGTCACCTTCTAAGAGTGTGCCAGCGGAGGATGCTGGGAATGCCTCTAGTCGCCAATCCCTGAGACGCGCGAAGGTGCAGGACGTCAGCAATTCCAGCTCGGCATGCGTCAGCACTGCCGCTTCCAGCAGCTGCAGCAGACGCGGTAGTACAGACATCCCCGCCGCTGAAGAGGTCTCTCTTCGGCTTGCCGCTACCCGCGAGGTTCTGTTGCGCTGCGTTGCAGAGACTGCAGCAAGGCAGCACTATTGGCCAGTTTTCCCGGGGGTGGTGCCTGTAGGCGAGGCCCCAGACAAGGCGCCTTCGGCTACTGGCGTCGAGTGTACGTACAGCGATCGCGGCAGCAGCAGTGGCAGCAGTGGCAGCAGTGGCAGCAGCAGGGAGCGGTTCGACGCCGGGAGTGAGGATTCGGTGCTGACCTGCTGCAGAAGTGCCTTTCCCCCGCCAGTAACCTCCCCGTCTCTTGATGTCAGACCGCCGTGCACCTTTTCCTTCTGGCTGTACGACGATGAAGACGCCATCCTTTGCGAGCAGCAGCCAGAACAACAGCTTCCCCCCCCGCTCCCCCAGCCAGAGCAGCCCTACCCGCAAGCGCCTGCAGAGCAAACCTGCGGAAATGAGAGAATCCCCAGGAGCAGCTCCAGCGTGTGTCGTACCGCAGGGGGGCCCTTGCCTGGGCAGGTGGTCATGCCCCCTCCTCCTTCGCACGTTCGCAGTAGAAGCAGCAGCACAAGGATCACGAGCTTCTCCGGGAGTGCAGAAACAACTGTGCTCCGATGGCGGCCGGCAGTCTATCGTCAGGCAGCTCCGAGAAGCACCACAAGTCCGATGAGCACCGCTGCCGTCTTGGGGGCAGCAGGAGAAGACATCCTTGGCGAACAGCAGCAGCAGCTGCTGCAACAGCAGCAGCTTCAAGACCAGCACGTACCCGGCTCTAGGCAGCCTACTGACGGCAGCAACCGGAGCCAGGGAGCAAGCAGGCATCTAGCAGCTGCTATGCCGTCTAGACGCGAGAGACGGAACGGTGCATCCCCAGCTCAGCATCCCGGAGACTCTTTGCCCTTTGACAGTCCTTGGCGGCATCCTGGGGAGCATCCGGAGGCTCTTGACTTGGATCTGCCCGCTGCCTCGAGCCTAGCAGATCCAACAGTCGAAGACAGTGCTGCTTTCGACACGCTGCACACCTACGCGGCGTGGCTGGCAAGGAGTCACGGCTCTGAAGAGGCTTACACACACACGCAAAGAGACTGGGAAGGCCTCCCCCAACAGGGGGGGGTCCTGCAAGGAGATGAGGCCCTCCGCCATCAAGAAGCTTCTTCACGCGCGAATGAGGAAAACTTCATGCCAGCATTGCATCAAGATGACGGCCTTTCAGACGCCGCCGAAATGTGGCAACGATTCGCTATATCCACAGACGCCGGAGTCTGGCAACAGCAGCAGCAGCAGCAGCAGCCGTCTGAGGGGCACCCAAGCCAACAGATAGAGCTTCACATGCAAGCACAGCAGCAGATGCAGCAACAGCAGATGCAGCAACAGCAGATGCAGCAACAGCAGATGCAGCAACAGCAGATGCAGCAACAACAGATGCAACAACAACAGATGCAACAACAACAGATGCAGCAACAACAGATGCAGCAACAGCAGATGCAACAACAACAGATGCAACAACAACAGATGCAACAACAACATCATCATTCAATCGAGCCAGCAGACGACGGGGACCTCCGACAGCGGGATGCCTTTAGCTCTCGGTGGTATTCCCCTTGGGGGGAGCCAGACAATTCTGAAAACTCTCCTACGCCGCATCATCCTTTCTCTCACCGAAGCCTACGGCAGCAGGTGGTTCGAAGGGGGGGAGGTGTGACGCGCATTGCTCTGATAGCCCGTGGAGGTCCTCGGCCGTATCGACAGCTGCTGCAACGCCATGGAGACGTTGCAGCCTCTCCTTCGCCATACACAGACAGCAACAGCGAGAGCCCCCAGCAACCGCAGATGCAGCAACAGCAGCAGATGCAGCAACAGCAGCAGATGCAGTACCGTCAGTCGGTAAGCGGGCAGGTGACCAGTCAACTGCTTCGGATGGCTTTGGCTGAAGCTGCAGCAGAGAGGGAGGTGGACGGCTGTATTAACAGCAGCAGCAGCACGGGTAGCAGCAGCAGCAGTAGTAGTAGTAACCCTAGCTGCTGTTGTTGCTACACCCTGCCAGAGGGCGTCTCCCCGTGGCGGCTTGTGTGGGTACGTGGGTGTGTCAGTGAAACAGTATCCGTATGGATTTCTCCTGAGAACCGCGTGTACGCTCAACTGCGCGTCCCTCTCCAGACGACCACATACACCGATTACCAGGCAGTTGCCGCCTCGCTGGCTAGCAGCAAGCCTCTGCCTCGCCGTCGATGGACTCATGTGGGCTTGAGTGTGGGAGCCGTCATGGGAGAGGGTTCAGTCCTGGGGATGCGGCTTTTTTTGGACGGGGAGGAAGTGGCTGCAGCATCCATAAGCAGCAGATGCTGTCTGTGTCAAGGGCCTCTGCCCTTCTGGGTAGCCCCTTTGCCGCTGCCTCTCCGGCTCGAGGAGGTAATGCGTTCCCCTCCCCACCCGCCTTTGCCGCAGCAGCACCAGCAGCAGCAGCAACTGCGGAAGCCCAAGTGCAGGGCGCACTCTATGAGGGGCCTTATGGCGGATTTGAGAGTCTACCCTGCCTGTCTTAGCGCTCGCGAACTGCAAGCCATGGTCCTCACGACGGATGCTGCCTACGGCTCCGAGCGGATAGCGCAGCTTCTCCACCGTCTGCACAGCAACCACGATAGCAGTGCTGCTGGCAGCGGCATGGGCACAAGCAGCTGTCTCAGGATCCCCCTTACGCAGCGCAGCGACACACACACAGAGACCTGGAGCGCAGCCGTGACACCAACAAGGCAACAAATGCCTCCTCCCCACCACCAACAAACTCCGCGAAAACCACAGCCTGACGAGCTTCTACTCATGCACCTCAGTCACGACGAGGATTTGTTGCAGCTGTGGCGACAGCAACGGGGGTGGACAGATTGGGAAGACACTCGACGGCCCCTCCCTGCTGATCCACGTACAGTCCTTTGGCGATACGCGGGGGGCCAAATGCACCAACACCAGCAGCAGCAGCAGAAGCAGCAGCAAGAAGTGCAACAACGCTGTCATGAGCCGCAGCAAATGCAACAGCATCCTAATCATGTTCAGCAGCAAATGCAACAGCATCCTAGCCATCCACCCCAAAAGCAGCAAATGCAACATTATTATCATCATCAGCAACCCCACCAGCAGCAAACCCAACAATATCACCATCACCAGCAGCAAACGCAGCAGCAAATGCAACAACATCAACCCCCGCAACTGCAGCAGCAACATCACCATCAACCCCAGCAGCCTGGAGGCAAATGGGAACTGGTGTTGCAGCATGTGGATCTGCTGGTGAGCGAGGAGGTTATGAGTGGAGTCTTGAGTCTTCTGGATGCGAGCACTGAGCTCAGGCAACTAAGCGATCCAGCAGGGGCAGCAACAGGCAGTGGCAATGCCAGTTCTGTTGAAAACCGCGGAGACATCGACACTGCGCACCACTTCAGCTCGTTGCTGCTGCAGCAAGAGGGTGGAAGACCCTTGCAACAGCACGAGCACCTTTCATCTGCTTTACTGCGAAAGCTTCTCGCTGCCAATCAAAATCTGTGGGGGGTGGCCGAGGTGTCTCTGCAGCTCTGCAGAGCTCTTACGCAGCTGGTTGTTTCCATCGGGCCGTGCTTGGAGATCTTCTCCCCGAAGCGATCCTCCTTCTCGCTCGTGCTGCAGAGATTCAGGTGCCCTGTCAGCGCTGCTACTCTTAGAGGGTTGCTGCTGCACCCGCATCTGCTGCATCTGCTGCATCTGCCACACCTGCATCTGCTGCACCTGCATCTGCTGCTGCTGCCCTTGATTATGGTGCACACGCGTTTCTGTCTCGCCGCTTCTGGCCCGCAGTGCAGCCTTTTACATGTAAATAATTATGTGACACTCAACTCGCTGTTTGATGGCAGAGAGCCCGTTGGAGATCCAGGGGCCCTGCTGTGTTTGTCCTTGTGGAGATACCCTGTGTGGCTAGCTGGCTGGAGAGCTAGCTACCTATTGCGCTGTCGATGCATATGCTTCGTCGATCAACGTGCATGTAGCCTGTGTGGCTGCCTTGTGGACTCCTCAGGCACCTGCTTCCAGGCAGCTTGAAGCGCTGGCTCGTCAGTCTGTGCTTGTCTTTGTCAGAAGATCCCCGTGCGGACGGCCGTTTGCGTGTGAGCATCAACAGGGCACGAGCGCTGCGCGCCGCAGAAGGAGCAGCAACTGCAGCTGCGACGGCTCCTGCAACTGCGACGGGGGCTACAACTGCGTCTGCAACTACACCTGCAACTACACCTGCAACTACACCTGCAACTACACCTGCAACTACACCTGCAACTACCCCTGCCGCTACCCCTGCCGCTACACCTGCAGCTGCGCCTGCGCCTTCTGTATTGGCAGTCCAACGCAGCAGCAATCAATTTAAGGACGTCACCATGCAGCTCTCTGCTCAGCTGGAGGGTGTATCTCCCTGGCTGCTCAGACGCGGCACGCGAGTCTGGTTTGTGGCGTATGAGGGCGAAGGAGGCATCGATGCAGGAGGCCTCTACAGAGATCTCTTTTCGCACATTGCAGCCGAGCTGCAAAGCCCCGGCAGTAGCAATGCCTTGCTTTTGCCTTGTGCAAACAGCCGCGGCTTTGGGGAGAACCAGGTAGGCCTGTCACGAGGGGTACTTGCAGTCGCGCCACGCTGCTTGGACACATACCTGCAGCCGTTTTTTCTAGAGCCTATTTCACGATAAAGCACTGCTACAGCTGCATTTGGCCTTGTGACTGCTGCTCTCTTTTTTTTCTTTCCTTCTCCACCCGTGCAGCCTCTCTTCCTACCTCCGCCTCCAGCTCTGCCTGTCCTGCTCTCAGGATCAATGGGTAATCAATCCCAGCGCAGTGACGCCGTCGAGCCTCACGGCATACCGCATGCTTGGTCAACTCATGGGTATTGTTGTCAGGGGCCGCCTTACTCTTGGATTGGATTTGCCACCACTGGTGTGGCGCCCCCTAGTTGCTCAGCCTGTGGGGCCTCGGGAGCTGGAGGCAACGGACGCGCTCTTCGTGCAAATTCTGAAGAAGGTGAGCAGAAATCGCGTCAGAAAGATGAACCCAAGCACGCAACAATAGAAGGAGTGCGAGAGCGATAGACACAGAGAAATAGAGATATAGAGAGATAGACAGAGGGATATAGACAGAGAGATATAGAAAGATAGAGAGGGATAGATAAAGATATATAGAGAGAGAGAGAGAGAGTGAGATAGCGACAGACGTACAAAAATACAGACATACACATACACACATACAGAGATATCCACATACATATACACATACATATACATATATATATATATATATATATATATATGTACACACGGATTCATGCATGGACACACATACACATATTTATATATATACTGCTCGCAGATGGGGTACAAGGCGATGTGCGCGTGGCAACTGCCCCAGAGTTTAGAGGCACTGTAGCAGTAGGGGCAAGGAGGCACATAGGGAAGGCACAGCACACAACTGCGTTTAGGTCAGGAGGTAAATGTTTAGCTAGAGATCCTTTTGTACAAGCGGCAAGAGAAGGAGCTTTGGGAGGTGCATGACACAGGGCTTTGGAGTATTAGTAGGGAAGGGCCGAAAGCTGCGCGAGCACCCTGCACTACCCAACAAATGTGGGAACACATTGGAAGGCTTATTGATACCCCTAGCGAAAAAATACAGGGAAACAGAGGCAAACAGATTTTTTTGAGGGGAAAGGAGGCCAGTGCGGGGAGAGGCACGAAGCGCTTTTTTCCGCTTTCTGTGTGATCCCGTCATGGGTTTGACCTTTTGGTTGAATGGTGAACACAATGGCCAGTGGAATCTTTGCGCAACATATGCATGCCTCCGCCGCAGATTTTGACTCTTGAGACGGAGGGTGTAGACGCTGAGACATTCCATGAGGTCTTTCCTCTTGCTTGGGCAACTACGTCTGCAGCTGGGGAGGTGGTAGCTCTCAAAGCCAACGGTGCAGATATCCCTGTAGCCTGGGAAGAACGACAGCACTATGTTCTAAGGGCTCTGGCGTTCCGACAGGCCGAAGGGCAGCTCCAGGTAAACGTGCTCTTAGATGAATGCCCTTTTTTTCTAAAGGAGGGAGGCGTGCTGCCGTCTGCGACAAGGGGAGATAGAGAGGTATATATATAAATGCATACAGAGAGGAATTGAGAGTGAGATAGAAAGATCGAGAAAAAAAACCATCTCCAGCAGCAGATGCAACACATGCCCTATTAGGCGTGGGGGCCTCCTTTTCCTGAGGGCTCTCTCATGGCCTAGGCGCTGCTCTGTAGTCACTACTGGCATGATGCGTTCGCATCACAGCAGCTGCACACGCTGATGCTGACTGTGATGCTCTTGCTGAGACGTAGCTTTTCAGCAGCTGGCCGTGCATAGTTGTTACGTGTTTATGCATTTGCGTGAACTTTCATGCATCTGCATGCGTCTCTAGTGGGTGTGACGCCTGCAGGGGGCCCAATGAATGGCTGCATACTGCTGTAGCCTTTGTGGTGTGCTGTTTCGCTGTTCAGCTAAGAGCTCTACGGCAGGGCCTTGGCGACGTCGTGCCTTTGCAAGTCATAGATCTGCTCAGCCCCTATCAGCTGCAGCGCCTTGTCTGCGGCAGCCCTTCCATCGATCTGCAGCTTCTCAAGAGCCACACACGATACACTGGATATACGGTGGGGCTTTGTCTGCCAGCCTGCCTGAGCTGCTGCCGCGAAGCATCCAAGTGTGCATCAATGTATGCATGCGATAAAGGGGTGTGGCTTGTGTTGCCCGGTTCGCTGAGTGTGCTGGACCCCTCCATGCTGCTGCCGCCGCTCCTCAGGCAAGCGACAAGCAAATTCAATGGTTCTGGCAAGCCTTAGAGTCCTTCACGCAAGCAGAACGGCAGAGCTTCCTGCGATTTGTCTGGGGTCGCTCACGGCTGCCCCCCCCTCATGCCGCATGGGAGCAAGACATGGAGGTTGCCCTGAAGGTGCCCGCGATGCAGCTGTCGCGTGGTGGCGCGACGATTATTACAACAACAACAACCACAGCAGCTGCTGCAGCAGCAACTGCTGCTGCCGCTGCCGCTGCTGCTGCTGCGGCGGACGTGGCCGCTTCTGCTTCTCTGGCAGAAGTTTCGCCTAGGACCATTAGGACGCCAGACTCCGGAGATCGCGTAGTTGCCGACTTCGGGGCAAGGAGAATTGCGCACCCCTCAGGATGCAGCTTCTCTCTGCAGCGCCTCACTGACCAAATGTTGCCGCAGTCGCACACGTGTTTCTTCCAGGTACTGTGAGAAGTTGCTGCTCAGCTGCGCTGTCTTATTGCGCCGTTACACACTGGGCCCCTGCGGATATTTAGTGCTCTCTGTGCTGCCGCCATCGAAGCGTTTTTGTCCTTCTTCTAGCCGTCTTTTTGGAAGTATTGCTGCTGCTGCTGCCTCTTCAATAGTGCCCTCGTGTGAGGCTCTGCGCCTATTTCGATGCCGCAGGTGGACCTTCCTCCTTACTCGAGCTACGAGATCCTAAGAAGCAAATTACTTTATGCGGTAACGGAGGGCATAGCTATCGACGCAGACAACACTGCAGACGCAGCTAACTGGGACTTTGAGGGAGACTGAAAAGTCTCTTGTCCGCCTGCACCAGCTAATGAAGCAGCAGGATATAACAAACCAACAGGGGGAAAGAACATGGGTTTCCTCACGCGGCATTAGCGGCCAATACGGCTTTTCCTGCCTACCGCAACGCCCCTACCCCCGCCCTTCCCTCGTCTTTCGCCCCCAACACTTTAGTCCCCGTGCAACTCTATTGCGTGCATACATATATATATATACATATATACATACATAAAATCTGCCTCGGAGCAGCGAGGAGAGAGTAGCTAGGAATTTGCAAGAATACGCTCAGTCGATGGCAGATTGAATGGGTACTCCGCTCACCCAGCTGCAATGAGAGTTAACTAGTAGAGAGGGAACAACAGCAGCAGGGACCACCACAATCAGTGTCCTCGGCTAGTCTTTGTTATTCTAGAGCACGGGGGCGTCATGATCACTAGGAGCATTTACAAGTACATTGTACACTGCTGTCTGCTAGGTGTGACGGGTTTGAGGGCAGGGAACGGGTGCGCACGTCAAACAGCTACCGCGTCTGGTCTTTTGTTACTCATTTTCATGATGGAGAAAGAAGCAGATATGCCGTCGCCAGTGCTCCAGGGACGCTAGCTTGGATTAAAAGCGATTTTCTAAGGGAAAAGCTGAACACCCTGTAGCAGGGATGCGTCCGGTTCCATTCTCCGTAGCAAGACCCTTGTCCCTAAATAGGTCTGGTGCCGTGCTTCTAAATATATGGCCTGGCATATGCCGCCTCCACCCTTATGTTGCTGTAGAGATACACTACCTTTAGCTCATTCAAAACAATGGAAAATTTGGAACTCTCTCTTCCCCAGCGGCCTCCTTTACGTCCATTGAGAGGTTTCTTTTGGGCCTCAAAGAAATTTTCTTGCGTGTATCTCTTGCCTGTTCGAACAAACCAAGGGTATCCACCCGATACACCTTAAGCTGTGAGTAACACCCTAGCCCCCGACCTCAAGCACGGCCTCTAACGCTAATGCGTGTAGGACGTAACAAGGTGTACGACAAACACGCAGCGCCCCTGCTTGGGGCAGCTCGGTAGCTTTTCATACGGTGTCCACCTGCCTCACTAACCCAAAGGGTGCAACACGGGTGCTGATCACCTGCATGACTGAACATCTGCTGACGCTCGAACCTCATACTGCAACCGCTGCAGAGGTACTTAAGTACCCTTGTTGGTGTGCAGCAACTATGCGAACAAATCATCCCGTCTTTCGCTGATCTGAGACGAGGAGACTTGAAGGTGTCTAAGGAATAGGAAAATAACTAAATGTGTCTGCCTTCTGTATAGACAGATGTGTTTTGCTGTGTCTTCCAGAGACGTGTAGTCCTTCGGGCCTCATTCTGCCGCCACCCAGACCCCTTACCCCTACGCTCCCGCCTCCCACCAAACCCGACACTTAGAACAGAGGGACTTTTTTGGATCCAAGAAGGACTTATTTATATTTCCCGAGGGCAGCAGAGACAATAGGGAGAAGCACACGGAGAAGCAGGAAAGGAAGGGACCCGCGAGGCATGACAATCGGCGGTGGGCTGCGCAGTGTTTTTCGACTTGCGAGGAAATTCTACCTGAACTCCTTCAAAAAAGGCGACTCATTACCCCCCATGCGCATACTGTTCTGCACAATTACGTGCACCTCCCATCTAGCTTCTTCATTTATGCTCCCTGAAGCAGGAAGCCATGCGCCTGAAACCTTGAACCTGGGTGTCTTCTCGGAAGTTGCATTCCGCCAGGTTTCTTCGAGGCCCTTTTCCTGCGGCACCTCTGGATACTTCCGTGAAAGAATTCATTCTTCCCGTGCTCTGGCTGCTGATACGGATGCAGTCTTTGCACGCAATTCTCATGGCGACTGAGGACAGTCCATCTTCATGATGAGCCTCGGCCTAGGGCGGCGGCGCTGGGCAACAGCACGCACCGCTCTACGCCCAAGTGTCCTCGGGAGCTTTTTTCGTACAGAGGCGGGGACTTACAGGGGACTCGTTCTTCTATTTTGGGCATCCCTCTGCATCCAACAACTAAGCACAAAAAGGCCTTAGGGGGGGCAGCATAAAACCCTGCGCCCTGCCACACCTCCTTTTGCCGACACTATGACTGGTTGGATATCGTTCAATCCCCTACTTCTACCTTCCGATGTAAAAAGACCCCTTCAGAAGAGACGGATTCTCCCCTGCAGATCGGTCCAGTCCCACGGCTATGAGCCTCCAAAGCACCAGCCCTCCCCCTACGTTGAAGCCTTCGCCCTAAATGCGCCGTAACACACGATTGGCACTGTGTGCTCATTCTTTGCATAAAGGATAGGACGAAGAGCAGCGGAGGACAAAATAATTGCACCAAGAGCAGCGGAAGACAAAATAATGACAGAAGCTGCAGGTCCAGCAGAAGCAACAGTAACAGCAACACTACCAAACACCGCAGGAGCGAAAGATGGGAAAGAAAGAGTAATATAAGCCAAAATATCAGTTTACCCAACGCTAACTACACTGCTAGTGCGAGCGGAGGCAGTTACCGATGTCGCATATAAAGGCGTAGCTGTAGACCCTGGTGTACCAGCATATCCCGGAACAGCAAATATTACAACAAAAAGTAACCGAGCGTCTAGTCCTTGGATGACTTGTGTCATGCGTCGCTTATCCCCCTTGGCCCTTGGCTGTGGCTCCTTGACTTTTCAAAGGAACAGGTTGCCAAAAACACAAATTGATGAAACCATAGAACCTGATGTAGTACCAACTGTTAACATTCATACCAATGCATCCATTAGGTTTTAATTTTATGCCACGTAGAAATCCTGGTCATGGTAACTATGTAAGTATTCGTGAATACCGGTCAACTCGAAATTACCTGTGAAGTAGTAGAGCATAGGATAATGCAAAGTATCACTGACTGGATTATGCAAAAAACAGTAAAGGGCTCAGCGGGTGTACAGAGCGAGGTACTGGGAGACGTTGAAAGCGGATCCCAACTATCCCGCACACCCGTCTTCCTGCAAGACAATCGTCATCTGCCACAAGCAGGCCAAGCTCCTGTCCTGTGGTCTGATGTAGCTTACAGGTGGCACGAATACCATCCAGCGGTAACAGTCGGTCTTGAGGCTGCCCTTCGTGACTCTGGTGGTGATGTTGGTACTCCTGCATCCTACCCTCTGCTACCTGAATATGCGACGCATCGGCTGCTGAAAAAAAAGGTTCTCAAGTATCAGCAGCAGTAATGCCGGGTGCGCTGGGCTTGCAGAAGCCAGGGGAATGCAGCTGGCACTGAGGGGATTGGGCCGATAACTCAGTTGGAAGGGCCTGTGGCTACGGACCAGAAAAGCGTGATTTCAAAAAGTTATTTCCTTTTCCATCTTAACTCAACAAATGAGGATAGAAAGGAATTTGAAAGCAGTATTTTCTATCTACATGTAAGTGGATTCTGTAGTCCATTATGTACAGAGACTGCTTTGCTAATAAATTCTCTCCACACTTCATTTTTATAGAGGAATTCAAGGTTTCTGGGAACCATGCATGTAAGCCCCCGCAGCATCTCAGAGACCTTCGAAGCCCTGGAGACTTTATGGCCCTCTGAGACACTAGGAGTGTTGAGACGCCACGAATGCTTTGTGCTCTTGCACCCGCACACAGCTAGTGACCAGATAGCCGTAGCAGTTGCTTCGACGCGTAAACAAAATAAGCCAGCGGAGACTCAAGAAAGAGCCCACTCAAAAGGTCGCAAGTGGCGCATGCAAACTTTCTCGTGTCGGATGTGGCAGCGGATCTTCTCCTCCAGGCCCGGAGTGGGGCAGTCAATCTCCTTGCTGTGGGAAAGGCCTTGCAAAACACGGAAAGTTCTTAGGGCCTACAACATACGAGCATGTGCCTGTGGGGGACCCCTTTGGAAGGCGCCCAATTGGCCAAGCAGGAAAGGAGGTCCCGGAAATCTGAAAAGACACTACACCCCTTGTGCCGCTTCATGGGGTCTGCTGCACCTAATCTGCGGATGCGTTTGTTTAACCCCGCCCTTGGGAGCCTTCTCCTCCAGACGTGGAGGTTGTGGGCTCGACCTCCAGTTGGCGTTTAACAAAGCCAAAGCTGCGCGTTTCAAAGATATGCCTTGATACAATATGCACTCGCCTGCAGCACGCAATGCGCGGGCGGGAGAGGCAGAAGACCTCAGCCGCGGAGGCTTTGGAGCCCCTCAAGGGGAAGGGGGCAACAGGGCGAGATATATATACAAGGGGGTCTCCAAGCCAGTTATGTCCTTTTGGCGCAAGACTAAGGACACATGAAACAGGTCCTCGGAGAATCAGGGCAGCTATACTGGAACGTGCCTCTCGCACAACCGGCCTTTGCAGCAGCACCAGCAAAAGTCCCACCAGCTCCTCAGGCAACCATCTGCCGAATTCTGGGATCCTTTTCGGATGCCCCAAACTCTACCGCTGGTAAGAAGCTCACCCGGCAGGCAGCGGCCACCTACAACTAGAAAGCCTCCCTGGAGCAGGGCAAGCTTTCGTATAGCATTGAGGAGATACTTGAGCCAATACAGGAGGTGCTAGACCGATTGTTGCTGCAGCAGCGCCAGGAAGAGGGAAAAATTCGGATTATTTAGCAGCTTACTCTCCAAAGCTGGAATTTGATGCAGCAGAGAGGGCCAGAGCAGCACCATCTGGAAGGGAAAGCGGCAGCAGCGTTGCTGAGCGTACATAGGTTTTGGGGTGCCTATGGAAACTTCAAGCCACGCTAGTGAGATCCCAGCCAACAACCGACCTCTTCTGGAGGAAAATTAGGAGGGTGCGTCTGCAACATCCAGATGAGTTCAGTACGCTAAAATTCCACACAAAGTTTTCGAGGAATAGCAGATCGATATGCAGCAGATCCCCCAAAAGTTCGTCCGCGCCAAGGGGGCAGCCAATAAAAGTGCATTAGGAGCTGCCTGTACGAAACCTCCGCTCGAGGAGTGGCAGCCATTAGGTCCTTCCTTTCCCACTTTCGAGCGTAAGGAGCGTTGCGAGGAGGGTCAGCCCCTCAGGCAGGTATATCGGCGGCGGGGCACGCCCTAGAGCTACTGAGCCGCAGCAAGGAACCCAAGATAGAAATCCTACACAAGCCCATCTTCCACTTTTTGTACGCTACAGGCTGGGGGGATCTCCCAGAATGCGCGTACGGATTAAACAGAGCCTTGTTATCCTAGAATGATAGATGGCAAGATTTCTCCCACTGTGTCACGGGCAGCACAGGAAACAGACAGCGCAAGTTGCCCTTAGCCCCAACTACGATTTATCGTGCAAACTCCCAAGGGGAGTTTCGGGGGGCCTCAAACCCACGGATTGTAGCCTCTTGGGCAGCGACAGTAGGTGATTGGTCAGTATGGAGGCCCTGCATCACCGTAAAAGGCACAGAAATGTGGCCAACATGCCCATTCCAAGAAACACTGTTATCCACAGTCTAGTAAGGCTAGTTCTTGAGTACTAGATAGCCACGCAGGGGAAACTGCCAACTTCCATCGTCACGTCGGTTGAATTTGAGAGCGCAAATCGCAGCCTCTCACCTCCGGCTTGTCGCCAGAACTAAAAGCATTTGACAGCATCGGGCCAGGCAGCAGCACACGTGTGGTGTAGATGCCCACTTTGGGGGTTTCCTATATCATGCAGCGCTCATAGGGCTGGAAGCACACATTTTTAAGATCTCTATCTTTATGGCTCCTTGCGTGCATTCGCACAGTCAGCGCAGTGCAGCGCGAACGGTGGCACAGATTCTTTTATCATCGGAGTGGACTAGAGGAAGAGTGTCAATTCCCCTGCGTACCTGTATGCACTGTTAATGTGCCCGTGTTCCTCTTCTGCAGTGCCTCCGCCAACCCCCCTTACATGCAAATCTTTATGTCTCCTTAGCCGCGGTATTGGAGATCCTAGCAGTAAGCCCGAAAGTTCGCTAACCACCCCGGTTTCCCCGTTCTCGATTATTCAGTTTCTTTGTGCTACGGCTTCCGCCATGGCTGGTGACTCTGCATGCAGGATCGTGTAAGCTGTAACTAGAGCCCTTTACCGGGGCAATGGTCAGCACGCGAAAAGGCCACTTCCTTCTCATTGCACAATGAAATTTGCAGCGCGTCTCACACCTTAATGGATTCATTCTGCCTGTATCGCCTTAAGGTTCCGCTCTGACGGCCTCTGCCTTTTCTCTTTCGCATTCCCTCCAAACGCACGTGTAGCCATCCCTGTCTGGTGTCTATTCCTCTGACCAACTCGGTCCCTCTTGCCGTGTCTCCTCGCAGCGCATCGACATTTGTTACTGTACCTTACTGCATGTGTTTAACACATTTCTACGCGGCATTGGCTGCCTGCTTGAAGAAACGCGCAGCCGTCGTTTGAAAAGGCCCGTCATGCACAAACTACTTAAACCCAAAGCTGATAACCTATAACGAGGACCCTAGTGTACGCGGAGCACAACACAAGAGTTCCTTCTCTATTCAACATCCCTGACACAAGAGCCCTCTCGAAAGCGACCCTTGGCGGTCTAAAGGAAGAGACGGGAGGCCCCTAGTACCCCAAGAGAAATGAATCTCCTGGACTAGTGCAATAAAAAGGGCCCTTCTTGCGACCTAAATCCACAGGATAGGACTAGAAACGCCCCCCTTCCGGGTCCTTTGTGTAATCGAACGAACAAACGACCCCATGCTTTCGTAGCTGAAAACTGCGGGAAGCGCGTCCCTCTCTAAAATTCGCTCGTGGAGATGAGGGACACCAAGAAGGATTTAGCTTCAGCCTCTCCGAGGAGCGTTCTGTGAGGATGCAGCACCATCACACAGGAGCCCTTTGGACAATGGAGCTACTGAACATGCGCCTGGCAAGGTGAACGGGCAGACAGGGAAACGGATGACACGCAGAGATTCCCTAGCAGCCCGCCTATATAGAGAAACACCCCGTGCACTGACGGACTGCGAAACGCGAAAAAACGCTAGGCAGCGTGAGGGAACAGATCGATTGCCTCACGTCACTTTTGTCGTTACAGTCGCTGCCCATGCAGGGCACTGCCTGGCTTGCTGCAACAAACAGCGGATAAGGGGCCGCAGTCTCCAGATATGCTGAGCAGCGCTCTGCTGCTGCATACCACCAGCCAAGAGGGTGACCAGCGCATCTGTGATCAGGCCCAGAAAACGGGTAATCACGTCCCTGCAGCAGCAATAGAAGTCACAATTGCAACGCACAAGCAGCAAATGCGCATGAAACCTACTGCAGCACGGCTACAGACGGTGACTGGATGCGCAAAAGCTCTCGGACTGCGGCGTTGCCGCAGCTCGCAGAAGGCCTCAATGGAGAGACTTACACCTGCCCAGGATTTGCCAAAGCCTCTGCTTTGGGTAAATGCAGGGTAAGGAGCGCTAGAAGACAAGATCCTGCCTGCAAGAGCAGCGCCACAAGCCAACACCAGCGCAGCAGAAGGGCACGTGGCTGTTTGAAATCTTCACGGAAAACCCACAGACAGCAAGGGGTACATATATAGAATAGCCCCCACCCCCTGAGAAAATCATAAAAGCAGCAGCCCCACTCGCGTGGCAGGACAGCCGCAGGAAAATGACTCAACAGGAACAGTCCTTTGGCAGCAGCACTCTAGCGGCACCAAAACGACATACGGTGTGTTTAGCGATATCTGCGGCGTTCCTTTGCTGCATCCCCCAGCACAATATGTCTGCAAAGGTGCAGAGGACAGCGGCTCTCGAGGGCCCCGAAGCCCTAAAGACTCGCAACGTTCCCAGGAGCAGAAGTGCGCAAAGCGTCGCGCGTTCGTTTCCTTCCGGAGGATGCAGAAGCGCATGCAGCAGCATGCCCTCCTGAACAGACGCGAGGGCTGCTGCAGTAGTCCCTGAGGACCGCATGACCTCTTCGAACAAGCTGCTGCTCAAGCCGTCTTCGCCGTTTGCAGTTGCTGCTGAAGCACGCGCTGAAGCAAGGATGTCATCGGCGCACTGGCAAGCCTCGCTGAGGACGTCGGGGGCAGACAGCAGCCCCTGCAGCAGCAAGGAGGTGCACGCATCGTTCAACATCGGCAGCAGCCGCAGCAGCAGCAGGAGCCTGTTGCTGCTGCTGCAGACGCTGCTAACGATCCACTGGGTACTGCGGCGGCCCTTATCGACAAGAAGGCACAGATCTGGAGGCAAGGAGCCTAAGGGTCCATCTTCGTGTTGTTGAGGCTGCTGCTGCCGAAGGTAATGGTGCCGCAGGCGGCTGACATAGTCTTGGGGGGAGGGACAGAGGGCAGGGGCCGAGAAATCTATCATAAAAGGCAAAGGAAAGGCCTGGGCAGTGCAGCAGTGGCGCAACAACAAGAGCTCGCATGCCTGCTGCAGCACGTGCTGCAGTTGCTGCTGCAGCCGACCCCGAGCAAGTACATGGCTGGCGGGGCACTCCTGCAGCAATAAAACAACACCAGCAACAAAACTCCTAGAAAAAGCCTCCTCCTGATCACCGGTGTAACGGCCTTACGATGCTCGCAAGCTCCGCATTCCCTACAACCCGACACATACACACACACACAAACACACAGGCACATCCACAGTACAACTCACGTCCAATTCTTCTTGCAGGTTGGATGCGGTCAGTCGTAAGTCTTGGCAGTCCTCCACGAGAGCCTTCACCACCAAACTCCGCTGCAGCGGTGACATGCTTGTGTCGCTCAAGGAGAGCTGCAGCGCACAACAAGCGCCACCCAAATCACCAACATAACAGGTGCTGCACTGCACAAACAGAAACGGCCAAGGTCTACCCCGAGAAGTGGGAGGCCTCTTCGCACGAACAGACACAGAAACAGCAACTGCAACACGCATCTCCATCCCACAAGACCCCCTAAAAGCGTGCGAATTCAATCACCTTCTCCACAAGATCAGTCTCCTGCGAACGATCTTTCAACCGAAAGGCCCCAGTAGCGTGGAGCGCCTGGGCCCCCTGGCCCTCAGTGGAGTGCGCAGACGAGGGGCCCTCCTCCTGGGGGACCTCCCGAACAATCTGAATCATATTCCTCGGGTGCCTTATGGAGGCGTATGCGACCTTCCCAAACTTTTTGTGTGCAGCGCTGTCGCTGCAGCTGCAGCTGCTGCTCTCCTTCTCGTTTTCCTCTGCAGCTGCGGGAATGTCATCCTTCTCCACGGACCGCAGGATAGCGGCGGCGTCGCTCGGGGTAGCAGATCCCAGAAGCTTCTGATGCAGCAGAGACCGACTCACGAGCACCCCTTCGCCCAAGCAATCAACGCGGTGACTCTCAAGGAGACTCCCAGGGAGAACTCCCCCGCCGGAAGGCTCCCTGAGCTCTCGGATAGCGCACTCGAGCTCCACGCAGCTCAAGTCAGCAGAGGGGCCCTTTGGGGGCCCCTTGAACGAGCGGTAATTCCACTTGCCTGTGTAGCGCTGCAACTCTGGCCGACGTGACATTTGCGCCAACTGAACCCTAAGAATCATGTCAAGATCTTGGGAGGTCATGAACCCATTGCTGCTGCTGCTGCTGCTTGGACTGCCGCTGCTGCTGGGAGTGACATTTCTGCTGGTTGAGGAGTTCGCGGCGGAGCCCTCCTCCTCCTCCGCGCAGAAGGGGCCCCCGAACCATCGCGTTGCATCAGGGATCTTCTGACGGATAATAAGGTCTATGAGGCCTCGAGTCAGCGGGAAGATGGGGGGTACTACGGCCTGCCCCCCGCTATTGAGCAACGAGGCGCTGGAATGAGAGGAACTGCTGCTGCTGCCGGCCCCCTTGCTGCTGCTGGCAGCAGACACCTCTTGCTTCTGCTTAGAACAGCGGCGGCCCTTTTCCTGCTGCTGCGAGCCTTGCTGTTGTGTCTGCCCACGACGGCCCTGCTGCTGCTGCTGCTGCTGCTGCTGCTGCTGCTGCTGTTGCTGCTGTTGCTGCTGTTGCTGACTGCGTGAGCGCTGCTGTGGTTGGGGAAGTCGCCCCTGCCCCAGCAGCAGCGGCTGCAGCTCGTGCTGCTCTCTGCCGCCGCTTGGATGTCTCAGTTTGCCGAATGCAGGGCCCCCGCTTCTAGACACCCCAGAGCGCATAAGGTCGTGTTTATTGAGCTGTTTGCCTGCCGTTTCGGAAGCCCCCGCAATAATTCTGGAGTTCTCTTGTTGCTGCTCTTCCTGTTCTTGCTGCTGTGAGGGACAGAAAGGAGGGTCACCCATGCTGGAGGGATCTGCAGAGACGTGATTCTGCTGCAGCATCTGTTGCAGCAGCTGCCTTTCCAGCTGCTCATGGCGCAGCAGCAGCAACTCCTGCTGCTGCTGGGCAGGCACGGAGCAGCCTGCAGCCGCGGCTGCACTGCCCGAGACACCAGCCAGCTGGGGATACAGCTGCCGCTGAGGGGGGCCCCCGCCAGAGGACGCGCTTCGCCAGAGATCCTCCTCCTCAGCCCCACTGCTCCATGCTAGTGGAGCAGCATCGACAGGCCGCTTAGGGTGAAGATCAAGTCGCTCCCCCGCACGGTATTGACTTCCAGAAACTGCATTTTCAGCTGCAACAAGACTCGGATCTGCTGCGCTTCCCACTGAGTTCAGCAACACAACTCTCTGCACGGCGGGGTCCCTTAGAATCCCGTCGCTGGAGGAGGAGGGGGCCCTCAATCCGGCCGTGCTCCCCATCGCCAGAGGCTGGCTAGCCGGCTCTGCCATGAGGACAGCAGGATCTCGGATAATGGCGGCTGCAGCACTTGTTGCTGCTGCTGCAAAGGGGGGTTGCGGCTGGTGCACCGGTGGCTGCATTCGCCGAACGTCAGCGCCTTCGAAGCCAGGAGGACTTAACAGAGGGGCAACTCCACGAGCCTGCATCAAAGGATGAGGGTAGGGGCTGCCCAGCTCAGGCAGCAGAGAGGCAAGCGGACCGACCTGCTGGGCTGCCGTCACGTGTTGCTGCAGAGGCGATTCTTGATCGAACTGCTTCTGCTGCTGCAGTTCGAGCAGCTCGTGAGGCCCCTGTTGCTCTACTCCTTCTACTCCACGAAGCACCACCGAGTCTAAGTGCTCGGTGGTCTGTGAAGAATGCAGGGCTGCATAAGGGTTCTCTGGTGATCTTCCGCTACTGCTGCCTAGGGGTCCAGGATCCGGCTCTAGAGACTCCAAGACAACCTCCACCGGTGCTCCTCTTGCATCCGTGCTGAAGAAATCCGGTAGCCGGATGCCCTGTATATAGCAGCAGACGCAGCAGACGCAGGGTGTGGGCCCTTGGCAACATCCCCCTAGCACTCGCTGCCCTTCCCGCCTACGCTGAACACTCAGCGCGCACGACGAGATGCTCAGACAGTCGCACGAGGCATCAGCGCGGTTTACTGCTGAGCATTCAAGGCAGACCCACAATAAACACACACACACACACACACACACACACACACACACACACACGCAGGGGCCAAAAAAGGGTCTAAGGCTTCACCTGAGGGCTGCTATGACGAGCACCGGGTTCTGCGACGGACTCTTCAAGAGGCGGCTGCCTCTGCCGTAGCATTTCGAAGTCCTTATAGGTCTCTTCCTCCGGCTGCCAGTCGTCCCCTGAGGACGCAACCCGAAAGCCGCGCATGCATGCAAGAAGCGAGCTCCTAGAGACGAGGATTCCAGCACACAGTGCACCGCAAAGTCGCCACAGCCACACAACTCATCGCATCTGCTGCCACGCACCAACAGGCGCGTCTGCGCCGAAAGTCTCCGCATTATGCGCATCGGCTGCCGCAGAGTCGGGCGGCACATCCGTACGCCAAGAATCATCTAAAGGGGATTCCTCCTCGGCTGCTCCATGAGGCCTGTGGAAGCTTTGTCGGGGGGCTCTACCCCGTGCAGGAGGCCCTCCCCTGGTCCACATAGGCAATTGTGGCCAAAAGCAGCTGCGATTTCAGGTGCTGGAGCGCATGTTACTCGGAAGTGCCGCGCGTGATTTGGAGTACGTACACCTCAGAGGCACTTGGCAGACACAAGGTGCTGCTCGAGGGAGCCCTAGAGGTCGGCGGCCAGAGGAGAGCCGTGGCGGAAGGGCTGGGCTCAAAGGCTTGTGTAGCACGATAGCAGAGGGAGAAGTGCTCACAAAGGAATCCCACGCCAGGCAACAGACAGCAGAAATAGTGGTGCGGCTGCCCCCCGAAGAGGGCCCTGGCCGGAGACTTCAAGGGGCTACACAGAAAAGTACGCAACTGCGTATTGTCAGTTTGTCGTTCCGCTGCATTGAACTAACGCAGAGATCGAACGGTTCCACTCAACCTCAGTCCTCTAGAAGCAGAAAATAAAGAAGGCAAGGACACGTGAAAGAAGAGACTCGCTCACTTGCTTGAAATCCTCAAGACGTACCACAGGCAGCAAAAAAGCCCACCCGCGCATGCAGCGACAGCCGTAGCAGCACTGTCCATAGGTTCACGCTCGTTCATTGATCTTTTTCGCATTTTGCCACTAAAATACACTTGCATGCTTGTGGCACGGCGAATCGGATGGCCCTGCTTGCTTGCTGCCGCTGCTCCATGCTATGGCCGTCACTCCCGAACAACTTGTTTGCCCGTTGCCTGACTTCCTTTCCTCCTGAAGGCTTTTGCAGCCGCCATACAATCTCCCGTCGCCCTTGTGTTATGTAGCAGCTCCACTGCGAGGGCTCAATAATTGTATTTCTTGTACTCGTAGCTTCAGGGAAGCCCGGAAAAAGGCAATCGCGTACACCCAAGAGACAACAACCTAGCTACAAACAACTTGCACGAGAGCCCCCTACGCCTTCGCGAACTGTTTGTCAAAGGGCGGAAGGGTATCTCAGCAGCACACGCACATACTACGATCCTAACCCTCTTAGATTTGAACGTGCTATCAAAGACGGTTGCTCCTGTGTTCTCCTGTTGGGTAGAAAATAACACACCAAACATTAAATGGGTTATCGAAAGGGGTTCAAGCCACACGTAGGCACTTCCTGCCGACTAACTTTTATTCATTAATTAGTTAAGAATTGGCTATGGGGTCCGCCTGTGTGTGGACATCTTTGTACGCAGCACCTTGCTGTCTCAAGAAAAGACGCAACATGTGTGTGTCTGCACCAGGTGCTCTATGTAATTAGCTGCGAATGTTTGATGAGCATCGAGGATGCAGTAACGCACACCCCAGCTCTTCCTTTACCTTCACGTTAGATCCCTGGTTGGCGCCTACTGAGCCCATGAGGGAGCCCTTTCGAAAGGTGCTCAATAACCAGTGTGATTCATATGGTCGGCAGTTAAGTGTCCGTTTACTCGGACTTCAAATTATGGGCCACAGTAGTGCCACTGTACATTCAAAAATTTACGCACACACAACCATATCAGATAACCAATCACTTTCTGATTTGGTGTAAAATTAACGAGTGCAATGGAAAGTTCCAAGTGCAGCGTACTCCACAATAGTTGCGCCGATTACACATAAATGATTCACAAAGCGATCGAGTGAGAAAGTACCAGAAGAACGGCGGCAACCATACGGTCGCACACTGCGGTCACAAATAAAATAAGTGGGCACGAGCAAAAACGAACGCCTGACGACGAGGATAAAGCATGTAGGGGGGGCTGGTGAAGACGACCGCAGACGCTTGCACGAAGACAGGTGTCAAATGCAAGAAGTCACATACCCAGGCTCAGAAACTGCCACAGACAGATGGAGGCAGTGCGCCAAACGAGCACTAGCATGAGCCCTCCTACCGGCGCACAAGACCACCACTGCGCCGAAGGACACTGTGAACGCAAATGCCAATAGGCTGAATGAGCCGCACACATATATGCAAAAGGACGTGCAGTTACCAAACAAATCAAGAAACGACATTCAGAGACCGGCAAGGAATTAACAACAGGGTCTGGGGAAAACGACGAAGCAACAGCACGCTTCAGAGCCCACAGCGCTATACAGATGTATATTTTAATATTTGTACATAAAAACAGACTGCAACAACGATATAGCAACAGCTTCTATAGCAGTGTCGTCAGCACCTGGTGCAGCAGCAATTTCAACTGGGGAGCTGCTCATGAGATTGTGATCAACACCTTTCCGCAGAACAGCAGGAAGGCTTGCGGGGGGAGAAACACGTAGGACCCTTGAAAGGGCACCCACGCACACAGTTATGGAGGCTGAGATAAGGTCCCAAGGCTCTATCAGAGCAAGGATAACATTTATTTTGGCGCACCTTCAATGGCGAGAGCAGCAGCTGCTGCTACACCTAAGGGCCAAGCAGTGTGCATCATATGGCGCTGGGGAGCCCAAGCAGCAGCCGCAGCTGTTAACCACGAAATCCAATGTGGAATAAGACGCGCATCAAAACCAGCACAGCCACAGCGAAAGCTCCTGCAGCCCATACACTCCATGTCGCTGCAACTGATGCTGCAGGGCCAGTGGAGGTGGCCACTAGCAGTGATGCCGCGCTTCCATATCTCAAAATTATGGATGCAACAAACAGGACACGAAAAGAATGAAAACACAGCACATGTGGGCTAGCCCCCAAAACACCCCTTGCATGAGCAAGTGCAGCAGCAATAAGTGCAGCAGCACCAAGTGCAGCAGCAGCAGGAACCATGGCACTGGATCGAACATGAAACTAACTGAGGATCCGGAGACGCATGGTTTGCCACCTTTGGCTGAGCAGTTGCTGCAGGAGCAACTGCACGAACAGCGGCAGTCCCGATCTCATGATGTGCAGGCTACTCCAGGAGTTGCTCCCTGCACGACAGCGGTCCCGGCTGCAGTGGGAGTACCTAAAGGTGGGGAAAATAAAAGCTGAAAGATGAAGACAAGCAGGCGAAACACAAAGTGCTGTGGCCAGAAGCCTTCAAGTGCTGCAGATGAAGCAGCAGCAGCAGAAGCAGCAGCCATCGCAGACGCAGCCGAGCAGCTATTTTTACGGCAGGCAGCAGCCGCATCGGCAGCAGCAGCAAAGGGTTCCGCATACGAAACCTCATAATAGTTTTGTTTCGGATTTAGATTGATTGCCTTAAACATTTACTACTTGACTGTTGTATTCCTGCCGCGCTGTCGGTGCAGGATTCCTAATGAGTCATAGCAGCTGCAGTAGCCACAGGTCGTGCAGCAGCTGTGTTGCCCAGCAGTATTACTGTCGGTGCTCTTGAGCCGGCTCTGTGTGGCACGCTGCGCATTCGAGAGGATTGCTGTCCATGTGGTTTAATGAGAAGACCCGAAGGCAGCAATGGTGCGGCCGCCTCGGAAGGCACAGTAGTAGCACAACAGCACAAGGAGCTACTAGCAGCGTTAAGGCTCTGTTGCAAGAGAGGCAGCAACAGTAGCAGCAGCACGCACACGCTCACTCATCTGCCCGGGCTTGCACCTCCCCCCACGCATGTGCATACACACGTGTACCTGGGGTATGGCCTCTGATTAGCAGCAGCAAAACCAGCAGCAGTGGATGCAGCCGGTGTTGAGAAGGGGAGCCTTTCTGGTCTGAGGGACTCTTGAGAGCAGTGGCGATAATGGGATCTGTGGCGTCTGGTCCCCTGGCGCCTTCCGATGTAGGATCTCTGCAGCCGGTGTATAGGGAGCGGCTGCTCGAGCAGCAAGGTTTGGAGGCAGCGGCAACGAATGGCGTTGCTGCTTCTTCGCTCGCAGTGCAGCAACTGCTTGGCTTGGGGGAGGGAGACGGCCGCGCTGCACTGCTGAACTTTTTCTCGGGGCCTCGCTGGGCTGACGTTCTGCAACAGCAGCAACAGCAGCAGAAGCAGCAGTCAGAGGGAGCCACAGAAGCCGCGGCAGCAGCCGCGGCAGCAGCAGTGGCAAATGTGGAGTTGTTACAGAGGGAACAAGAGGCTCTCCGGAGTCTCGCGCTGCAGCAGCAGGAAGAGGAAAGACAGGCGGCTCTGCTCTCCGCAACAGAATCGGAAGCAGCAGCAGAAGTAGAGGCAGCGGTTGGCACGCAAACAGCGGTGGCTGCCTCCACTGCAGGAGCCTCTTCCCGCAGGTGTCGTAACTGCCAGCAGCAGCAACGCGCGTTGTACATTGCGGCAGCTCCCGCAGAGTTGATCTTGGAGGGCCCCCATGGCAGCGAGGCCCCCAACGTTTTGTGTTGCGTTTACACGGGTCACCCCTGCAGGAGTCCTGCGCAGCAGCAGCAAGTGCAGCAGCAGCAGCAGCAGCAGCAGCAAGTGCAGCAACAGCAGCAAGTGCAGCAACAGAGCAAGAGCGGCAGCTCCAGCAATCCATCGCCAACGTCGCCAAGGCTTAGCAGGAGCTGCAGCACAACCTCCCTAGCTACGGGTGGCAGCGTGCTCAGTGACTCAGAGGAAGAGCAGCTGCTGTTGCAGCAGCTGTTGTCTCCTCATGCTGCGCTCCCGTTGCACGGGGTTGTCGTCTTCGAAGCTGAAAGAACCCTCCACAGAGGGAAGCCGTTTGCTGTCAGGACTCGTACAAAGAAGCAGCTGAAGCAGCTTAAAAGGCAACTGCTGCAGCAGCAAACCAGAAAGAGGGTCTTTCTTCCGCCGTTGCGCCATCCCCGGCAAGTAGAAAATCAACAGAATCACCACTACCATCACCATTACCAGCATCAGCGCGAATTGACGCCTCCCGCGGCGGTCCGTAAAAAGTCCGATCACCTTGACCTCCATGACTCTCACTTTGAGTGTACGTCCATCAGAGGCCCTCCGCAGCAAGAGCAGCAAGAGCAGCAAGAGCAGCAAGCGACAGCTCAGCGAGTTCGCCGTAGCAGCTGCCGCTCAGGGCTCAGCAGCCTCTACAGTAAGAGCAGCGGCGTATCACTGCAAAGAACTGCGCAATCCTGGATCCCTCAGGCAGCTGCTGTTGTTGGTGCGGTGCGCAGCAAGCACCGCATTGCTTCTATTGAGCAGCAGCAACAGCAGCAGCTACAGCTGCAGCAGGAGGGGGAGGGGGGATCCGATGCTGTTGCCAAGTGGTGGACAGATATCCAAAGAAGGTTTTCCAGCATTTTTCTTCCTGGACAAGAGGGAGAGGAACCCGCTGCTGCTACCGCCGCTGCTGCTGTGACTTCAACAGGAGATAGCAGTCTTGGGGAGCTGCACCAGCAGCAGGTGCAAGTAGGCACAACAGGTCCGAACAGCGTGTTGCATTTTTTCTGCCCTTTATAGCAACTGGGGGTTAGGCGTATTGAGATGCAGCTGCAGCAGGAGCTGAGGCGTGTCATGGGGTGTGCCTGCAGGAGGGTGGAATGCAGCGCCCATGACAGCGGAAGCCGTTGGAACAAGTGCAACTGCAGCAACTGCAGCAACTGCAGCAACTGCCCCCGCAAGCGCAGCATCTCCCCTGTATAAGGCACCCTTAGGCTTCTCCTTTTCCCCCGCGGGCCTTCTTGCGCCTTACCACTTCGGAGTGCTGAGCTATCTTTGCGAAGTCAATGCAGTCCACCAGTATACCCCCCTTGCCGGTGTGACCTTAGGCTGCTGCTGCTGCTCCCGTTGTCAACAACCGAAGCCTCTAACACCGTTGGTGCTGCTGAGGAGGCAGATGCCGATATAGCCTCCTAACTGCAATAAGTGCGCCTGTAGACTGCCGCAAAATGCCGCCGCTTGCCGCTCCGCGTTTCAGCTCTGCAACTGGCCCTGCTGCGGCGGCGGCTGCCGCTGTATGTGGGTGTGGGTGTGCAGGAGCTTCTGCAGGCGCCTTAGCTGCAGTGTTGGGAGGACTTGGTCTTCGCTTTTTTTTAGCCATATCCTCTCTGCAGAGAATGTCAGCCGATCTGAGAGCTGCAGGTGAGAAGCAGAGGCCGCGAAACACAACGAAACGGTAGAGAGCTAGTTGCCTCCGAGAACGAATTGTGCAATTCTATATATCACCCCTCCTCCCCGCGTCTTCCTCCACGCTTTCCGCATAGTTAGTTCATCGCAGTAGGAAAGCGGCTTGTCTCGTCTGTAGAGGCACCTGTCTGACGGAGGTGTGCTGTGAAACTCTCGCTTCCTCTCTTTCCGTTTCTATTTCTTAGGAACGGCACACCGTTTGGCCTCTGTCTTGAAACGCGAGCTGAGAGCTGTACTCCCCGAGGATTCGGCGGAAATTCTCAACGCCAGGCCTGCCCCCGTTACTGTTACTTACACCACCGTAGGCTCCTGCGCTGCTGCTTTCGTCCTGCCTGTCTGTCTGCCTGCCTGCTCCTACTCCTACTCCTGCTTCGTGCTTTCCACACGTGTGCGGCTACTCCCTTTGGTTTGCCGCCGCTCTGTGCAAGGAGCGCGGGAAGAAGCAGCATTCTGCTAGTGGCATGAGGCGTATACCACAACACAACAAAACGACGTGTGTAAACAGATGGACGAGCACACACATACATACATACATACGTATATATATATATATATATATATATATATATATGTATCCAAACATACATATCGATGCATACATACATACACACTCATACATATCCATACATACACACATACACACATAAGAGTCTCTTTGTCTCTCTGCGGCGTGCTTCCACGTATATGGATGTACTAATATTCTATACACAAGTATTTTTCTATCACTGTCTGTATATATATGTATATATGTATGTATCTACATGTATATATATATATGTATCTGTCTCTATGTCCATGTCCTCGCTTTGGTATCTGCCGTTCCCTTGGCTTCACCCCAGGGTCGGGACCCTCTGGTGCGTCTTATTGCTGCAGGTTTTCCCCTTTCTTGAAGGGCAGTTTGTATCCTCATTTTTCTCCGTCTGCGATTTGATTGAGTGCCTTGTGGCGAGCTGCAACATCCCTTTCTACCTGTCGCCATGGCCAACAGTGACCTGTAGGGGCCGTCAGGCGGTAGACGGATACTTCGCTACCAAACACAAGGAATTCGGCTGTCCAGACACGGGTGCCATCAGAGACGTTAAAGTCAGACTCCCAGCCCTCACGCCACTCTGCTACGAGCAGTTGCAATCGTCTAACTGCAATCTTTTGCTGCTCCTCCTTGCTTTTGTTGTTGAATTTCCTCCTCCATCCGCTTGCCACACCGCACTTCCTCTCCTCCTTTCCTTCTCCTTCTCCTCCATCTGCCTGCCGCACTTCCTCTCCTCCTTTCCTTCTCCTTCTCCTCCATCTGCCTGCCGCACTTCCTCTCCTCCTTTCCTTCTCCCTCTCCTCCATCTGCTTGCCACACCGCACTTCCTCTCCTCCTCTCCTTCCTCTCCTCCTCTCCTCCTCTCCTCCTCTCCTCCATCTGCTTGGCGCTGCTGTTTCTCCTGGCTTTCCCTTAAAATCCGCAATGTGTGCATGCGCGAAAAGCGTGTGTTGTCCTTGCTTCTTGACGTCGTCTCTGCCCTCAGGTCGTGCCGTTTTCCGCCGCCACAATTCGTCTTTCGACGCAACCAGGTTGCTGCATCAGTCCCGACCTGCAGAAGCAGGACGCGTGTATTGTCTCTTACCTGCGGGCTAAGCACAGGCTGCGCATTCGTGCTGCTGCAGCTGCCGCAGCAGAGGACGGGAAGCAAGAGGTTCCTTGCAGCTGCACTGCTGTCGCCGCGGCTGTTGCCGCCGCAGCCGCAGCCTCAGTGCCGACTCTCGGTAAACAGGAGCTGCCGCGAAAGGGTGTAGCTCATCCCGCAAGCAGCACCAGCCGCGGCGCGTCAGCGTGGCTGATGCCGCGGCCGCAACAGGGGGAGGCGCGCAGCAAGCAGCTGCAGCAGCAAGAGCAACAGGCAGCCGCAGCTGCTGCAGCAGAAGCTGCAGCAGCCTCGTGTCCGCGTTGCTCCCCCCTAGGCCTTCTTTGCCCTCCCCCGCAGCTGACCTACTATTATTGTGATCCATTAGATGAGGCCTTTGGCACTGGACTTGTGGCTGTGGCTGGCCAGCACTTGCTCCCGGATATGTCTAGGGGCAGCACCGCATCCTGTAAAGACGAGTGTGAGAGTTGCGGCTGCTGTTGCGGCGCGACTCTCCTGCAGTTGAGAAGCAACACGCAGGAGCTGCTGCAGATGGCACTTGAACCGGCAGCGCCAAAAGCCATGGAGGAGCTTTTTGATTTGGGAAGAGCCGATGCCTTTAGGTCAGCTGCGTCGTCTTCTGCGAGAAGCAGCTGCTCTCGCTGGTACTCACTACTAACACTCTAGCGGCGGCTGATGGCCGCTTATGCGATGTTTGCATATCAAGCAGCCGTGATGAGATACTGCAGTTGTCCGGTGTATAAGAATATATATATATATATGTACATATATATGTATACGCTTGCTTGCGTGGGCCTTCGTGGCTGTGCGGACTGTTGATGCTGTAGGTGGCTAGTGCTTGAGTACATGCGATGCGAGGAGGCCTTGCAGAAACAAGCCTGTGCTGCTGCTGCCGTTGCTGCGGCGCCTGTAGCTGCACAGCAAGATGTATTAGCTGAAGGCGAGTCTAAAGGCCAGCAAGGAGCCGTGCCACCAGCAGCGTTCGAGGAAGCGGCAACAGAAGAGGCAGGCAAAGGAGCACAGATCAACAGCGGGATCGTCCACAAGACCAGCAAAGAACTGCTGGGAACTGGAAGAATCTCGAGCGACACCTCTAGTGCTAAAACAACTGCCTGCAGCAGTAGGGCGCAGGTGCAGTGCATGCGCAAGCAAGACGCGCCGCAAAAAGCATCCAGTGGTGGATGCATGCAAAGCCTTCTGCAAAGCGTCGACCTTGGCGTCGAATTCTGCCACATATACAGTCATGCACATCACTGGCAGCAACAGCAACAGCAGCCGCAACAGGAAAACCAACGGCAAGAGGCGGGATCGGTGCAGCGCATGCAAACGGATTCAATGGTTTGCCGTGAAGATGATCAGCTGAGGCAGCAGCCCGAGCATCTCCGGCAACCCGTCGAGCAGCAGCTACACCCTCAGGAGAACTGGGAACGTGAGCAGGAGCAGGAGAAGAGACAGTGTGAAGATACTCATGCCTCGGCTGCAACGGCGTCTACCTAGGGAACACGACTGTGGAAATCTCTCATTTTGGGGACTTCCAGGTAGCCAACTTTACTGTGATGCACTACAAGCAGCAGGGGCTGCTGGTTGTGTACTTCTTCGTGGCAACAGTGTGGCATGAGCACCGCACTGCAGCAACCAGAGGTGGAGCACAGGCGTGCAGAAGCCAGAGGGAGCAGCACCCCTTTCAGGTGGCGTGCCGTATGTTACAGTTCACAGGTATTGCATTCCTAGAGAAAGGTCATAAGAAACCTTGGGTGTTTTCACTAGGCCACCTCGCGGGGCTATTTGTGCATTAGGTACTATGCAGACCAGCTACCGCGGAAACAGCCACAGCCTCGGCTTGTTGTACATTGCTGCGCCTCTTGCTGCAGCTTGTGCTTAAAGGAGGAGCAGATAGCTTTTACCGCAGCCCCAGAGGCAAGAGTAGACTTTGGTGGCATCCAGGGAAACTGAGCAGATAGAGAGGCTCTGTTAGAGAGGAGAATGAGAAAATGAGTGGCGTTCTTAGCTGTGCTGCTGCTGCGGGCTGTCAGCCGAATGCTTAACTCTTAGGAAGCAAAGACGCGACAGCCTCTGTCGCGTAGCATCTGAAGTGGTTGCTCTAGTTTTTCCGGGAGCTGGATGCCTCTGTGAGTGCCTTGTCGCTCCTGTTGCCGACGTCATTCAGCGCCCGCCATCCTGTGCTGCTACAGCACCACGTGGGCACTCAGGGCAGAACCTTCTCTCCTCTATCGTCTTGTTTCGCAAGTGCACATCCAGGGGCTTCTTGTGCTGCGGGTTCTGGTCGTAGTGTTGCTTGCTCTTCTTCCGGTTCCACAGCCAATACCCCATCCGCTGGTGCTACTGCAGCGATTGTGTCGGTTGCTGCAGCTGCAGCATTATCAGCGCTTTTTTCTCGGCAGCTAGCCTCTGGTTCCTTCTGCTGGTTCCCGCTTTCCATCGATGGTGTGTCCTCCGTTGCTGCTCTATCTTCGCTTGCCTTCTGCGAACGCGCATAACCCAGCAGGTCTCCATGCTTTGCTGCTGCTCTGAACATCTCGCCATCGCTCATCCCACACGCAACCGGCCGCTAGCGCTACAGCTGCTAGCTCAACCGGCCCTTAGCACGGCTAGTGCTGCCAACTCACTGTTGCTTCTACTAAAGCCCTGGTAGCAGTGCAGCAAAATGAGAAGAGCTCACACAACGGAGCGCCCTCCTCAAGCGAAGGCAGCCACTGGAACTGTGGCACAGCAGACACGCACGTTAGTGTCCTAGACCGTCGATACCTTACTGCAGGAGCTACGGCGGTCGGGGTAGCCTCATGTATGCGAAAGGGCAAAGGCAGTGGCAAAAACAAGGCATCAGGTTCTGCCATAAAGTCCACCTGTTCTTTGGCCCTAGCCAACTTTTTGATCAAGGGTATAACCCCCGTCTGTAGCTCTGAAAGTAGGTGCTGCGTCCTGTAGTGTGCTTGCTGCTGGCTTTGCAGCAGCTGCTTAGCTGCGGTAAGTTTCGCCTCTGCCACCTCAGGGGGCGGCCCGCCCCCTAACACAATCCCTGAAGAGAGAGAGGCAAACCGGCGTTCTTCCACCTACAGTAGCAAAAGTAGCCGGAGCAGCAACAGCGGACACGGAAACAGTGCCATCACAAACCCAGCAGTGTCTAATTTAACAAAAGCAGCGATAGCGATGGATGTGAAAGCTATCACGGCGCTGTACTAGCATTGCTCCGCAGTGCTAAGCCACGGGGAGCACCAGCAGCTGCACTAACAGTGCAGCTGCATATTTCCGCGATTAAAAGCGGGCTAGAGTGTGTGGGTTCTGGGCTACGTTGTCGGGGCGCATTCACCAGCTGGGAGTAGAGACGCTTCTGCTCTTGCAGCTGTTGTAGTTTGGATTGGTGCTGCAGCCACAACAAAAGAGGAGCTCCGCTGCCACATATAACCCCCGCAGGTTTTCCCGCCGAAGCGTAAACACGAGCAACTCTCCTTAGCACTAGTGCTTGCTCCAGCACAACTGCAGTATACCGAGCACCAGCAGAGGCATCAGAGAGTACGTACCCTCTGGGCAAAAGCCAAGAGCTGCTGGTATATGTGGTTTTGGGAAAGGAAGTGCTCAATAATATCGTTTGCATCAGAAACGCCCGTGGCCTCTTTAAGGCGCCGCAACGCATCTTCATAAGCCTCTGCCTCGGCGCTGTCTCGTGGGCTCTCCAAAGGGAGAAGAGATCCCGCTGCCGATGATGTAGCTGCTATAGCTGCAATCCAAAGAGACGTGGTAGAATACCACAACACTGGGGAAACACCTTAGATGCCCACAATGCGCATGCTTGTACTGTGCCATGGTAGTGACGGTGATCATCGAAGCAGCAACTGAACCATCCTTCCTATCGTTCGCGGCGGAAGCGTATTCCTCGTCGCTATCAGCAGCTAGAGAGCGGCCAGCTAATCCAGGGTAGTGTCTTCTTCTACAAAAATTCCATAGGCTTTTACCTGATCGGGCTGCTGCCTCTTGGCAAGCTGCTTCTCGCATCCTGCAGCATGGCGCACCCTGATCCATAGGGGCTAGCAGCTTGCTATCTAGCTGTCCCAGCACTCACATAGTGCATGTGAATGAGTCTTTGGGGATGCTCTATATGAGCTTGGAGTTGGGAAATGCGCATTAAGCAGCGGCGAACGCAAGGGGCTTACGATAGCATTTTTAAGCATGGCATCTAGAGTTTACAGACCTTTTTCCACTTTGTAGCCACTGCCTTATGACCGTATGCTTTTCCTTAACCTCGGCCCCTCTTTTCTGCCTGTCGCTTTCCAGGGCCTTGGACAAGCGATGAAGCTCTGCCTGCAAGTACGTGTCAATCGAATGCCCCAACACGCACATCAAGAGGAGTGTTGTGTCTGCTCACTGCGAGAAGGGCCCTTGTGCAAAACAATATCCCTATTCATGTGCATGCTGTGCATTCTACCGCCTTTGGTATCATTCTGGCCTCTAATTGCTGCTGTCGAGAGTGTTTACTTGCGCCAATTCGTTTGCGTGCGCGGCATCATGACAGACGCCCAGAAGGTTTTCTTGCTCTTGTTTTTTCTCCTGCAGAGAGTGCATACGGTCTCAGCCTGTGACTTAAAGATTCTTCTGCTTGCAGACCGCCCAGTTCTTGCTCTTTTGGCCACGTGTAGTTTTTGCAACTCCCTGGGCAGGTTACTTGCGATACTGTGCCTCCCTCTGGGAGCAGTGGTGAGAACGGCAGGAAGAGACCAATTTGCCGCAGAAGCCAAAAGCCACGATCGCAACCACATGGCAATTATTAGCAAACGCAGGCACATCCGAATCATCAGCAGCCCCAGAGAGTGACCTTTAGGTTCTCTTCAAGTGCTTCCAGGTGTTTGTACAGCCCAATTCTTTCCTTCTTCAATCTACGAGCGATTTGCTCATACGTGGCGCGAACGGAATAAGCTTCATTAAGCTCTATCAAGGCCTGCAGTAGCAGCACCGTAAGGACTCAGGCGCTCGCAGCAGTGGAGGTAGGATTTCTCCTGTAAGTGAGAAAGGAGAGCCTGCCCTCGACTCACAGTGTCAAATGGAAAGCAGCTCAGACACCGAACAGCGTAGCGTACGCAAGAAAAACAGTCTAAATGGAGGCTCTACAAATACGTGCTTCTGTTGCTACTTTCCTGATCTAAGCGGCCTTCAATAGCCCGCATGGAGCGAATCGCAGGAGAATCCTCTGTGCAAGGCTTAGTAGCAGCTAGCTCCAACTCTAGAGGATAAAAGACTCAAAGTCTAAACCCTTAGTTTTCACAACAAAAGCCTTAGCCGCAGACTCCGGAAAGCCCCAAGCTGTGCCCCATGGTGCCACCTACGTGCCCCGCGGTGCGTTCTAAGTGTCATGACAGCCGAAACATGCAGGGTTACACCGGGTAAGACCTTCCGCTAGGTCGAAAACGCTCAACCGTATTCGCAAGCATTGAGCGTAAATCGCTGGCTTCTAACCCTTCAGCTTGTCTTGCATCTGATCCAGGCGCTGGCGGTGTTTCGCATTTTGGTTTCTCTGCCTGTCCAGTTGCGTCCTAAGACGTGCCACCTCCTCATTCTGTGCATGCGTTTCACACCAGCATTAGTAAGAAACCGCACTAGCGGGTGGAAAAGTGAGAAGGTCCTGAGAAAAGCAACTTCATGCGCGCCTGCCTGCTGCAGGTAAGCTGTCCGTCAGGCATCCAAGCACATCACAGCACTAGCCAAAGGCCCTTTGCCTAACTTGCCAGATGCTGTGCTGGGGCACGCTGCCCAAACAAGCATCTGCTGCTAACCTTTCTTTCGATATGCTGAGGAGCTGGTAGGACCCGTTGAGATTTTAGGTCTTTGAGATGCTGCAGCAAATCAGCGTTCTCTGCTTTCAGCTGCAACAACGAAGAGCTGTTCGCCTGCATGTTGCGTTGCATGGCTTTCACGTTGGCGTGATGCTCCGCCTCTGAGCCCAGAACAAGTGCAGTAACAAGGCCAGCACTAGCATGAACAGTGTCTCAATGCACCTCTGTGCTTGGAAGAGACAAGTGGTAGTGGCACTCTCCATAGCAAGGACCAGCCGACACAGCCTCTCGAAGCAAACAAAGGGGGGCAGATATATACCAAGAAACGGGAACAATGACGTGTTGCACAGGACATATATATATATATACAGGCAAGAACAGGACTGAGAGCAGGGCACAAAGCCTTTCGCATACGCCTCGGAGAGTGGAGCATACGGACACAGGGCGCATTGGAGGTACAAGACGACGAATGGCATAAGGAGGCTTGGTCTGCGACGCATGGCTTGGGAAGAGGCATCAAGGTGCAGTACTCAAACACAACAAAATAGGAGGTACTACACGAGGAGAGCAGAAGACAGGCTGGCGGAAACTCGTTGAAGGACGGAGAACAGGCAAGCTAAAGGAGAGGACCAAAAGCCCACAACAATTGTAGAGGTATTCTTAGTGCACTGAGGAAAGAGAGAACAAGACCAAGGAGGTACATGCACAGGCAAAGGAAAAGACCAACAGGAGGAGCGGTGGACATAGGTAGGGGTATATGACAGGAGATACACAGAATTATCTGACCCATAGTGCAGTAGCGCCGCTGCAGATCCCGCAGCTGCTCCTCTTGCTGTTCCACTGCAAGAGCCATGATTCCCTCCTGAGCTGCCGCTGGTGAGAGTTCTGCCCCCAATGATGTTGGTGCGGCTTTTCCTCTGCTGGATTCTCCGCCCTTTTGTTTGTATGGGTGGAGCCGCGGCTCTTAGACTATGCAGGTCGAGGGATGGCCTTTCTCCCCGTCTGGGTCTTTGCTGAAGGCTCTGCAGGGCCTGTCTCTGCCTGTGTTCCTCTTTCCCTGCTTTGTTGCTTTTTTATGCTTCCTGCTTTGCGTCCGTTACTCTTCGTATAAAAAAACTTCTCTCTCCTACGCAGGATACCCCTATACGAAGCCAGGGTGCATGAGTCGACCAGTTGTTCGTAGCCCCTCTAGACTGTCTCTCTCTATTGACGGTCCCGTTTTTCCTTTTTGTCACCTTTGTTTCGCTGTGCATCCAAATGTCGGTTGCAGTGCCCTTCAAATCCCTGCCACAACTGTGTGCAATTGCTTTGACTGTGTCTACGAAAGCCTACACGTTCCACCGAGCTACCGCTCCCCATGGAGCTTCCTGCACACCAACATTCGGCGCGGCATGATGTGGATTATATATATGTACGGCGTCAACTGTCTTACTTTGGCGCTTGCTACGACTCTTAAACCCCGTTCCCAACATTGGTCTCACACTACTCCGGCTATGCTCTACAGCCCACTCATGGCGCTAGCTGCCGCTTCATCGAGGAAGCTACGTGATAAGGCTGTTTGTCCAAGATGCTGCCTTCGTCACTGCCGCTACGTCCCGGCTGCGACGGGGACTGCCATGCAGTGCCAAGAACGTCTTCTGAGTAGTTGATGGCCAGCTAGTATCGCGGCTTCTGTTATCCGAAACAGCAGAGCCATAAAAGGCATGCGAATTATAACAGTGAGAGTTTACTGCGGAAACTAGCTACAGCGCCAGGAACCGCGCGCAGGCAGGCAGCTCGTGCGGTGCGGTGACTTGCCGAAGGTGGAGGAGCGCTTGATAGCTCCAAGAGAGGGCTGTCTCAGCCTTTTTTCGGTTGTAATTCAATGCCCTGCATTAAACGCGCAATATTTCCTCGGGATTTGCTTTTTTTAAAGGGTTAGAACAGGAACGAGTGGCAAGGCTCCTGTTATCGCTGCCAAAGCCCCGCGCGCGGGGAGCGGTGCTTCACCCGATCAGCGTGCGCGTAGAGCGGCGGCAGCAGCGGCGGGAGGTGTATGGAATCCTTGAGAAGCGCAGCAGCAGCAAGGGCAGTACGATGCATGAAATAAGCGTCTTCTTTTGTTAGTCACTTTTGCTGCTGCGTTTGCTGCGGCAACCCCAATGGAGGGGCGGCGGCCTTCCCCCTCGCTCCCTCAGTGATGCGTAGGAGCGGCTCTCTCGCTGCGCCTACCGTGTGTTGAGGCCCTTATCGCGAGGTGTACTGACACATAGTGCCTCGTGTACTGGCTTGCGCGCCTGCTGCTGCGCCTGCTTGCACTTTTGCTGCCGCAGCAGTGCGGCAGCAGCAACGGCCGCCTAATAAGAGCTGAAGGAGGGCGCTCACGCTCTGAGCGCCCTCCTCGCATCCTCCTTCGAGCCTATCACTTGGAAGTTTGAATAACAGCTAGCACTCAGAGTTCGCAAGCTCACACTCGACAAGCCCCCCATTGGCACATCCTTTTTAAATGCTGGGGGTCCTCTAGGGGGGAGCAGGGGAAATGCCCGTCTGCCGGAGACAGTCATTCTCCTCCATCGTGGAGCCGACCGCCGCTGCTTACGGCGGAGGAGCGGCAGCGAGAAAAAGTTCGAACAACAATACAGATGGCATAGACGAGCTGGAGGAAGCCACGGCAGAGCACTGCGTTTCCACAGCGCAGCAAATGCTGAGGCTGATGCTTCAGGTTGTTAGAGCCTGTGTAATGGCCATGGCTTGCGCCATCGGATGGAAGGTACGCCTTGTTGCTGGTGCTCCTCGCTTCACTGAGCTTCGTGTCTTGCCTGCGTTCCCGTTTCTGCTTCCCAGTCCTGGTGCTGCTCGGCTGCTATTACCGAGGCGGCAACAATGCTCCCTATTGTGTGAGGCTGCTGGTGTCTCTGCAGATCGTGGGCTGTCATATCAATCTACAGGCGCGCGCTTTCTCGCTGGTGGTGCTCCTTTTACGGCTACTGCAACTGCAGCTGCTGGACTTGCTGCTCGTCCCGCTTCAGCAGGTGCTGTATATGTGCAGGTGCCTCGCCGCCTTTCTTGCTTATTGGTGTCGGATCGCTCAAGACCCCCACCAGCAGCAGGTGCAGCAACAGCAACAGTCTATACATCGGCATCCGCAAGAGCAGCTCCAGCGACACCTCCTGTATCAGCAGCAGCAGGTGCGCCAACAGCAGCAGCAGGTACGGGTACAGCTGCAGCAGCAACTAAGGGAAATCCAGCAGCAGCCCTTGCGGCAATAGGAAGGAGTTTGGAGGCTTACCTGCCTTTCGTGCCCGGTTCCTGTTCGACACCGCAGCAGCCATTCACAGCCGTTGCTACAGTGGTAGGGGCGGCAGGCGTGAAATACGAAAGCAGCATGCAGATCAGATCTTCATTCATGCTTTCTAGGGTGCAGGTTCGTTAACCGTGGCAGCAATGGGAGTATAAACAGCAGGAGCAGCAGTTGCGTCATCATTTCAACTGCGTCTACCTGCTACACTGTTATCTTGTATCTCTTACAATCGACGAATCAGTCAGCCGTTAATAGGCGTCTTTCCTCACCGAGGTCTTCTCCTGCTGTAGGGGCCTTGGTGAACTCCGTGGAATGCACTCCTCAAGTTGGGGGGGGGCCATGGGGGATCTGCGCAATCCCGCCGTATCTTGGGAGTTCATCCTGAAAGCCTATGCGTATTCCTAGAAATGTTTAAGTGAGGCCCGGGGTTTAAAGGGCTTCCCGTGTTTTTTTGCTTTGAAGGGCGTTTTAGACCCTTTGGGGGCACTCGTCGCGTTCATTACAGCTTTTGTTCGAAGGGGGTTCCTCTGAAAAGCTCCTGGTGTACCCTACGAACGGCAGAAGCAGCGGGAGTGGGTGCAGCACCAGGATGTATTGGGGAGGGGATTCTCAGCCTCTACAGGGATGGCGAGGAGTATGTAAAGGGCACTGCGTCTCCACTTTTATCATTTTCGTCGTAAGACCGTATCCGGATTCTAATTTCTCACCGATACACACACTGTACAGCAAGCGAAAACGGCAGACAAATAGCGTAGGCAGGGGGCAAGGGCTGTGGTTTTTTTGTCCTTGAGGTTTTCAGGCAGATTAAATCGGGTGTATGCGTGGATGTATGTGTATGTGTGTGGATTTGCCTGAGGGAGGCAAGAATACATATCTCCATGTACATATATGTGTTTGGGTGTTGGGATAGAAGCAGGCACACATGTAGAGTAGAAGGCAGAGGAAGGAGTGCAGTCAGGGCGAAAAGTATGAGCGTAGTATGGTGAGAGAGGAAACGCCAAGACAGGAAGGGAGTTGAAGGGTTATAGGAGGCAGACGCAGACCGCGAGGCAGCAGAAGGAAGGGGCATTGGGGGCAGGCCTGGCCGCTGGCAGGGCGAGAGGGAGTGTGCCTGCCCTTGCAAGGTGGCGAGAGGAAGGTGGCTAATACTACAATATAAAACACGTTTGTTTCCCTGTTGCAACAAGACTTGCTGCGCTTAATGGTGGCTCGGGGGCTAACAGACGAGGCCGTTGGCAGGGCTCTTGCCGCCGACAGGGATGGCAGGTAGCAAAGCTGCACCCTCGCTGCAGGAGCAGCAATAAAAGTAACAATAAATTCTGTCCACTACCAGTAGCGAGTGCACCGGGCGCCAGCAACCTATGAGAGGAGGAGAGGTGCTGTGAAGACACCACCGTTGTAACCTCAATAATGCGCGTTGCTCGGTCTGTATGCGCTAGTCCGGTGGCCGCAGCACGCACGTGTTGAGTGCCTCCTCTCCCTCAACAGTACAGCGGCAGTAAGGAGGCCTGCTTCAAAACGCTGAAACTGTGCTGCTGCAGATGCAACCGTACCAAAGGTGCACTGTACAGGTACATGCGAAGCCTTGAGGCCTACGCCCCAGGTGTGGGGGCACTTGCCTCCTGCAGCAACGGCCACAGCTGCGGCTGCACGGGCGCGATGCCGCCTGCCGTAGCAAACAAACACGACAAAGACACTCAGACCTCTCTCTGTATAACTCCACATCTCATGAGGGCCTTTTTGAAATCGACCGCATAACCGGAGATCGAAGGCTGCAGGAGCAGCAGCAGAACTCCAGCCGTGCCCTTCGAAGCGCACCCGAAGCCGTTGCCTATGCCCCACCGCCTGCCACACATACAATACAACAACTACACGTAAATTGCTGAAGCGGCTACCGCGCGAGGAGGTGCAGCATGTCCGTGGTCCTTTGAGCAATAAAAAACATCTGAGCAGAGGCCTGTGCTCCTGCAGCACAAGCAACTGCAGCCGCAGTGGCAGTATAGCGGCAAGCTTCGCACGCAATACGCCTTGTATTATCTGGAACCCTTTCTCTGTACGGGTTTGTTTTGATCCGCTTCCTTAAGGAGTTGCTCCCTAAATTTCTCCGCTCTGGTTTCCTTCTCCTCCTGCTGCCTTTCCTTATCCCTTTCTTGACGCTCCTTCTCCTTCTCCTGCCGCTTCTGCTCAGCACCCATAACTTTGTTCCTTTCCTTCTGCGCTTCGGACAGCTTGAAGAGCATCACAGTGTCTTTCAAGACCTTGTCGCCCCACCCCTCTTCCATACACTCCGCCTCCAGCTTGATGTACTGAAGCTCTTCGTTAAGCTCTTCCTGGACTGCCTGGAATTCGCTCCACGCCGTTTCTGTCAGCAGACCGTTGCGATATAGCCGGTACTTCGCGTTGGCTTCCCCCGACAGCACGAACCACCGCGGCGTGTTTGCAAGCGCGCGGCGCATCAGGAGCAGCTTGAGGGCTTTCTTCTCTTCGGGCTGCAGCAGCTGTCGCTGCCAGCTTTTGCATGGAGGTTGGCCTTCTCCCAGATCCTCATCTGCCTCCGTCACTCGCTGCTGCACCAACAACTGCTGAAACAACGCGCTACGCTTCTCCTCGTAATCCTCTATCTCCCGCGCTGGAGGCGACGTGTCCACCTCCTTGCCTGCCTGCTTCAACACGATGTCCTTCTCTCGACTGCTACGCATCTCTTGCAACACCAGATACCCTGCAGCCCCAGCGGCGCCAACAAAGAGCACTAAAAACACCAACCAACCCAAAGAGAGATCAGGCAACTCCATCTTGGTAAGTCCCTTACTACTGTCGATCGCACGTCAAAACCGTCGCAGCCGCCTCCGGCAACCGCGGCTGCTGCTCCCTGTGCAACAAGAACGAGGAACGGAAGAAAGAAATCAGAGCGCGTCCGAAGGCCAAGTAGAGCGCGCTGCAGAAGAAAGACACTGTCCGCTTTACACGCAGAACCACGTGGGGTGCTGCCAAAGCTTGCAGTACGCTTAGGAGGCGCCACTGCTGCTGCTACCGATGACGCTGCTGCCGCTAAGTGATGCAATCAGTGAAAGCGCAGAGGCGCTTCTAAGACTCGTGGTGCCTTCGTTACCGCGTATACAAGTTAGTCCCTAGTGCAGTAGCAGCAGCAGCAGTAGCTGCTGCAGCCGAGATGTTGCGGTAGCAGACTCTGAAACTAAACCGCGGGTCTCTTTTCCCCCTTGTCGCCATACATCAGCTGCCGCGCTGTCAACTGTTGCTGCTGTACGCAATAGAGGCCCCGCTTGTGCTGCAGCAGCAGCGCAGCGGGAGGCCAATGCTGAAGCGGCAGCAGGAGTACCAGCAGAAGCAGCGACCTGTTAGAAAGGCTCCATTGAGTCCTTACAACAGCAGGCACGGAAGGAAGAAGAGCTAAGAAGCTGTCTAAAAGTGCTGCAGCACACGCAGCGCCGGTAGCAGCCCGGCGGCAGCTGCCGCCGCAGCCGCCGGGCTGCTCCACAAAAAGATACTCTGCTGCCGAGCCGCTCCACCAGAGGTTTACTGCTGCAGCAGCAGACCTAATAATAGAAGCAACAGGAGCAGTTAACTATGAATATGTGGTCAAATAGGTTGATGCAAAGGCATAAAGAAGGTGGGGGTCGAGCCACCAAAGAGAACGCTGCTCTTCGCACCAAGACAGCACTGCCATGACTGTGCTCCTCCCCCTAGCGCTGCACCCGACCTCGAATTCGGTGTGAGATTGGACAGCGGCAAGAACTTCCTTCTGTGCAAATGACTGATATTATGGCCTTGGTATATGTGGGTCGACATTGTATGTGTGTCACAAATGAGAAACGGAAAATACGCTGCGCCGCAGGGTCTTGGGTAGGTGCGATACGCTGACCAGTCAGTCCCTTATGACAAGCTTCGTCGAATATCGATGCACACACAGATCTCCATGCCTTATTTAGCTTCTATAATACAAGGTATTTAATAGGGTGACTTTCATCGACTTCGGGAGATCTCCTGCGCGCCCTTATGGTGACTTTTGTAGCTGCAAAACCTGCATTGCTGGGTGCGTAGATTCCCAAATAGCATATCGCGGGCCCATGTCTTCACAAAGCGACCAACCAAGCTGGAGGTCTGTAGGATGTGCCACATTGGGGTTTCGGCAAGGCAGTGAGGCTTTTCCTGAACTAAGTATAGTGGGATGGTTGTAGCACTCGCGGATGAGCTTTGTCCACTCCAACTCCATCGCTTACAAAATTTCCATTATATATAGCTAGCATGGTAGTATTTGTCTAACTGGTTTGTCTACTCGTATGTCATATTAATCATAGAGTACTGTGGGCTCGATACAAAAAGGCGCAATGTTCTGTGCGTACGCCTTTATTGCGTCTGCGCTAGATTCGATGTGCGACTCTCTGTGAGTGCCCGATGTGCCTAAAGAGCACAGGAGCACGCACCGTAGCTGTCTCTTGCCCCTTATGTCTGAGCCTCTAAGAAGTGGTGGGAGGGAGAGGCGAGAGTTCCTCAGGAACACACTCAAGAACTTTACCGACGTTTCCCCCCCACCACTTCGGGAGTCAAGCACCACCAAAAGGAGACATTAGATCGAGCGGTACGATAGAGAGCAGCTTCTCCACGGAGAGCTGTATGTAGCCGTTGCCGCTGCACAGCAGTCGAGGCATACGCATAGAGGGTACGCCCACAGGCTTAAACGCACCTAGAGGCAGCATGGTAGCGCGAGCCTTTTTGCGTAGCTCCGTGCGATGCCTGGGCATCGAGATAAAGACTAGAGGGGCAAACTCCACTTGGACACCAACTACTACACCATTGTAGTTAATTAGGATGGAGCGAAGAGCTGATCCATCTTCTTGCTTCTTGGTTTTCGTTTTTTGTGATAGAGTTAGCGCAATGCAGTAATCCACTCTATTCAGTGATGTACGCTAGACGCTATGCGCAGCTCTCTTGAATGCCTAGAGTGCTTGAGAGGGCACAGCGACACTTGCCATATCTGTCCGTCTCCCGTCATGTAGGTACCATGAGAAACGAGAGCTTTTCTGGAAGGCACTTAAAAACTCAAAGTTTGCATTGGGTTTGAACATATTCGTCTCCCCACTGAGACCTCAAATGGAACGATAGAGGAGGGGGCCACAGGAAAGTGAAATAGTGGGAGGAAATGAGATAGAGGTTAAAACTAGTGTGCGTTACTGGGTTGTTCTTCGCCAAAACTTTTGTTCTTTTCCCTTTAGACGGTTGTTGCCTAGTCGCAGAACCCCTCGTTCGTCTCCAGCAGATTTCAGTTTCTCTGTCCAGCCCTCGATTTTTGAAGGAGCTGTGCAATGGTATGAATATACTGCCTTCCGATCGCGCTGATCTGCAATTGCACTTGCCTTAAGTGTCGCGACGAGTTCGCTTAGAAGTGAACTCGCGTTGCGGTAGATCTACGCAGGGCTACCCTGGGTGCTAGCTAGGCACTGAAAAGCTGGTGGTTGGATGGAGCACCACCTAGTTGGATGGCTGGACGGTTTTGTGGAGGGTGGGCAGCAAAATATCCAATGGAAGAAATAAATCGCATGAACACCACAACGAGAGTGTGTCTGCTACAAGTTAGCAACCTATCCAAGAGAAATTCCAGTACGGAAGGAGCTAACCCTGATGTTGCCACCGGATACAGCCGTAGGCAACCTATGAGCCAGCTGGTAGCGACTCCAGCATCAGCGCCAGACGAAGCAGACGGCCGATCCTTTTTTGAGGTTCCTGCTGGCAGTGTTGCTCCTGCGGGGGCTGCCAGTCCTGCAGATGGCGCTCTTGCCGATTCTGCTGCCCGTCTTGCTCGTGCTCCTCCTGTAGTGTCTCCTCGCTTGGTTCAGCAAGCCATGCATCGAAGGCTGTATACTGCAGCGGGTGCTCTGATCGAAGCCGCAAACGGCAGAGGAGCAGCGCGAATGACGCCAAATTCGCCTGTAAGTATGCCTCCACCGCCTCAGGCACCAGACCCGCGGCGAGCAGCAGAGCCGCCTGCACGTGTGGAGAGCAGCCAGATCTGAGTAAAGACACACACACACACACACATACGTACATACATACACCACGGCGACCATGCTAGCGTGAGCTGGCATCATCACCCGCATGAAGAGAGACAAGCGCTTTGAGCTTGAAGTTTCCGGAAAGGCAGCAAAAGCATGTGAAGTGTGCCTGCCTTTGTTCAGAGAGGAAGCTGGCGATAAGACACATCCGTGAAGCCTTGGGGAGGCTTATTGTAGCGGCAACAGCAAGCCAAAACCAGTTGCACCCGCAGCCACAGCCGCTGGGAGAGGTGTTGCTACTCCTGCTGCTGTTGCAGAACTCCGCTGGAGCAGAATCATTCGTTGCCTCGTGGTGCCTGCCAGTCTCTACTTCCCACCTCCTATCGTGCAGACGCTGTTGCTCCCGATCCTGCTGATGCTGTTGCCAGTGCAGATACTCGGAGTTTTCAAAAGGTGCGTGGATTCCAGAGCGCCATAGCACCGAGAGGCTCAGGCCAAAATGCACAGGGGGGCCCTGGGAAAAGACAGCAGCACTGTTCAAAGGTACCCATGCCTCGTGTGTTCCACACGACTAGAAAACTTGTATTTGCTAATAGTGACGATGCTGCTAGCGTAGCTGTTCCTCCAGGTACGCTAGCGGCCTGCGAGGCTCACCTGCGGTAAGGCCCCTAGTAGAGAGGGAAGGGCAGCCTCTGCAGCTGCCCGCGCTTCCTGACGCTGATCACCGAGCAAAAACAGCAGCAACTGCGCATCCTCCTGCAATGCCTGCTGCTGCTGCTGCCCAGTTGGAGCCCTATTGTGCTCGCGTTGCTGCTGTAGCGGCGGCAGGAGCACCGCATCCACGGAGGTCGCTGCTGCCTCTACTGCAGCCTCGCTAAAAGCGGCAGCACTCAGAAGCAGTCCCTGCTGCCGCAACTGCTGCTGCGACAGGAAAGCGCTTCCGCCACAGCTGCAACAGCATGCCTGCTGAACCTGACTAACGGCACTAGCAGCACGCGCGTTGGACGGTGATGCGGGTGGGGAAGGGGCAGCGGGGCTCTGCATGCCTCTTGCAAAGCCCGATTTAGCCTTGAGGAGTAAACCATCCTTCGCAGAGGTACTGTGAGCTCCAGCTGCTGCTTCAGATTCTGGGGCCAAAGCTGTTGGCGTCGGAGGCATGACGTCTTGAGCGGTAATGTCAACAGCTTCAGCGCGAGGACGATCTGCAATTTCGAGCTCTGGACGTGCTGCACCTTTGCTTTCTCCTGTATGTACCGCTCCTTGTGCTGTCGCTGTAGAGGTTGTTGCAGCACCAGCCCCTGCTAAAGGTTTCCTCGCAGGCTGGGGGTATAAGGGAAGTCGTAGAGGGTCCCAAAGGAAGACACACTGCTCGACGCCTCCTGAAAGCGCAGCAGCAGAAAGCAGCAGCACAGCGCACCACCGACCAAGTTTTGATGAAGGTCCTAGGCTGCTGGATCTCCGCAAAGCGCTCTGACGCATAGGCTGCAGGAGCTCAGAGAGCCCCTTCACTCGTCGCGGGGTATCCGGATGTCTAAGGGCGCCGCAGCAGCCGGAAAGAGCACCGCCGTAACAACTTACCAACAAGCAGCAGTAGCGCATAGGGTACAAGCTGCTCAACCCAGCAGCAGCGCAGCAGCTGCCCGCCAAAATGTTGCTGCTCGTCTACTGCGGCACCTGAGCAGCTGCGGAGGCAGGCCAGTGGCTTCGCCTCAGGCTTTACTAGATGCACGGCGAGGCGCTGCATTCCCACTGTCGTGTCCTCTCGATGTTGATTGTCATGAGCTGCTGTCATTCCTTGCCTGCCTGCGGAAGTCGCATACTCTACTCCAACCACAACGGCAGCACCGCCGACGCACGTGGCCGCAAGGAGGAGCTCGGGAGTTAAGGCCGCTCCCGAGAGATCTCTACTCCAGCGGACAGTCCACGCCAGACTGGTAACTCCCCAGCTGTTGGTACCGGTGCTACTGCTTTTCTGCTGGTGTTGTGCAGCAGTACGGCTACCAACGGAGCACCCAACGGGAGAAACGGCAGCCGCAGCAGCTGCTGCAGCGTGCGCTGCGACGTTGCTGTAAGTACAACAGTACAAGCACGGCAAAGAGGGTTTCTCCGCCACCTGATGTGCCTGCCCTTCTAGGAGCCGCACCAACTGCACAAAGACCTCTCGCCAAGCCGCAAGCCATAGGCCTCCCTCAGCATCTCCGATGGCTAGCAGGACGTCCGCCGCAGCAAACGGAGGGGGGGCATCTACTGCAGCTTCCGGATCCGCGAGGGCAGCGCCTGCAGGAGAGAAGGGGGTAGCAAGGCCGCCGGCCGTTCCTTCCCACACTGCAGCCGCTGTTGGCTTGTTTCCGAGGGGGAGCGGCAGGCGACCCAGGGAGACGAAGGTTACAGAAGGCGTCACTGTCTCCCTGCTGTTGTGATTCGGCGGCACGACTGCTGCCATGACGTGCAGTTCCGCGGGAGTCTGTGCAGGCCCAAGCGGCTTCTGCTGCTGCTGACGTGGCTGCTGGTGGTGCGGCGTGCTCTCAAGGACGCAGAGGAGCTGCGCATGAGCGGCGGTGGCTGCAGCAGCGGCAGACGTGGCGGCCTCTGCTTCGTGCCCCAGCGCCTCTGCTGCTGCAGCAACGTGCCGGTGGAGTGCTGCTACTGTGGTTGCTGGAAGCGTCGCAGGAACAGACACCACGAAGGGCAGGGAACCTGAGAGGACCTCCGTCTTCGCGGAAAACCTCCCCGGCTCAGCTGCTGTCTCGGCGGTCTCGGGTAGGAGCACCACGGGGGTAAAGGTGTGCCCCTCCTGCTGCTGGGGGGGGTCCTGTGGCTGCTGGGCCTGCCGCCTCCACAGCTGCTGCTGCTGCTGTGGCGAGGCGGCTGCGGAAGGCTTCGGTGCAGCAGCGCTAGCCTTTGCGGCAAGGAGGTCTCCCGTGGACGTCCCCGCCAGCAGGAGCCACTCCAGCTCCTGTTGCTGGACGTGGGGCTGCAGCGGCTCCTGATTGTGCTGCTGCGTGTCGACCTCTGAGGGAGCTGCTGCAGGGGGCGCCTCCCCACACGGCGCCGCCTCGTCAGCTGCAGCTGCCTTCAGGGGGCCTGCTGCAGCGTCTGCAACTGCGACTGCACCGCTTGAGGCCTGCGGGGATCCACTGCTCCTACTGCCACGGCTGCGAGGGCAGCAGCAACGGCCGCAGCAGCGGGGGAGGCGGAGCCAGCAAAGCTCGTTCACAGCTGCCACAAGTGCGTGCCTAGTTGACAGCAGTGTGATGGCGTGCGGCTGCGGCTGCTGCCGCTCCCTGTCGCTTGTTTCTTGTTGCAGCACCCCAAAGTGGCCATCTCCCAAACCGAAGGCCAAGAGCCCCGGCGCGTACGGGTGCACACACACCGCGGATACAGCAGCATGCAGATCCCTCCAGTACAATGCCGAAGAAAAAGGCTTGCTGAAGCACAGCGCCTCCACAGACATCTGGTGCTGCCGCTGGTGCTGCAGCAGGAGCGCCTCCTGCTGCCCGTTTTCGGGACGGAGAGGTGGAAGGGCAAGGGGAGCAGGAGGCAGCGGCAGCTGCGCTCGCTGCCGTCGGTCAAGTGCATGCGCTGCAGTCTTGGCAGCAGCCGCCAGTGTGGGAGGAAGCAGGTACCCCTGTGGATCTAGCAGGGGCAGCAACGGCTGCATCTGCATCAAGGGCTGCAGCTGAGCGTTGACAGCGGACGATAGATCAGCAGCACGGATAGTGGCATCACCACACCCCACAGACACACGTGAGGGCTCAGCACACGACGCCGAGAGAGACTGCGTCCAGCCTCCAAGGCAGCCCAATCGCCACATGAGGCACCCTCGATAAGACGGACCAGCACCTGCTGCTGCTGGGGCCGCTGGTGTCTCAGTTTCGGAGACCTCTTCTGCGGCATCGGCAGCAGCCGCCGAGCCTTCAGCTACGGCCGCATGCACGGGGGTCTCGCATGCAGCGAGTGCGACGGCAGAAAGAACGAGGTACCGGTCCAGGCTGGTAGTAAGGACGAAGAGATGGGGAGCTTTCACCGGCGGATATACAGCTGCGGCTGGTGATGCTTCTGTTCCTTCAGCTTCTGAAGCGCTCCACGCGGCGGCAGCGTAGCAGCAAATAGAAAAGATGGGACGGGAATGAGGCTGCAAAAGCCGCACGAGGTGCTGCGCCTGCTGCTGCTGCTGCTGTCGCCTCTGCGGCTGCGAACGCACTCGTTTGCCGGGCTTGGTCTGCAGCAACAGCACTCGCTGCTGCTGTGCGTCAGCAAGCGCTTGCGGCAGGTGCAACGCCATGAGGTCACCTGCCATGGTTCCTACAAGGAGGCAGTCAGGGGCTGCAGGATGCCACGCGAGCGACAGCCATAGCCGGTTGGTGTGCTGCAGCCGCTGCTGTTGCTGCTGCTTGCAGCTGCCTCCCTTTGAACTAGCTGGCGCAGAAGCCTCCGTCGCCGCTATGCGCGTCTGAAGCAGCAACGTAGCCGCTGCATCAGGAGACACGCACGCCAACTGCAGCTCCTGCCCCCGCGAGGCTGAGGCCAGCAGCCACCCGTGAGCAGCGGCTTCTCCTGCCTCCTTCCCTCCTCCTTCGGGCTGCACCAGCAGCTGCTGCTGCTGTGCAGAAAAAGAGGGGCGCAAGAAGCAAAGGCTTGTCACACGATCCTGATGCCTGCCCAGGCTTCGTAGCACCTGTTGCTGCCTCACATCTAGAAGCAGCAGGGCCCCTCCCTCATACCCGACGGCAGCGAGCAGGCTGCAGCCGCATCGCGTGCTCTGGAGGCTGCTGCTAAGGCTGCTGCTAATGTTGCTGCCAATGTTGCTGCTAATGTTGCTGTCTCGAGGATTGGAGCACAAGTCCCCATCGCTAATCTCCCCTGGTTCTGCCGCGTCGGGGTCTCCCATATCCTGAGCTGACGCCGTCACACAATTTCTGTCATCGCCGTTTTTCTTCTCGTCCGTCGCTGCTGCTTTTCCCGCAGGGCACTGCCACGGTGCGCATGGCGAGCAGCAACACGCGCTGTCGCCGCCGTTGCTGCTGCTGCTGCTCCTGCAGCAGGTTCCACGATTCCACAGAAGAGCGATCTCCGCCACCTTCTCCTGCAGCGGCTGCATGGATAAAGCTGTTACGTGGATTTGCTTGGGGCCCTCTGGGGCCCCCAGGAAACTGGACATGGGCCCTGTTTGCCGCCAGGTTACGATCTTGCCCTTCGCATCTCCGCTGATGCAAAGCAGCCATAGCATGCGCTCAGCAGTCGCTGCCGCTCCAGAAGAGGCTGACGGTGGCAAAAGGCAGCCGCCGCATGCCGCCAGCGTGTCGGGCTCCCCTGCATGCTGCCGATGCATTGCAAGCGGAGCAGCACGCGGCATAGCCCCTAAGATTTGCGTTTGCGTTTGCGGGTGCTGTTGGTGCTGCTGCGTTGACTCATGCCGCTGCTTCTGCCAGTCTTGAGGGGGTATTTGCTGCATCTGGGAGATCTGCTGCTCGTGAAGACGCCATAGTCGCACTGTGCGGTCCGCATGAGCCGTGAAGAAGAGGCATCCTGCGGCTTCGAGCGCCGAGCAGATAAATCTAGGTTGCCGGAGGCCCTTGCTGCTGCTGTTACTGCTGCTGCTGCTGTTACTGCTGCTGTTGCTGCTGCTGCTGCTACAATAGCAGTTTCTAGCAGAGGAGGCTGAGGCCGGAGCAGCACTTGACGCTGCTGCGGCAGTCAGACACCAGGAGACAGCCAGCGGCTTAGCCCTGGTCCCGCAGTCAAGCACCGAGTGTACAGCCCCCTGGCGTAGCTGCAGCAGGAGCAGCAGAGACTTAGTGACAAGGAGACAGTCTCCCGTCAGAGCATTGCAGCTGCAGCTGGTGCTGCAGTGCCACCGCGTGGAAGCGGGCAACACACACTGCAGTGCCCCTGCCGCCGACACTACCTGCGGCTCCTCCGGAAGCGCCTTCTGCTGCGCTTCCTGCTGCTCTGCTTGCTGCAGTTGCTGCCGCTGGTGCTGCAGGATCTGCCGCAGAAGGTCCTGCTGCCGGCGGAGCAGTTCTAGTCCACTGTCTTCTCCCTGCTCCAGCAGAGCTTCCTCGAAGGGAGGCTGCATTGTGTACGGGGCCCTCGCTGTACCCTTCGGGCTTCTAGGGGGTCCTCACCAGGGGGGCCCACCGGGGCCCCGCACAACCACTTCGAGCGGCGAGGACCTCCTCCTGCCCTCGCTGCTGCCGTTGCGGTGCTGCTGGAGCAGCAGCAACAGCTCAGAAGCCCTTTCCCCACCCAGATACACGCGTGAAACTAGGGGAAATAAGAATTCTCGGGGTTAAATAACGTCAATTGCCTGCATGCGGTGTGCGTAACAAGAGGGCCTGCAGGTGCTGCTGTTGCTGCGTGGGAAGCGGCGCAGGGCCCTCGAGTCTACTCTCGCAGCACAGCCCCTTCCCCCCTTCGAGTCGGTTTCAGCGTTCCCTGATGGTTGGTGCCCTATTTAACAGCAGCAGCAACAGAAACACGGTGGCTGCCACAGGGGGCTTGTTCTTATCTCTCTCTTTCGGCCCCGTGAGGAGGAAGTTCCCCTCAGTCCCTCGCGCGCGTCCTTCTTCAGGTGTATCCGTTCCCTGGCTTCTGCTTCACGGGCTTGGCAAAGTCGGCCTTCGATAAAAAGAGAATCAGCAGCCGTTAGCCCTCCATAAACTGCGGAGACTGCGCTCTGGAAGCGGACAGGCTGCATACACACACAAACACGCACATCGAAGCACAGTCAAAGCAGTTGTAAAAGCAGCCCTTAACCCCATGGATCCTGAAGCGCTGCAGGGGACGCCTGCCAGCGAAGCTGCTGCTTCTGCTGCTGCTTCTGCTTCTGCACCTCCACCTCTAGCAACTCCACCACCAGCACCAGCGGGAGCAACAGGGGCAGCCTCAGCGGGGGCCCCCCCGGCAAGGGCCCCTGCTGTGGTCCCCGAGCAAGAGAGGGCCTTACAGCGGGAAGTAACGGCGGATATAGCGGTGGCAGCAGCTGGAGAGGGGCCTTTGCTGCAGCCAAAAGATCTGGACCTGCTCCGTGCACTGCTGCCCGTCTCCGAAGCCCTCCAGCAGCTCCTGCTGCACAGGCAGCCTCTTTTCGAGCCAGAGCCAGCTGGATCGGCAGCCGAGGAGTCGCAGCCGCTGCTTCCTGCAAAGAGTCACTCATGGGTACTTTGGAGCCTTCCGGGGGCCTTCGCCGCAGGTTTGAGGCATATTGGCGCAATGCTACGCTTGACAGGAAGCGGCGCTTCTGCGCAGGCAGCTTCGGGAGAGTCTGGAGCGCATGCGCTGGAGTGGCTGCCTCGTACCGGCCGACTGCTCGGCTGTACGGACACCCCCAGCTTCAGCCTCAGTGCACCCCACTGCCTCCCGCTCCACCTGCTGCCTCCGCAGCTGCGGGCCTTGCAGCGCCAGCCAGTGCTGCTTGCCGCCGTCGCAGGAGATTTTTCGCTGCTGCTGCCGCTCTACACTGCTTGGTGGGAAGCCTGGCAACAGCAGCAACAGCAGCAACAGCAGAGCTGTCCGTGCAGCACGTCGGAGGGCAGTAGAGCCGCGGCTTCCATAACGAGCTCCGACTGCACGGCACCTTTCGCTAGCGGCAGCCCGTGTGGTGGCAACGGCCTTAGCAACGCAAGGCAAATGCATCCAGTCGCGGACTATCACGGTTTGCTACTGAATCTTAGCTGCATATCAACGGACGGTAGGGATGCCTTGTTTGCTCTGTCATTGAAAACGTCGACTTCTTCGGGACGCATATCTCTATCAGTGCAGCAGCTCGCACAGCTAGCCATCCTTGCGCAGTGCCATATGCTCACGACTCCCGTCCACGAGCTCCAGCAGCAGCAAAGCGAGCAGGAGCAACACACAAGGAAGGCCCAGAGGAAGGCAGTGGCGCTGACACTCAAGACTCTGGTGAGGCTTGTGGTTGCCACCGTGGAGGAGGGGGAGCACTTGCTGCTAAGGCGTCTCCTCTCCAGCAGCAAGTGCTCTTCCTCCTGCGGCGAATGCGGTTCAAGCGAGGGATGCCGGAGCACGGGGGTGTGCTGTTGCGCGCTGCCTCTTCCTTCCGTGTATCAGCCGCAGCGGCAGCAGCAGCAGCCACATCAGCAACAAGTCCCTCCTGTGGTAGCAGTGCCTTATCTGGTGGCTCAGCTGCGCTGTACTGGCAGCGAGGAGGTATTGCGGGCTGCCGCTGCGGAGCTCAATCAGATCCTCTCCGCTTGCCCGCCGGGCCTGATTGGTGCTGTCCACATCTCAGGTGCATGCGAAGCAGAGCGCCGCTTGTCGGAACGGAGGCTGATGATTGCTGCAGCAGCACAGGCTCTGGGTGTTGCTTCTGTTCGTGCTGCAGCACCAGCAGCAGCAGCGACGCCTGAACGGCCGCTGCTGAGGGTTCTCTCTGTGCACTCAGAGGCGGGGCCCCTAGAGCTGCTGCATGCGCTGCTGTTAGGGGGAGATGTTGTTGAGGGGGGGGCTGCCGCCAGCGGCAAGAGCGCAGCGGCTGGAGTGGCTTGGACCTTCGGTATGCCATCTGCCGAGGAAGTTGCTGCTGCTGCCGAGAAGCAGCAAAGGCGGGGGCCAGAAGACGACAGTCGGGATGCTCTGCAGCTGTTAGAAGCATGGCCCTATGAGCGCCTCAGGATGCACAGGCAACTGAATTTGCTGTCTCCGCGGTATGCGGAAGACACGCGGTGTCTTGACGGCTTGCCGAGTGAGAGCAGCCACAGCGGCGCAGGAGAAACAGTAGAAGCAGCAGCCGCCTCTGCCGCGGGCCTGGCCCCCGAGGACGCAGGAAAGAGTGTCAGAGAAGAGGAGCGGCAACAAGAGCCGCAGTTCACAGAATGCGGATTTTCATCTTCCGTGCGCGAGAGTCGTTGCTACATTCGGCACTTGCTTGTGCAGCACGAAATGAACGGTTCTGCCCTGCTGCAGCAGCACAATGTGGAGTGCTGCCTTGCGCTTGCCGCTGCAGTCCGTGAAAACATCCGGAAAGGCACGGTTGCTGCATTTGTTAGCTGTTTCTTGGAGAAGCAGACACTCACCCCGCAGCAGTATGACGAAGAATTTGCTGTTGTTGCAGCAGCACCCGAGGTGTCTGGCGAGGCTCCTCAGGACGTCGAGCACGGAGACCTGGTCCCGCAGGCTGAAAATAGGCAGCCAGCGACTTTTATGGAGTCTGCAATAACCGCCGGTAAAACGCAAGACGGAACAAGCCAGGAAGAGGGATCCGCAGCACCTGCTGCAGAGAAGGAAGGTGAAGTTGACACCTCTCGAGGTGATTTCAGCCTCAAGAGCTGCAGCAGTTTGCAGGAGGCATCTGGCTCGGCAGTAGCACGCCCTCGTGGTGGTCGCCTCCGCAGGAGCAACAGCAGCAGCGGGGCCGTAGCAGCCGACAGCAGCAGCAACTTGCAGCCAGTTCAGAAGAGGCGTCGCATACAGAGCTAAAAGGGAGAGGGGAGGTGGTGTGCAGCGGCACACCAGCACCGGCTGCACGGGCGTAGTTCCCAATCCTTCGAGCGAAGCGCCTCCTACTCCGAAAACATATGCGCCAACGGCGTCGGCCTTGTAGGAAGTAGCAGCAATAACAACACACGAGCTTGCGCCGAACCGTATTCCCGTGCGACCAGAGCACGTGGTGTATTGCTTAATGGCACAACATTTACGAGGGCGCACGCGCGCTCAGGCAGACACACACTCACACACACGTACACACTCTACACAGCGCCGCCGCACCGGCTGTAGGCCAAACAGCCGACCACACGACCGACTCCGTGTGCTGGCGTTGCAGTCGCGCAACAGCACTAGGACGTCGTGTGGTAGGCAGCAAGGGGCTGCGGTTTTTACTAGAGACATGTCCGCCTGTGCAGTAACCAGGTAGTGTTCGAGCACATGCTTCAGCTACAATGCTGTACTTGCCAGTACGCGCCCCCCCTTTGCAGCGATTACAGCTGCACCAGCAGCGCGTCAGGCATGCTGTTCGAAGAAGGGAGTACAACAACAGCATCCGTTTGTTTGGCAATTGATCAGCCTAAAACTTGGTGTCGATACAATTAATTCGTCTAAAGCCACCACATCTAGAGTGCTCAAACGCCTTTTCGACTATAGCTAAGAAGCCGGCCCTATCCACAGTAGGCCCACACTCTGTAGGAACCTTAGCCCTCGCGTCTAGCCTGAGTTCCTTTGTAAAAGCTCGCAGGAAAGGACGTGCATTAAGCGGCTCCCTCGCCGCCTGCCGTCTCCACTCTGCCGGGCACATGTGGCGACGCCTCGACAGCAGCAGCCACAAGCTCTGCCTTGTGCGGATGTGCTCTCTATGACAACATGAGGGTTGCTCTGGACGATAGGCCCCAGGCAACCCTTTCCCCTCTCCACCCCCAGCGCTTCGCCCCGTTAAACGTGCTAGCGCCCCTTCTATGGCAGCAAAGCCCTCCGCACTGCTGCTGCTGCTTCTATCCTAACCCCTAGGAGCCGCGGCTACATCTCCCGCTTCCCGCAGTCAGCCTTTCCTCATCCCGTCTCACGCCCTGATGAAGCAGCAGCGACTTTAGATGAGCATGGCTTCGATGCTGTTTTTCAGCTCAGCAATTTGCGGGTTAAGCGCGCTACCTTCTCTGCTGATGATGCAGCACGCAATCACGGGCCGTGTGACACCACAGGATCTCCCAAGTGCAACTTTAGACTTCACAAACACATAGGGGACGTTCTGAGGAAACACAAAACCGCAAGTGCGAAACTAAGCCTGTGCATACGACGCAGCCTCCTTCAAAAACCTTAGAATAAAGTCTACCAGCCCCGCGCACCCCTCCGGATCCTTCTTAAATCTCCCCAAACCACTCCAAACATCAGCCCTTCATCCCGCTACTCTTCTGTATGCCAGACAAACCTCCATAGCTCTACCAGATGTATCCACAAAGCCTCCCCTTCTATGCCTGCCCAAATTCACGCTCACCTTGTCTTCGCACAGAAGCGGCAGGTGGAGTAAAATCTCCAACGGTTCTGCATCAGCAGCGAGAACTATCAGCTCGGCAATGCCGCGACTCAGTCCCTTTGTGGCTGCATGGAGAAGAAACACATCCAAAACATCCCTGAGAGTCTTACTGCTCCTGCGCTCTCGCTGCTGCACGTCGCCTTGTATTCTACCTTCCAAAGTGTCAGTGCACCACACACATGACTCGAGTAAACACGCTCCAGGGAACCAGAGCGGCCTTCTAGCCCTAAGGACCGCCTGCTAATGCAATCCGCTTCCGGTAGCCGCTTCCATAAGCAAAAGCGACATGCGATACATTACCGGCGAGGGAGGCCGCGGCAATGTATTCAAGAGGTTCCTACCAACGCCATGCTTACCTTCATTGGCACCTTTCCTCAGCTGCTTGTAGCTGTGGGCCTGCTGGACGGTTCCCAAGATGGTGTTGGTAAGCTCATCAGAGGCTAGAGGGTACGCCTTCGGGTTTATCTCTTTCTCGGTGACCGTCATCTCCGCTGCAGGGCGCTTGGCACTACAGAGACTTGGTTTCCCACAATTAGAGGATAATGAAAGCGATAAGAATTCACAGAGAAACACGGAGGGAGAGGAAGACTAATAGACCAACCGGCAATATGCGCCAAGAAGTATGCTGTGGGGTGTGAGGCTCGGGGGAGGTACAACGCTCTTGACAGGGCATATGCCGCTGCTTTCATTGCGTCTTCTTGCGTCCCCAAAACGCATTCATAAATTGCACGTAGAATGACGCTGCTATATTCGTTTCGCCGAATGTCATCCCCACTGTTGCCTCTCAAGGGGCCGCCGGCACTCTTCGTACAGCCCCCATGACGCCCGCATGCCGCCTGTAGTGTTGTCGACGCTGCGGTGCCAATGCCTGCTAAATTAATCTACTTGTTTTTCCATCAGGCTTTATTAGCTACAGAGAGTCAAGAAGCATAGGGAGTCCCTCGAGCCCACCCACCCGGTGCCTGAGGAATTACGCCTCTACAGAGCACACACCAATTCGTAACCAGTGGCCACCTTGTGCATTGTAGACAGTCCGAAAGCTAAAACCAGTTCAATACTTGAGAGCTGTGTGAGGCCTCTGAGACTCGAGCCTCTACATTGCTTTGCTGTGTCCTACTCTGGGCCTTGGTCGGTAATTGTAGCCTCATGCAGGAACGGAGCGGTACAATGGCTAGCTATCCTTTGACCTTATTGCAATAGAGGCGAATCATGGTCGTTTTGAGTCTTTCTCCTCTCAGTCGAGACGAAAAGAAGGCAAATAATTCGTAACTGCTATCCATGGAATGCCAGGGCATACGCATTGCGTCCTAGGCTAAGTTGCTATGATTGTAGCGGGCTAGGCTACGCGCAAACACTTTCTACTACACTGGTTCCATTTACTTAAGAAGCAGTGACGAATCTGTTGGCTCGTCCCTCCGTACATCTCATTTCTTGTAGAGTGCATAACCCCTCACATAATGATCCTCCGAGGTCGCCGTAGAAGATATTTCGATTAAGATTCAACACAAACCTAACTGAGCATTAATTATCAATTCCCGCTTGGTATGGGCGAAGAAGGACGCTTCGGGTGGACGTTGCTGCACTCTCAAAGCACTTCATGGGTTCACGGCTAGCTGCGCATACCATCTAGCGCGCAGGTGCGAGAACATTGTTTCTGCATCAAACCAACAGCACTTTGCAAAAACGATTGCAGATGAACGGAAAATGCAAATAGTCAAACCTTTTCTAGCTGTTTATCTAATATAACTAGTAGTATAAAGGGTTAACATGTGACTGACCCCGCAAAGCTTTGCTCCCCCCATCTCATTCATGCACACACCCTCGTGTTCTGTACCTATGCGTCGAGACCAACGCCGTGCAGGGTAGCGGAAATGTTCTAGCCATATCGCCGCTCCCCTGGCAGGCAAAAGCACAAATACAGTGCAAGAGAGATATATATTTGTGTGCGCGGACGGCTAAAGTAAAGACAACCGAAAGGAAGACCCACACATAAGCCAACAACGAACGAAGGACGAGACCAACAGGACTCTGCCTGGCAGGGAATTTTTTCATATAGAGGCACAGGATCCATAGGGAGTACTGGATAAGGGCTGGTTTTCAGGACTATTGAGCTCAGGGGACACACTAGTCAGGAATTTCTAGTGCGCTGCATCAGTGGACGCCCGCCAGCCGCCCTATGGATCCTTTGCCTCTATATGTGAAAATTCCCTGCCGGGCAGCGTCCTCAAATATGTGTGATGGCGTGGTCGTAAGCTGTCCCGAGCGCTGAGATGTTTGATTCTCTGCTACAAGAAGACAGAAAACAAGTAGATGTTCGAAGAGAGCCTAAATACCCCTTACTTCAACGGTGACACCGCACCTCGTAGAGCAATCTTTGCATACAAGTAATGCCGGTTCATGAAGCATGGTCTATTCCTAATCGCTGAGATAGGCCAAAGGAATTGTAGAGGGACAGTGTGTCTGAGTGCGCCTGTCCATACTCAGATTGAAAAGAACACCTCAACACTAATATTCAGCAACGGTCCAAGAAATAATTATAGATCAAGGTAGCTATTGACTCATGTGCTCGGGCTTGACAACCACCAAGGAATGCAAGGAATAATTTCCACGGCGACTAGCATTGTTGCAATGACGGAGCAACGAATTCCCCCGCAGGCAGCCATGTCCGTAACTGTTCTTCCAACAAACTTCGCGGCTGGCATCCCCTAATGCAACTCAATAGAAACTCCCGACTTGAGTCTCCCCAGAAATCGAAAATCCTAGAATCCAGTCCTTATTCAGCTCCCTATGGATCCTCTGCCGTTATGTGACAAACTTCCTTGCCAGGCAGAGTCCCCAAATACATTGGAAGAGCTCAGACGCTTCTTTCCTAGACCAGTGTTGACAGTTCTGTAGCATCTAGCATTTTTATGGAAATAGATCGAGTAAGAGCATGCATTAATTGAAAAAGTAATCGCAAATAGTCCAAGCTGCCTGGCCACAAAGTTCTTCGTCTGGTTGCTTTAGGTGGACTTTGTAAAGCTGCTGCTCCACCCGGAGCAAATATCCAGGCACAAACACACATACCCGACCGCTGCTTGCCATAACGCCGTGCTTGACTCTCTTGAGCTTTGTGCATTCATTCATGTGGACTAGCCGCCTACTATCTGAAAATAGTTGCTGCTAAACGTGTCTGCTCATTTCGGATCACCAGGTCCAGGCTGAGAAGGGAGAAGGGCTTCTCAGCAGAGACCTGGAATGTGGGAAGGCAACGGGTAGACCAGTGTTCCGTTGTATTACCAAACGACTCAGGAAAACAATATCATGCCAAGCGATTTCATCATCTGAGCCTTGTTGCAAATCCTGCAGAAGAGCCCAGTTGCCACATTCTTTGTCCATCTGCCTCGGGATGCTTGGCAGTCGTCGTTACCTGTGGTCTAGGCAGACGCCAGACCGCTCTAGAGATCCTTGAACTCCATCGTCATAATGATTATCCTAGGAAATCTGATTTTTTTATAGATGCAGCAAGACTGCTTGAAAGCCTCGCTGAGCCTTGGCCTAGCCGGAGCAAGGGATGAAACGGGCGCATTTGCTGAGTCTGTCGACAGCCACGTATATGCTCTTCGGACCCTTGACCCCCAGCAGTCGAATAACACGGTCCCTAGGGAGATGGGTCTAAATCATTTCAAGACCCAGCCAGTGTAGCACGAGTCTGGCCTTCATGTTTCTAATTTAGCCATTTGTACTCGATTTATTCCACCTGCCATTATGCATGCATAAATTGCGCGACCCCAGCTGGCGACAATTTAGGCACTACAGTGCAAATCCACTTGACAAGACGCATCCCACGCCGCCAGGACAGTGAGTGCTTCTCACTGTAATGTGTATCGCGTCCTGTCGCGAAAAAGCATGAGCAGGTGTTTTGCTCGATATGGAACTGCGCAGCGAGGTCGATATGTACAAACGACGGCTTTCCCGCTGTGTTGCGGATCACAGTAGGCCATAGTGCCAGTCCTTCACACTTTTGCCGTTCTTCTTTGGACGATATTAGCAGAGGAATGGGTACCAGATGCATAAAGGCTGATCAATTTTGATAACATTCGTGGGGCATCGCAGACAATAGCGATGCCGTAGCACAATAGTGGAAGGGTGGGTCGGCGCGCTCGCTACCACGTTGGCGATACCTGCTATATACGTCATCATAACATCGTTCTGCGAAAGGCGCTCAAGCGAGTGAGCAACTCAAAGGCTGTCAAAATGTTGAAAATTTTTTGTAAGCTACAATAAAGAGTGAGGATTATCTGAAGAGTAAAATTATTCCATGGAAATGGTCGTATTTTCACACCCTTTTGAATTGCACAGATCTGCTTTCCCCGCACTGAATACTGTTGCTTGGTTTGGGTGAGGCAAAGTCTGCTTAACGAGGATCGAGCTCACCGCTACATCACTAGCAACGCTTGTTGCTTCGAAGTGAAGTTAATCTTTAGAGTGCGCAAGTACGGGAAGAGTTTTATGACCGACAAGCGCCCTTGCTGCAGCGCGAGCCTTCTCTGTCCATGTCATAGCCTGCATTTTCTTTAGTAAACCATTCGAAGGCATAGAGATCTCAGCAAGTCCAGGACAGAGATTTCCGTAGTAAGATACGGGTCCGTAGTACGTCGTAACGTCGCTGCTAGTGCGCAACTCGAATTTGCCAATGTGAATGTAATCCCCGTTGTGTGCCTGTTACTAAATCGGATGGGGATTTGTAATAAGGCGCCTGTGAAGTCAAATGTAAAGTAGACTACTGATGCATGCACTCGGCCGTGCGATTCGCCGGTATTCGGCATTGGGAGTTTCCGCTTGTGAGGGGTGCTGCTTGGAGGCCTCGCTAGAACGCACACAAGCCACCTTTTGCCCTTCTGCGACACAAACACCGGGTCAAATCCAACATCGATATTCGATGCCTGCAATTCGACTTTCACAACAGGCAGTCCGCTTGCCACTCGGTCTCGTTTTCATGCTATGGGAATTTCCGGTGTAGTGGAATGTACCTTGATGTTGGCTCAGGAATAAGGTTATTGCAGTCCACTGGACGACACGCAGGTGATTTGGCTGCTGACAACTCTTCACTATATAGGATATCCGTGAATTTCCCCGTCATATATGTGTATTTCTGCTGTTCCTCGACTAGAAGTTCAGTTGCAAGCCCAGATACAGAACCACTTGATGGACTTTTAAGACAAGATGCGTGCTCAAAATCGTCCTTTCTTTTTACTTTGTCAAGCCACTTACGTGGAAACGTGTTCGTCACCATGTGATGCTGAATCTACCGCTCTCATCACGAATGAAAAGAGCGTTGCGAAGAAGACCAAAAAACGGTTTTTTCACGAGCTTTCTGAAAAGCTTAGCCTAACAGCGTGCAGCTGGGGCCACATGTGCGCCTTCCGTTGGCTCACTCATGGCAAACCTCGGATTCCATCAACTTGCCGAGGCAGAGCTCACAGTCACGGACATGCTGAAAGGATCCAGTTACATGACGAAGCAGCATGTAAATCTCGTTAGTATGCCAATCCTTGAAATCTGCCGTCTGTCGGCATAGCTGAGTCTTAGGGACTGCTCTAGTGGGACAACAAGCAGATTGCACTTCTGTGCCATTTTCTCGAAGAACAGATTCACCTTACATATTCTCAAGTAGCGCTAGCAATTCTTGGCCATAATTTTGAGCTTGCATGAACGCAGCACCTACATGTGGTTGCTCTTTAAAGGCGGCTCTGTTTTAGTTTACTGCGCTATAGCGTGCGTGGTGATTTCCGTTTTCCTGGTACACCTACATTGCTCGCCAAGTAGGCTGCTTCTGCTGCGGCCAGTCTTGAAGTTCTTTGGCTCGTGCGTGCGTTTGCAGTTCCAAAATATTTGACCTAATATCCCTCAGTAGAAAGAGGTGCGTTGTTGGCAGGCTGCCTCGGGCTGCCTGTGGGCGCGGGTTCCTAATGGCCTTCCAACCCTTTCTCGTTTGTCCTAGACTGTGGGCCAGAGCCGGTTGACACTGCTCCGACCTTCATCGGTTCTAACTATAGATTTGGCTCGTTCTTCCCATCCAAAGACTCATGAGATGTTCTTCTTTGCTCCTGAAACCTGAACTCTTCCATCGTTGAAGGATGTTCCACATGTTGGCTGTTTAATTGTTGAGTAGTAGGCCATCCTCCGACCACCTGACGTTGCGCTTCACCTAGATCACACACAAACTGGTGACAAAGGAGCTGGTCGTCTAGGTCGTGATTACTGCAAGCCGAAAATTTCCCGTTCTTGATATGCCGATATATTGATTAATTCCCCGAATAGCGATATCTCTGTTTTCCCAGATGTTGCTGCTGGAATGAAATCGACGTTACCCGAAGAGTCAGGGTGTGTATGAAAGCCAAAGCTGCATCAATCCTCGCAGGTAGAAGACTTCATCTGAATGAATATAGGGTCACGGTTGGACTGCTTCCCAGTTAAATAAAGACGCCGCAAGAAGTACTTGTTCCTTTTACTCCGGAGTGGGTAATAGACAGGTGACGCCATTGTTCTGTGGTCGGCACTACGTCTTCAACGCATCCATAAACATTGCATTGGCTGAAAATCATGCCTTCTGTCAGCTTGGAAGCTTCTGAGCTTTAAAGAGCTCGCTGGCCGGAATATCCAAGCTCAACAGGCTCGATATCACCCAATCCTTTGGTTGGTAGAGGGTGGTTTCTTAGCGACATTTGTCAAAGAGTCTCAGGTTATCGAACTACCAGATAGCTCGATCGATACCACACACTGTGGAAAGCCTGACACCCCACTGTATCCACAGCTATTGGCTGGTCAAAGAAGAGCTGCATCGAATTCTGCAGTGACACCAACTGAAGCGCTCTATCTGAGATCTCCGTAGGAGACATTGTGCAGTCAGATCGATGCAAGTTTCAGAAGATAATATCAGATGTCTATCAACAAAACCCTCTCCCTACCCTGTCCTTGCCCTTCAGAGGCACCAACATGAGGGAATAGGGATAGCTACGCTGCGTATAGCTGCGCCTTATTAACCCTCCAAGCATTCGCAGCTAGTTGCAGACACATCTGGACGCGGCCCACACGCAGAGCATCGATTCTTGCTGTGTTGAACTAGCATCTGACTGCAGTATAAAGAAATCGTACGGTCAAATTAAGTAGTCGATTCATTACTTATTCTTATTTGAATGTAACTAATGTAGTAGAAAGTGCATAAATGTAGCTTTGCCTGGCGTTCTGCTAGAAACCGAAAGCGTCATATCAGCATACGAGCCTCGACTGTAATAATTAGGTGTTTCGTCTAAGCATAGGCGAGCCTACAGTGACGATTATCAAGCAGTAATTCGAGCGTTACATTTACCAGTGTCAGCCCTTGCAGCTAGACCCATCCAGTTTTATGAGAACTGCTCTCCTGTTTACAACAAGGCCTACGCAATACAAGCCCAATTTCTCGCATTCATTACTGTACAAAGGTAAAGAGAAAATTGAGATCTCGTGTTCAAAGTGAGGGGCCCCTGTAATCTGATAGGGGCCCCCAGCAGAAGGGCCCCCAGGGCGGCCGCCCGCTCAGCACAATGTAGTGTGGCTACGTGTGCCGTGAGAGATTAGGGGCCGTGTTCTGAGGAGCGAGAGTTATCAAAAGCACATCTATTAATGGGTGTAGACTATTGCTTGTTGCTCTCAGTGCTGTTGCACAGCTGGAACCAGAGGAGCATCAGCAGAAACAGCGGCGGCTGCCTCGCGCTGCCTTTCGACACAGCATGGGCCCCCTGCGCCATATTTTTCCTTATTTTCCCATATACTCCTAAAATTATAACGAAAGGGTCTCAAGAGGCGGCCCCAAGATGTCGTCTGATGCACAGGTGGCGCCCAGCCGCATGTAAGCCGCGATATGATGCTCTCGGGCAGCTCGTAGCATGTGCAGAGGAACCGTATCGCTGTTGCTGAGGCTGTTGAATCGCTGTTGCCTTTGTTGCTGCTAACACAAGCGCCGCTTTTTGAGGCTGCTTCCATAAGCGCTGCGGTTGTGCCGGCCACCCGCTTGGGCTCTTGCTGATCGTGGTGTAACTGGAGTAGCCGCTTGTGTTGATCCTGCTGTATTCGTTGGTTTTTCTTCTGCTCTTGTACCCGACAAGACGGGTGGTGGCCCCGGTGCTGTGGGTGCTGTCATCTGAGGGGGCTATGTCGCTGCGTGTGGCCATGTTGGTGTTGTTCGCGGCTTAGGACTCTGCAGATAGCCAAGCAGAAGAAGAAGGGCGCAAATCAAGGCTACCAGCTCCTCAAGAAGAAGAGTGATGCTCTTTCTTCCAGATTCCGCGGCATGCTGAAAGAAATTGTGAAGGCAAGCGAGGGGAGGCCTCGTAGGATTGAGGGGCCTTGGTTGAGGCCATACGCATTAGGGTGCAAAATTGAAGCATTTGAGATAAAAGCATCGAAGATAAGCATCTCTTGATTTAAAGGCCTAGTGTTTACTGCTTGCTTCTGCGAGTGCGTCAGACCAAGTTATCCATCGGCGATACAATAAATGAGGCGCACTTCTCGATGGCCAAGGCCTCGTGGGCAGGGGGCGGCGACCTCCGGGATCAGCTCATGGAGGTGAGAGCAAGGAGCGTCCAACCAGCATCTGTTGTTTAACTTCGTGCCTCAAAGATAATGTACGCTAGACTTCTGCTCTCGTGCGAATCGTCATGGTTTACGCGTCTCCTGGACGTAGGACTGCAGAACAAGGTTTCAGTGCGTCAGACCTAGGGTGTGGGGTTTGATGTGCTCCGTATGCAGCGCATTAAGCGGCCCGCGGTGTCTGTGACTGCCGCGTATGATAATGTAGCGGGGGTTCGACTGCCGGTCTTTCAGATCTCCACTGACCCCACCGTGGACAGTAAGAGTTTGGGATTGTAACTTCAAGAGCTTGGGTGTTCTGCAGCAACACAGCTTGAGGGTTTCTTTTACAGCGCACCATTTCGCTTTTGTTGTGAAGGGGCTTAGAGCTTACGCTGGACTGCGAGGGGGCGATGGCTAGAGCCTCTTTTGAGGATGCAAGGTGTTTCGGTGTGCAGTCCTGAAGAATATCAACCTCTCGGCGGGGGGGCATGTCATTCTGGCAGCAAGAGACAAATATCAAGAGGCTCTCTCAGAGCTCGTCAAACTGGCTTCACTTCAGGTATGCAGAACGTCTCAGCCTCAGTAGATGGAAACTGAATAATCGCGAGATCTGCTGGGGGCACACATACTAGGCTTGCGGGACACTTGGGCGCGCGATTGGATGTAAGGGCTCGAATTTCGCGTTCAAGGGATTGTGCTTCTGCAGACGGCCTTTTTTACTCTAGACGAGGAGATTAAGATGACCAACAGACGCGTTAATGCCCTTAACAACGTACGCCTTTCTCTGAACTGGATTCCGGGAGCTCGAGGGATAGGGGAGGGGGCGGGGCACAAGGCCGGTAATCTGCACTCAGCGACCACATGAGGTGGTGCACTCTGTGGGGTGCTGCCAGAGCCACCAAATTTTGTTGTAAGGCCATCGGGGATGGCTGGAGGGTCGAAGGCGCGTATATACTTATTGCATCAGAGCATACGATTTAGGGCTATGAATTTTGTTCAGGTGGTGCTTCCCAAGCTAGACCGCAATATCAACTACATTACAAAGGAGCTTGACGAGATGGAAAGAGAAGAGTTCTTTAGGTAATTTATTTCGGGGGCTTGAATCCAATACCTAAAGCCGAGGCTTGCCGCCTTATCCCGCGCACTAGAGAGAGCCTATGCGGGGCATTCAAGGTGTACGGCTTTCCTTTACGGGACCACGGTACTGAGGCCCCAAGAAGATGTCTCTTGCTTACAGACTTAAGAAGATTCAAGAGAAGAAGAGGCTTGCGAAGGAGGCAGAGCAGAAGGCTCTTGAGGCGGCCGGCCAGGCTATTCGTCAGTCTGAGGGGCATGATATGGGGGATTGGGAAGGGGGGGCAGTAAAGGAAAAGGTGGCAGCAAATCTGTAGCTCAAACACTGCAACTCGCTTTTTATGCATGCCACTCTCCTCACCTATCCCTCTTACTGTGCTGCTACTTCGCTGCCTGTATATGTTGCGGCCCACCGGCCACCCGTGCCCGTGTTGACTCTTATTTTTCCCTGTTTCCGACTGAGGTACTGCCTGCTCATGGGTGGTTGTGGGCTTCTTTCTGCAAGTCTCCTCTGTTGGATCACATTACATAGTCCGTTACCCTCCCTTGCCAGCTCCATGTGTCGCAGTGCTCCCGCGCGCACTCTGTGTCTGCATGCGGCGGGCGGACGGCTCTTTGAAACACTTTCTCTGTTGAACTTCCTCTTGCTGCTGCTCCATATGCCTCGTGACAAAGCTTTCCTTCGTTTTCATGTCCCACCCACATTCTTTTCCCCGCCTTTCTCTTTTGCTTTGATTTCTTCCAAATCATGTTTCCTATGAAAGGCTTTGCTCTGGATTTTCTGGTGTACACTTGCGTCTGTGCCTCTAATCTACTGCATCTTTTTGCATATTCCTGTTCTTGGATTGGCGTTCGTTTCGCTCCTTCGTATGCTCTTACAACCCCTCTTCCTTTCCCTTTATACATTCTTTGTTGTCTGTGGGACGTGGGTTTGACTGCCTCATCATTAGCATGTATGCCAGCTTTGCTGGTGGCAGGCTTACATGCAACGGCAGCAAATATTATTTGTGCGCAGGAACACAAGCAGAGTCAGGCCCGAATATGCTAGTAGACGATGATGACGATCTCGTATTTTAAGTTATGGAGGAACAGCGTAGCCCCCAGCGGCTGCACTTTCTCTGCATTTAACAGGGCTTCGCTGGTTTCTGGGAAATGCCCATGAAGGCCTTTTTCTAAAAGGGCTCAATTTATTGGTGCAGCTGCGTCAGTTCCTTCCGAATGTACAAATGGGCTGCCTTCGTGGTTGCTTTGTACATGTAGCAACTTCCACTGCTGCTGGGAAGACACTGCGTTGGCTGCTGGCGCTTGGCCGAATTCCTATCAGTTTATGCAGCCGAATCCAAATGCGAAGCAGCTTGGAAACTGTTGGAGATGTGCCAGAACAGTTGCTTATACAGCTGGTTAGAGACAATTGCTGATTTTTCTCCAGATGAAGAGGTATACTGCAGGAGCTCTGTTGGCTAGACAGAGCATATGAACTTGAGAAGCCGTTTGATTGGCTGCGCCATTTCAGAGTGTGGTTACGAAACCCGCTCTGCAGCGGTGGGTGCAGCTGGCAGTCGTCCGTTTGCTCTGGGCGGCCTCTGTGTGGGTGCGGTATGGCTAGCTGCGGTTTTTTCTTTCCCTCTTGGTTGTCTCTGCTCTGCTAGACCGAAACAGGCGAAACATATTGTTTATCAGTGGGTACACACTCCCTACTCTCGCGTCTGCCCTAGCTTTCCTCGGGAATGGGGTTTGATGCCACGGGTGTGCTACCTGGGTATTCTGTCGCCCCCTTCTCAGAGTCTGCAGTAGCCTGCCCCCTACTGTCTCCTCTAACATGAGCTTTTGTGAAGGCATGGCACAAGTGGGGCCCTTGTAAGCCCTGCTGGGTTTAGTAGAAGCAGTCGCATTAGCGTTAAAGGCGTAAAACCAGGAGCTACTCCTTACCTCTCTTGCCTTCCGTGGAGGCCCACAACATCTGGCCGAAAATGTCTGTTAAAGCGTGAGAAGGGGTAGAAAAGGGATGAAACTTAGTTTGCACATTAAGCTAAAAGATGTTGATCAATAGTTAACTCTTGATAGCAAAATGCCAAAAGAAAGCAACGGAGAAAGGAGCTGCCGCGCATTTTGGAATATTGTTACCCGTCAACGAGAGTCTCAGAAGCTGGGGGTGGATAGGGTTGTACGGGTTAGATAGACGGACTTGTGAGGCCGCAGGCCAAGACTTCTATCCTGAGACGCGGTGCGGCAGCCAGGCAAGATTTAGACTGCAGCGTTATTCCTAGGACAACTGCATCGGGCTCAGAATATCTGTCAAGTTGAATCCGTTGATGGTGTGATTCACTGCTGATCCTTTGGGGGAAGCGGGGTAACGGGAGGGCCATGAAGTCGCACACTCAAAAACTCTTTACAACGCTACGCAGGTCTCAACTCACGCCAACAGCTAACTAATGTTCCGCCACGAACCTGAAGGAGGGCCAAGAAATTCCGAGAGACCCATCTACCAATTTGATACCGTTTTGTTTCTAATAAGCGGAAATGCTGAGAGTGCTACCTGTTATGCCTTTTAAAAAGTCATATGAGCTGGCACGAAAATCCCGTTTGGAGCCTTGAGCAATACTTTTTCGCCAGTCTAGGGAGGCTCTGTGAAGGGAGACGGCTGAACTCTCTGCAGTGGCTACCTCGATGTACATCATAAACATCGCCTGCTCACGAGTGTACTTGCTGTGCACGACCAACCTAGAGTGAGGGACTAAGCAATATGCTAGGTATTATGAAGCAATAAGGAATTGACGAATCGGTGTATCACTTCTTTTATTTTTGTTGCAGAAAAGGACTAATGCTAGACTGTGAGAATGACTAATGTGCACCTGAGCTCTAGATGCAACTATGAGGGGATACTTGAAGGGCTCCGAGGGTGGGCTAACGCTCACCCCATCTGGGCCTTTTCCCTTAAGTCTTGCTCCCGTGGCGTAAGGAGGGCAAGCAGAACGATGAGGCAACTTTCGAAGAAACATAACTTGGCAATAGGTATAGTCTGGGGATTAAGGCTCTTTTCCGGAGACGCTAGAAGGGATGATACTGATATGTTAGCATCCGGCAAGTATAACTCATTGCCTACCAGGTGCTGTAAAGGCGCTACCTCGTACTCCCACGTGTTGTGGCCAGGAGTACAGCTCCTGCTTTGTGTCAGACGAAAAGGCACGAGTACGACAATGTGCATATCAAGTTTCCCCGTATTTTCTGAAGTTAGCTCAATCTGCCTGCAAACGAGTCGTCAAGCACTGAAATGCTGAAGTGGATATTTTTAGTGCAACATGTAGTAGGTGAGCCTTGGGGTGTCTAATGCAAAATACGAACGCAGCAGCACGCCTGTGGGGGAGGTCGGTAGGCAGGAAGCCCTGTGGAAGGAGGCGACGCCTTACTCGCCAATCAGAGGAGATATTTACGCGAGAGGAAGTATCCGAGAAACGAGGCGCAAAGCGCAGCGTAGCTCCACAAAGAAGCCGAGGCGCTTGCATACCTTTGTAGAGAGGCCAACGGATCCAGAGAAAGAAGATGTGACCCAAATGAAGACAGAAGGAAGAAAATAGAACGTGCAAGCTTTGTGCAGTGCGCATCAAGCAGCAGGTGAATTCAGAAATGGTCAGGAGTCAGACAACCCCGCCGTACAAACAGAAATAGTTATCATAGTGCAGCAGGAGAGGAAAGCGTGGAGAAGGCAGCAGGAAACGGGACGCACTGCTCTCACCCCTGTTGCCTTTTCCCCTGTGTTCATCAGAGAACCGGCACAGCGTACTGTACAGCACAGGCACACGCGGCATTGTGGGAGTTTCAGCTAGCCTTTCAAGCTTATGGGCTGGCAAACCGTATTCAGAGTGTTAAAATGAGCATGTTAATCATTATACTTCTTAGAACGAGAGGAATTGTGGCAGGAGTTGCAACAGCAGCAATGTTCCTTCAAGGCGTCCAGCGGTCGGCGGACGAGGCCAGCTGGGTGTAGTTGCTGCTGCCGACGCTCTTGTTGCTGCTCCCTTTGAACGCCTTCTTTTTCCAAGTCATGTGCTGAAATATTATAACTCAGCAAAAAATAAGTCCTCTCTGGGAACCGAGGCCTTACGAATCCAGCAGTTGTCGATGCACACAAGACAGATGCGTGGTCCCCCCGTTGAGGCCGCCGCCCTTGGGAAGAGACACTTGTGTTTGCAGTGTTGCCGGTGCACGAACATCTCCCTTCCAGCGTTAAAAGCCTTTAGAAGCGCATTCTGGGGGCTGTGGAGCAGCAGAACAGCCACGGGGGTTGGTCATTCATTCCAACTACCGAAGATTAGCTTCGAAGCCCTGGTTGAACTTTAGGGCCCTCCAACCTTCTTCAGGCAGGGCAAGCCGTTTCTGTGACTCCAAAGAACCAAAGGCCGCTGATTCGAGGCTCTGAATGCGCCCGTCTCGGTGTTGCGCATTGCTTCCGCGCGCTCACGACCAAGGGCCGCTCATCCTGCGGGAGTGGCAGCGTCTGCAGCCAGAGTAGCGGCGGTCACAGCAGTCTGATGTATAAGGGTTTGTTCTCTCACCGACCTTCCTTAGGGCGTGCAGAAAATCCAGACCGATGGCTCCCGCTGTAGTAGGGCTGCAGCGGCCCCTGTCGGTGACTTCAGCTGAGACGGGCGTCTCCCTTCCAGCTCCGAGTACATCGAGCGGCAAAGGAGCAGTAGCGGCAGCACCAGCAGCGCCAGCAGCGGCAAAGGCAGCATGGTCAATCGCGGGCGTGGTGCCCCAAGCCTCACCGGGAGCAGCCACAGCAGGTGACGGGGTCCCTGCAAGCGTAGCAGACGCCGCAGAGCAAAGGCAAAAGCGCTCATCAGGCACCCGATGTCTGCCGCTACCCCTTGGCTATCGGCTAAGCCTCCCAGAGAAGCTCCCGAATGCCGTTCCTCTGCGTCGCCAGGGCTCTGCCAGCGTTTTCCAGGGGTATCGGAGGCAGCACCTGCTGGGCACCGGCACGTACGCAGAGGTGTGGTGTGTGCAGCAGGAGGGAACCGGGCTGCTCTACGCTGCGAAGCTTCTGCAACCCAACAAATTTTCAGTAGACACGGCTCCGAGAGTCTGTCAAATGTTCGAAAAGGAGATCGTGAACTTGGCCCTCTGCCAATGCCCCGGGGTGGTAACGCTTTTTGAGGTGGTAGAAGGCGCGGAAGGCTGGCTTCTGGTGTTGGAGCTTGTGAACGGGGGAACTGTCTGGGCTGAAGACGTTTGTAGCAATGAAAGCGAGGCCTTTTGCCTCTTTATGCAGCTGCTACAGGCCATTTTGCACATTCAGGCGTGCAAGGTCATCCACAGAGACCTCAAGCCCACCAACATGCTCCTCACAAAATCAAAGCGCGTTCTTATTGCGGACTTTGGGTGGTCCGAGGCTGAAGAGGCCTGCAACACACATTCACTGGAGTGGCCCGGGTAAGCACAGAGCCGTTGCGCGAGAAGACTCACACAAGGGGGGTTTGTGGCAGCGGGTAGGAGGACACTTGTGTAGAAGGGCGGATAGAAACTCTTAGGGCATTTGTGGCCTCGTAGATAAGAGAAAGATGGGCAGAGAAGATCTAGCAAAGTAAAGTTACTCATGGACCAGGCCGAAGGTATGGGGAAAGATAGAGGGCGGGGGACCATGGGGGAGAGATACCAAGAGAACTACAGGGTAGTTAGTCCCTTAGCGCATGTAGGGAAACCCGGATGTATTAGGTGCCTCCGTGCAGAGACAGAGAGGGCATTCACTATGAGCTTGAACTGCAGCTTCACACGACAAAAAAAAAGATCTTCCCCCTTCCGTCGGGAGCCACAGGATGAACTGGGCCCATATGATTTTGACTATTTATGTTCGCATGTCGTCTGGTGTTTTTAGGACTTTGGAAATAAACCCTCCCGAAGTATTGACGTTTCAGGGCCCGTGGACAGTGAAGATAGACAACTATGCGCTGGGAATGACACTGTTGCTGTTTGCCTCGGGGCGGTTCATCTGCAGGCAGAAGAACTTGCCTCTGGCCGATGCCGCACCTTTGGTTATGGAGGATGTACAGCGTCTACGGAGGGCCCCTCCCCCGCGACTTTTTAAGGCTTCGTATGAGGCCTGGGAGGTCTTTGTGGGCCTGACATCCTCTTCACCAGTGCGACGTTGGTCCCTAGAAGATGTGTTGGAGCATCCCTGGTTTTCGCGCCAGTTACTCCAGCTTGGTCCTCCATCATTTTCTTTGCTGTGGCACCCGAAGGTCAAAGGTCTCATGGCAGAGTTATACGCAGCCAAGCGGATCGTTGCCTCCCACAGTGCTCCGCAGTGTATTCATGCAAATGCCGTGGCATACGTCAGGCAGCAGCGTAGGGCTCGCAGGAAACAGCAGCTGCACCATCAGCAGCAGCTGTTAAGACATCAGCAGAGGATTCAGCAGCAGCAGCAAGCTCTACAACAGTATGCACACCGCACTCAGGGACAGTGCACGAGCGAAGCAGCGGCGGTATTAGCGACGGCCAGTGCATCCGTACCTGCATCTGAAGCGACACCCTTGGAGCTCAAGCAGCCAGAGGCGGAGGCAGGAGCGCCAAGGAATGCTGCGACGGCAGTCCCAGTTGCACCGCCGCCCACAGTGATGGTAGCTCAAACCACAGGCCAGCCAACTGGGGCCCCCCAGAAAGCCAATCTGGGTGCCCCACACATTCTGAGACGAGGACTCTCAGAGGTCAGCGATTGTTCAACTGCAGAATCTGTAGGGTTCAATGCATTGATGCTCTTAGGGCAGCGCCAGCAGCAGCAGCAACAGCGGCAACAGCAGCAGCAAATGCAGTCTAATCGGGAGATTGCACAAGTGCAGCATGGCCTCACCATGCAGCAGCACCAGCAGCAACATTGGGGGGCTCAAGGAGAGGCTTCAAGAGCACACATGGGATTTGCGCAGCTTCCACCTGCCTCAGCTGCGTTTCTTGTAGGGCCCTTCATCCACGGGAATCTGGCGCCCTTGCAGCAGCATGAACAGCAAAGTAGGCAATATGACCTTATGATCAAGCAGCAACTGCTGCAGCAGCAGGTACTCTTAGGGCGGCAGAATCAAGCGGTGTCTAGGCAGAGCCCCAGCCGCTGCCGGCCATCTCGTGGCGCTTTTGTAAATGAATTTCAGGGGAGAGCCACAGAAGTGCCATTTGTGAGTGCCGTAGGAGCGCAGCATCTGCAACAGCCCCTAACCGATGCTGATGCTTCAACTGGGCCGCCTCAGAGCTCGCGAGGGTCTCTTCACGCCACGGAACACCTGTTGGAAAAGCAACAAGGCCAGAAGTACCTAGTGACGCGGCAAACAGCTCAACAGCTACCTTGTAGAGTCTCCTCGCCCAGAGATGTACGCCTTCACTCTCAGGATTGCTCTACTATTTTGGAGCTGCAACAAGCCAGGCAGCAGCAGCCCAGAGTCCCATGGCTTGTTTTGGGGAAAGGCGACGACAGTTCCTCGGTGGAGCAAAAACCTAAGCAGGACAACACAAGTCCTAAAAGGATTGCGAAAACCGAAAGCTTCGATAAAGCAAGTATGGCAGCAGAAGAAGCGACTGCCTTAGGAACAAAGCCAAGGGATGCGCGTGATACAACCGCAGTAACAGGAGCTCCAGAACACTCCTCAGTGGCTGCTTGTGCTCGTTGGATTCGTTCGGGCTTGGGTGCTGTCGCTGCCTTAGCAACTCCCCGCTTAGTTCAGCGGCTTCCAGAGAGTCAGCCACGTCAGCAGTATAACCATCGGCAACACCAGGAGGACAAGGCCCACCAGCCGCAGCATTGCGTGGTAGAGTCTAGAGGCTACTGGAGAGAAAGTGACTCTACTAGGACACTCGAGGCAACATGGCAGAGAGCCATCAATGTAGCAGCTGCACTGCTGATGAGTCTAAACAATCAAGGAAAGAGGATGGCTTCGCATGCACCCCGCAGTTTAGGAGATGGCAGCAACACGACAGCGATGGGGCTGGGCCGCACATGGGGGAGGCGTTGCGTCCGAGTAGGTCTTAGGCCGTCTGCTGCACATACGAAGGCTCCGCTTACAGGAGGGGAAGTCACAGCATCAGGCCCAAAGGGACTCGTAGTTGGCGGTAGGCCTCAAGTCGCTCGCAGTATCTCCTCTATTGAGAGTCCTGGAGATCTGAGAGCTCTAGAAAGACTTGCCCCCCAGAAATGTGAGGCCCTGATAACTATGCCCACCGGTAAGGATGGATGCCCGGATGCCCCTCGCAACAGCAGTCCTAACAGTAGCACCAAAAAGTCTAATTGCGAAAAATCCGCGAGTGCGAGCAGCCCTAACCGCAGCAGTAGTTACAACTCCGAGGAAACTTCCACATCAGACTGCAACACACCCAGGACGGATCATTTGGCTTCTCCTGCTTGCCAAGGTGGCAACGAAAAACAGCTTAAGAATGTGCAACAACACCATCAGCCTCTTAAGTTGTCTCCCACGGTGCCCCTGCTGCCACTCGGAGATCTTCCCTTGTGCAGTTATACCTCTACTGGAAGTGTCACGGACAGGGGACGCACCGGTGTTGGTGCTATTTGCATGGAGCGGCACGAAGATGGAATACAGACCACCTTCCAGAGGTCCTCTCGGACAGAATCCCATGTGGAAGCCCCGTGCGCACAAAACATTAGGGGCCACATCAGTAGTACGCCACCTCCAGCACAGATTGTGAGCAACTGCAGCGCCAACGGCAGCTGTTGCGTCACCAACAGCATGCAATTGAGCCTGCAAAATAAAGTTCAAGGTGAAGAGGTTTTCTGCACTCCCCGTGTTCCCAAATGGGATTATGCGCGCGGGACGCACAGTGCCGCACGGTCAATCCCGGGGCTTCCCGGTGGCGTCGACGGGCAAGCCACAGCTGCTGAAGCCCCTTGGCAGCAGCTTTCGAACGGCTTCCTTAGTGAAGCCCTCTTAATAGCTCAGCAGCAGCAGCTGGAAAGACAGCAGAGGGAACTGCTGCAACAGCACAGAGAGCTACAGCTGCAACAACTCGAGATCGAATGCAAACGTAGAGAACGAGAAAAACAGCAGAAAGAACTGCAGGCACTGCAGGCCCAACTGTACCAAAAGCGTGCCATGCGTCTCGTGCAACAGCAGCAACAGCAGCAGGTTGAGCATCCACCTTGTCACATTCAAAGATCTCTGAGCGTAAAGCAAGCAGACGAGTTCGAGAAGCTACCAGATTTTATGGATCCTGTCAGCGGCAGGAGTATTCCTCTGAGGCCACTGAACACATCAGAGGCCCAAGAGAGCATTGAAGGGACTTTGCACCCTGCAGTAGAGGCCAATTCCTTGGTTGAAGCAAAGTCTAATGGCTCCTCAACCGTGAGCAATACAGAGGCCTCACGTGTGCCGCAAAAGCAAGGGATAAGTGTTCCCCGCCTTCGCATTGCCCACGCAGTGGCACCAAACCTCTTGGCGGGTATTGTCCCAGCAATAGCAAGACAAGACACTGGCCGGTGCCGATCCTTCCAAACAGTACACCCAACGGGCTTTGCTGCTGCCGCACCTGCAGACCCGGTGTCCTCTTCAGGATGCAATGTGACCTCTAGTGCAGCAGAAATGACAGGCGCGGTAATGGGCAGCCCTCGGGACACCCAGTCTTCCTTCTCAGGAGACGAACCGATGAGGCAGCACACGGATCCGTCAGTACCAGCAGCAGCGACAGCGGCAGTCTCCTTTTTACAAAACCTTGTCACTAACCCGCTACAGCGGTTACAGCAACTGCAGCACCAGACAGACCGCCAGACGCACCAAAAAAGCGCAGCGGTGGCGGCAGCAGCAAAGATTGCCAATTGCTTGATCTCAGAACAGCCGCTCACCAAGTCTCACACACAGCAGCGGTCAGGAGAAAATCTTCAGCAGCAAAAATCCTAGAGGGCCCAGCAGGGTCACCATTGTACTAACTGTTAAGCTCGGCTCATTGGGCTGAACAGCTGTTTGCTACTTGGAAAGCTGTAAAATGGTAGACTGCCCAATAGGTAGCCAGCTACCGTGCATTGGCTGAAACAGCCACTGAGCAGCGAGTCTACTGCAGAAGTCAATGAACATGGTATTTTACCAGCCAAATTAATTTTACGCTGCGATACTCGCAGCAAAGAAGTGTTATGAGATACAAAAGCTGCAAAGCGGAGAAATCACAGTTGATACATGGAGCGAAGGCAATTACAGACCGATAGCGAGTAATTTCGTAGGGACAAATCCAATAGACAGTCGGCTGGTCCTGCCCCTGCTCCCCCAAAATCCTTAGAAAAGATTTATGCTTATCGGTTCGACCCTAGATCGTTTCCCAGTGGGCCTCCCTATTCGGGATATGCAGCTGAGTTGGAGGCCCCACAGTGTCTCTAGTAGGGACCCCAGCAGCGACTGCAGCGGCAGCATGGGGCGTGGGGTCTGCGTTGCCCGTTGCTGCGGCCGCCGCACGAACCAGCTGCTGTTCCTGTTGGTGTATGCGCTGGTGCAGAGGCTCTTGCTGAGAGCTTGCTGCGTAGAGTATGGCCTTGAAAAGTGTTCTCCATTTCCTATAGGCGAGCTGCAGCTTCGCGTTGCGTTGCTGTTCCCTTCGTCTAGCTGCGGCTCCCTCTCGTTCCGCAGTGATTTGATGCCAGCGCTCTTTGACGGATGCGGCTGCAGTATCCAGTACAACCACACCGTCCCTCAGGGCTCTCCAGGCCCCAGATATATCCCGTTCAAATCCAATTACAGCAGGGGCCCATGCACCTCCATCGGAGGATCCCAGGATCTCTGTTACTGCCGTCTGCAGCGCCTGGCCTGCAGACGCTCCACTCAAGGCCGACCGCGCGTTCGCTTGTTGCCACTCCGCCACGGAGAGGTGCACAGTCCCCAATGGCACAGGGGCCTGCAGACAGACGCTCAAAGCAGCGGTGTGGCGGCAGAAGCCCACTAGAAGGCGCGGCTAATACTGGGCAGCAGTTTGGCAGCAGCGGCTCAGCAGCACGGAAATGCAATACTTGCACATGTCATAGCAGGAGAAAAAACGGAATGAGGGTAAAGAATTCGTAGAAAAACTTCCGCAGCCTCTCACAAGCTCCCCAACTTCGATTGTCCCCTGAGGCCCTGCTGGAACGCGGCCGTCGGATACTCTGTCCCGTTCCATTGGCTCCGTCTGGTGCTGCGCAAACAATCCAATCTCCTGCGTCTGCTGGCGCGGCTGCACCAGGCTTTCCTGCTTCTGGAGAGCAGCACGGAGACATGGGTTCTTTGCCGTGTAAGCAAGCCGACGGTGGCTCCACATTTGTTGTAGCGAGAGCTGCTGCTGTCTCTGTTCGTGTTGCTGCTGCCTCAACAAGTGCGGGTACCGTCGCAGCACTTGGGCAGTGGAGAGGGATGCAAGATGCGCAGAAGGGGGCCGCAGCTGCAAATAGTAACAACAAACATTCCCTACGTGGTTCTGTCGTACAAAAAAAAGGGGCATGCCTTTTTCCGATTCCCAGTCATCTACTTTGCCATATAAAAGCCGATATGAGAAAAGCCCATCATGTTTCCTGTTCATACGAGCATAGATGTGTGTGCTTGCACATGTATGTTGCCTTACCGCTCCCACTTTTAGGGTCTTAAGGGGCTCTTCGCCCTCTTTGACTCTTCGGTGTTCGCGTCGCCACTGCCTTGCCGTCTTCAGCAAAACCACGTCCCTTCGGAGAAAAACGGGCTCTCCCTCAAAAATAGCAACCCCCCGACTTCCGGGTGGCAGCCACTCGCGCTTATGCAACTAGAGAGTGAAATCCGAGGCGTGAGAACAGGCACACACAGACACACAGACAAATACACGCAAACATGCAGGCATGAAGCATTCCTGCTGAAGCCTCAGAACGAATCGGCAGTGCAGTTCATCGCAGCTCGAGGCAAAAAAACTACCCCGGCAGCGTAGGAATGGCCAAACGTGTCTCCAAGAGCACAAATGACCTCCGACAGGGCGTTTAACGCCTCGAACACTATAGCCCAAACAGAGAAGCCTGGATGATAACAGCGGGCGACTCAGACAGCACGCACTAGGCTCCGCAAGACAAACTTCGGACTGTCTATAAAGCCACGGCGCGCGGTGGGAAGCGGCTCGCTGGCGATGAGACGCTTCCGTTCCATCTCCTCAGCCTCGGCAATCTGTTGTTTCCGCTGCGCTTCCGGCAGAGGCTCAGGTGTCTCTTCCTTGGCTCCCAGACCCTCACCATCATCTCCCGTGCTTATGCCGTTGACTCCTAGGCTCCCTTCACCTGATGCTGAGAACCCCTCTCGCTGCAGGGCCTTGCGCACCTGCGCGCTTTCCCACCACTGATGAAGCCGAGCGCCTCGTTGTTGCAGCACCTGCTGCCAGCTGCAGGCAAAGGCAGCAAAAAAGCGAGCTCCGCAGAGCCCAGCCATTCCAAATGGCAGACTAAACACAATGAAAAATACAGGCCTGTCTAACCACCCCAGTACTCATAGACTGAAGGACCACATGCACTGGCTTTGCTTGTTATGGCGTCTCCTGCTTCCTGATAAGCGCGGAGCACGGTATTCTCTTGATCAGAGCCAACGGCGCCGGCGCATTGCGCTAGTCATTATAGCTGCCACTCCAATGCACGTAGACCCACCTCGATACGTATCTGTGGGTTACGTCTTTAAGTGTGCCGGAAGCCTCAACGGCCAGAACAAAACGGACTGTTGCACGACTCTGACGGTCTCCCGCAAGCGCCGGAGAATTTAAATGCTGTTGATCCTGATGATGTTGCTCCTCCTGTCCCTGCAACGAAGGCTGGAAAACCCGCACTTCCACGTGTGCCTCTTGAACATAGGATTCTCTATCCTGCAGCACCACTGCCGCAGCGGTTGCTAATGAAGCTTCGGCGGCTGACGTGATGGACTGCTGTTGCTGCTTCTTTTGTGCTTCCTCCTGCGGCGCCGCGCACAGCCTCGGCTGCAACAGTCTACCCTTCGCTTGTTTTCGGGCCCGAAGGAAATCTGAACCCAACAGCTCGCCACCTCCATAAACTGTTGGAGACTTATTTTGGTCGTTGCTGCTCCTGCTGCTGCCCGTAGGTGTCGTGGTGCCACACGCCAACAACGCTGCACAGCTCCGTTTCTTCCTGCTGCCGCTGCCACATTGTTTCCACGCAGCTGCAAACTCATCGGCAATGAGCGCTGCCTCTTCCGCCATCTCATGCGGCGCTGCAATAAGGGCATCAACGGCGCTGCTCATGGTGCCGCTGCTAGTGCTAGTGATGCTGCTGCCAGAAGGCCTCCCTTCCGTTGCATCGGCAACGGCAAGCATGAGCTGCTGCAGTTGCAATGGAGGATCTACAAGTTTTGCCTGTAGCCGCCACAGCAATGTGCGCAGCAATGGCAAACGGAGTACCCGCTCCTGCTGCTGTTGCTGTTGCTGCTGTTGCTGTTGCTGCTGTGGAAACACAATGAGGGCCAGGTAATCGGCATGCAAAAAGAGGATACCCCACCTCCCCGCATCCCAGTAACGAGGCCAGCGCAACAGTCCACGTGATAATTTTCGACAACCTAGTGCCGTCTCTGCTCGTGTTGCTGCTGTCCAAGCTGGGATGCCTGATGAGCAAGTGGAAGCCGTTGCTGCTGTAGCCTGGGCCTTGGAGCTTCCTGCTGCTGCGGCCCCCTCAGCCTCAGTCTCGCTGCTGCTAGTGCTACTACTGCTGCTGCCGGTTGCTGCAAGGAAGCGTCTTTTTGGCTTGGTAGTAAGCAGCAGGCCGCTGGTAAGGAAGGAAGCGCACTCTGCTGCTGCCGCTACCTGTTTATTTTGCTGCTGAAGCATGTGGTGCCGTTGCTTTCTTTCTTGCGCACGTTCCCGCAAAGCGTCGAGCTGATGCTGCAGTGTTGTGCAGCAACGTCTGAGGAACCGCTGCTGCACAGCCTCCTGGACAAGATCTCTTGCACGAGCAGGGCAAACGCCACCAAAAGGAGTGGCAGATGCGTTAAGAAAGGGCGTCGGGGGGCGGCGACCAGCAAGGACATCCGCGGCATCGTATATCGAGTGGTGCGGCCCCTTCAATACACAAGCTATCCAGCGTTTCTTTGTTGGGCAGAAAAATTCCCCCCAAACCTGCAAAGACTCGGGCAGCTGTAGCAGCTGCAGCGTCTCGCTGCGACTTAGAGGTGATAAAACTACGTTCTTGCCTACTTGGCCAGCTACTGCTACGCCTATTGTATCAAGGCGCTGCCTCCGGTGCGGCAACAAGCGTGTAGGAGCCTCCCGTATTCGGCCATCAGCTGTAAGCATCTGAGGGGCCGCCTTGGCTAAAGATGCTGTAGCTGCTTTTGTAATCGTAAAGAGCGAGTCGTACGGGCAGGCTTGCAGAGGGGTTTCCTGGTGTATCAATGGCCCTCTGCGTTGTGCAGCGGCCTTTTTCCGTTGGTTCACGTAGCTCTCTCCCTCCGCGGCTGTGGATGCGGCTGCAGACGCACACGGGGACTTCGCTGCAGCTGCAAACGGCGGGATCGGCAGACCCGCGGCTGCAAAGAGGCGGACGAGGCCCTGCGGCGGCGGGGAGAGACACGCGCTCTCAGCTGTGGAACGCATACATACACACGTCAGGAGCACGGCCCTCATCTGACTCAGCGAAAAAACGAAAAGCAGTCGCTAAAGCAGCAGCAGAGGCAAGAAGAGAAAAGGCTGCAGGAGAGCGACAGGAGATGCTTGGTGGTGCTCTCCGTGCTGCCGAGCGTGCAGTTTGCGCCTGCTGTAGGGTCTTCGCCGCTAGGGCATGCACTGTTACGTCCGCTCAACTTTCGGTGTGTCTCCTGCCGCTCCCCATACTGTTGCAAAGTACCTTCAGTCTTAGGTATACGGAGACCTGCAGGCGGCAGTTGCACAACAAGACGAGCAGTAAGGCCCAACGCTCGACAGAGGGCCACAAAGAGCTGCGCATCCATACGCAGGCAACCGCAACAAAAAGCAGCAACCACAGCCGCTCAAGAAAGAACACTATGATCAGAATTTGTGCGGTAAGAGGACGTAGGCTAACGCCGGAGAGCTGAAAAAATGTGTTGCTTGTCTTAGATTAGAGTGGGTAGGAGCAGCTGCTGCTGCTGGTGCTATCCCCGGTGGCAGGGGGCGTACAACAGCCAAAAGAGCGCTCGGGGCCTTGCAGGTACTGAGAGCTCGCAAGGACTTCGCCAGGAGAGACGAGAACCCAAAAGGGAAAGGGCGACGGCGGCCAGAAGCAAGTGGAAGTAGAGGATCTAGAAACACCGCGGCCCCGCTGGCAGGGTTGCCTGAATTTTCCCTCTTAACTAGCGGTTGCTGATGTTGCTGCATGCGTTCACACTTCGCTTGCTGCTCTCCTGCAAGGGCACGGTGGCATGGCACGGCAAGGAGTCCCGCAGCTCCCCCCTTTTGAACGGACGTGAATGCACCCGATTGCTCAGCTGAGAGTCTCGGGACAAGGGCCATCGCCGCAGCTTGCTGCAGATGCTGCTGTGCGTGTTGCGCCCTGCGCGTTGCAGCAGCAGCAGCAGCAGCGTGTGGCATAGAAGCACAGAAGAAGGGGTGCTGCAGGCGACCATCTGGCAGGAGTTGGAAGCTTGCTATAAAGCAGAAAGCAGCAAAACCGTCGGCTGGGATGTAGCAATCCCCCACTTTTGTATCCGGACCACCAGCACCATGTGTTGTTGCTGGTGCTTGTCCCACGACTGCTGCGCTGCATGGACTTGGTGGTGCTGAGCGCTGATCAAAATGTTGCTGTGCTTCCTCTGCTGTGGCTTTGGCTTGCAGGACCTGCTGATGCAACTGTTGTAGATGCTGCAGCAGCAGGCGCCGGCTTCGCTGAGTCCCTACAGTTTGCGAATCTTGCTGATTTTGGGCCTTGGTACAAAAAGCTATATACGATGCAAGGCAAGCACCCTGAAGCAGGGGTGTACAGCTGTAGCTGCCTTGGCTCCGGCTGCTACTGCAGCCTTCTAAAACTATGCTGTTGAGGCTCTGCAGCCATGCCGCCCAGCCAAAGAGCCACACCTTCTCAAGGTCCTGAGCCCTCCGTATGCAGGACGCTCTAGCCTTTCGTTGTGCTGCAGCTGCTGCGGCTACCTTTGGATCTGCCTCTGCCTTAGGGGGGTCGATGCCAGCACTGCTGCTGCCGCCAATCCCAGTGTTTAGGCTGCTGCTGGGAGCAATCGCCTCAGCGCTGTACTTGCTGCAAAGCCACGGGCTTTCTGGATGCAGAATCAGCGATTCCTCTCGATTCTGTGTGCCGCCCTCTGCCTCTTCTTCAAAGTCCTCTAGAGACTGATGCGGCACTTCTCCCAGACCAAGGGCTGCATCTAGCGAACTTCCCTCCTCAGCGACAGCATATGCAGCAGCTGCAACAGCTGCTGAATTCACTTCAACATCCTCATGTACGGAAAGGAGAGGGGCAGCATCGGGTTCTCGAAAGGAAGGGTCCCCAGGTGACCTTACCGACTGCCGAGGCATCGCCGGAGGCGCGACGGGTAAATCGATAACACGTAAGAAAGCCTTTCCACCTCTGATGTACTTGCTGGTATCGTCTCAGGAATCCAGGTGCTTCTGTACGGAGCAGCAGATCGCAGCGCTGAGGATCACCATCGCCTTTGCCTCACTGTAGACTGCGCCGCTGTGGAGGTACGCGCTGCACCGGCAACACCCTAGACGTAGGGTTCCAAAGGGTGCTACCATGTAGTTGCTCATTTTGTCACGCCGGATGGTGGTGCTTTTGCTTGGGGAGGGAGGCCCATCCGGCTGTGGTGGCGCATGCAAAGCGGAGAGGCCTACAGATCGCAGCTACTGCCGCAGAGGGGAGCCTTAAGAATCTAGTGCACGCGCGCGTGGCACCAGAACAACCTTTTTGTGTGGAGTAAATAGAAACAGCAGTGAGTCATGCCATGAGTTAGCTTACTACCGCTGCGGCCATGCGCTGCATTCGCTGGGCATGGCTGCAATCGAAGTGTCTGTGCAGCATCGGTAGCGCTGCCTTCACACAGACGCCCGTATGCACCAGCGGATTCGGGTGGACACTTTGAGGTTTTGTCAGCTGAACTTGATGTCCAGTTGCAGGCACGGGCTGATGGCGCAGCAGATATGCAAGTGTGCCTGTGCCGGACACCTTCTGCGCTACTTACAAGTAGACAGCAACAGCCGTATAAGGAACTCCGCTAAGCGATGAGAGCACCTGTACATGTTGCCTCTCTTCAGAAGAGGCAGTTGCTGCTTCCGCTGCTTCCACTTCGTACGCATCAAACTCTTCTTAGGACAGGGGTCCTGCAGCAACTTGCGGCTGGCAATGGACGTATAGCCGGGAAAGACTTCTTCCACAGCGACGGGTACAGCAGCAGTAGCAGCAGTTGCTGCTGCCATTCCCGCGGGGACTCTTTCTCGGTGGGCTCATCCCGTGTGCAACTGAGCACTCAGTTTCGGGGCTTCGCATCTGCAAGTGTATCACTTATCCAAAAACAGCAGCGGCAGCTTCTTGCCCCTTTGAATTCTCAAGCTTGCCCAGATTTGGTGGGCTTCCTTACTGCCTTTGACCCTGCATACACCCCACGTCTTTCCACGACTCGAGTGACGGCCGCACTTGGACGAATTGGAGCCGCAAGGGCAGCAATAGCAAAGAGAGCAGAGGCCAGGGCAACAAACGCGTGTGGCTTGTATGCATCTTCGCTGGTTCTCGAAATGGCAGCTAACGGGAAGCCCTTTCGACGGTGTACTTCCTCTTTTAGAGCTGCTGCAGCGACAGCCTCGGTGCAGCATAGCACGACAAGGCCCTCCGTTGGTGCTGCTGCTGTTTCGGGTGAGGCATCTGGTGGGGCCTTTCGTAGCGACAGTGGCACGTATAATGAGAACTCTGTAGTCTCGAATTACGCGCATGTGCAGTCGCTACTGCTTCAGCTGCTGCTACAGCCAAAGATGCCTCCACAGAATGTGCGCTTGGCCGTGTCCGCTCTACTGCGTCTTACCGGAGTGCAGCAACGCAATCAGCAGCAGCCAGGGGCTTTTCATGGATGCAGCTTACCGCAGCTACCGCGGCCTGCAGGCTTTCTGTTGCCCGCTATTTTCTTTCAACGTATGGGTGGCCGCCATCCAGGCGTGTCCCTGGGTGAAAATAAATCTCCTTGGGAGACTAAAGGGCAGATGCGCCAACGCGTAGAGCTGCTGCGCGCATACGCACTGCTGCTTCCGGCCATGCTGAGGCTAATAAATTCTGCTGCGGCCACTCCAACAGGAGGACAAGCAGCAGTAGAGACAGTAGAGACAGCACCAACAGCCGCTGCCGATTGTCCCTATCCGCACTTACTGAGACTCCACGTAGCAGATGTTATAGCTGCTGCTTCTGCTACTACACCCCGTGCTGCAGGGGAGGCCCGATTTACTGCAACAGCAGCGGCGACAGCTCCAGGAGTTAATGCTGCGCCGAGAACAGCGCAGACAACAGGAAAAAAGGGAGGGGCGGCGGCCCCTGTCGAAGTCATTGCTCACGAAGGGACGAAGCAACTCGCTGCTTTCCTTTGCAGCCGTGCATGCAGGGAGCTCCTGCATCAGTTTCTTCAGTTGCACCTCTTCAGAGCTGCTGCTGCGGAGGTGGCTCGAGCTGTGTCAGAACACGAGCAGGGCAGCAGCGACTGCACTATTGACGGCTTGGCGGTGCAGCAAGGACTGCACACGTATGTGTTCGCTCCAGTGGAGGCAACAGCAGCAGCACTGCGTGCAACGTTGTATGCAGAGATGCATAGCAGTGCCCAGTGGTCCCCCACAGGGGCACTGGACATCCTGGGTTTCCGTCTGAGCTGTAGACTTCTTGCCGCACTCGTACGCGCCTTGCAAGCCTCTAGTGAACTGCGCATGTCACGACAACAGCAGCAGCAACGGCCACAGCAAGAATTATTCACTGTCAGCGACCGCCGTCGCATAGATCCTTTTGTGATGCTTTGCTTGCGTGAGGTTCTAGAGCTTGCTCGCTGCAAGGGCAGCACCAGCATCAGGAACAGCCATAGTGGCCTCCAAAACACGCAGTATCCCGCTGCTGCTGCTGAAGCAGCAGCACCATTTGCCGTTTCTCCTCCTGAAAACAGCGAAAGGACCCTTTCAACAACTGCTGCTCCATGCCTCCCTGAAACGCGACAGCTGCTAGTCCTTTTTTTGCGTTCTTGTGCTGCCAAGTTTAACACAGCTGCAGCAGCAGCAGCCACCGCCGCTTGCGCGCCTCCTTCCACGGGAATCACTCGTGATTCGGGGTCTCCGAGCTGGCGAGACATTGCAGATGCAGCACGAGATGCATCGAGGCTCCAGGTCATCCTGCATCCCAAAGCTGCGTCGTATGCAGCAGGGGCAGTGGGAGCAGACGTATCTGTTCCCACTGCTCCTGCTGCCGAGATTGCGAGCAACACAGCCATTGTCTCAGAAGCGCAAAAAGTATTGCAGGCTGCGGCGGCATACTGCTTACCTCATGTGGCAGACATTCCCCCAGTTGACTTGGCCGCACTACTGTGGGCTGCTGCTTCCGCAGCGCACTGTATCCCTAAGCAGCAGTGGAAGCAGCGCCTGCTGCTGAACCGGCTGTTTCAAGCGGCCACCGCCAGTCTCCTCCTGCCGCTTCAGAATGCTCAAGTTCTACTTCAATCAGTGGCAGCTCAGCAGCATCAGGAGCACCAGAAACGGCATCAGCAAAAACGGGAACAGCAGGTTGCACCTTGGCAGATGCTAGCAGGATCCAGGCAGCTGCAACAAGCTGCGCCTGTGGACAAGTGTCTCCTGATCTGGAGTCTCCTGGTCTGGGGGCGGCCTGCTTTGGATGGCGCGGGTGTATCTACTGCCACACTTCCAGTGTGGGCTGTTGCTACAGAAAAGGACACGGAAACCTCGGAGGCTGCCAGGTGTATAGCTGGTGGTGCAGGGGTGGGTCCCATAGAGTGGCTGGTACTGGCAGCAACCTTTAGATACCAGTCGCAACAACAACAGCATCCTCTGTTGCTGCAGAGCAGCGGCGCGATGGCGCTTCATGCCCTGGCAGTACGGGCAGACGAGCTAACACGTCCCGCGCTTCCTTGCATTGCAGCGGCAGTGGGATCAACCGACTTGCATTGCCAGGAGCAGCGTTCAGCTGTCGAATGCGTCAGGGACATTGATGAGAGCCTCACAGGGAGATGTGCTGACCGCGAAGTTTTCGTAGCTTTACCAGAGGCGCCTCCGGCGACAGTGGGAGCTCATGCGGCCGTAACTCAAGCTCCTATCTCCACTCCTGCTGCTGCCACTGCGGCCGACAGGGCAGTACGGCATCTCTGTGGGCAGCTTCTCGCTGATTGTTGCAGGGTTCTATCAGAAAGCCGACTGCAGGTGAGAACGGGTAGTTCATTGCTGTTGCTGCTCAGGTTTCTGTTGTAGCCTTTGCCTAGATATTGGGATGTTGAATACTCCTCGGTGTTACGCTGCAGGCTGTCTCCTGCATTCGTCTACTTGCGTCGCTGCTGCACTCTGCGGCGCTTCTGACTCGCGCGAGTCACCCTTCGAGGTCTCCTGCAATGATGGGGGTCCTTCGAAGTGCTGATAGGGGCCTCGGTACTGCTGGGCCCTTGCTGATCTCTCAGCTGTTACGGCAGGTGTATGATGTAGTCCGGAAAGAGCAAACGCAGAAGCAACAGGCCACGCTGCAGTGCCGCAACCGTCTCAATCTTCAGCACCATCAGACATTTGTACCTGCGCTTAGCCCACAGTGCATCAGTCAAGTGGTGTGGGTTATGTCTGCTAGTGGAGTTGCTCATTTGCTACTGCTACAGCAGCTGCTGCTTCAGGTACTCGGCGTTGTGCATGGCAAAGTCTCCATTTTTTCTCTTCGCATTTTGTGTGCCATATAGGCTATTCGCTGCCAAAGAATGTAGCAGCATACGCCACTGGTCATGGTGCGTCTGTGCCTGTTGGTGCTCAGGTGCATGGACAGCTACGCATGCTGTCGGGGAAGCAGTTCACGTCGCTCATGTGCTGTGCCTTCGACTTGGGAGCGTTGTACTCTCCACTTCACCACATGGAACAGCAGCAGCAGCAGCAGCTATGGACAGAGCACTGCATGGGGTTGCAGCGCGCATTCTTGAAGGAACTGACAGCCCGGATTATGATGCATCAGCTGCCCCCGGAGCCACTCAGCGGCACTCGAGATGCATTGGCTCGAAATACGGAACCCGCTAGGCGTCAATTGTCCTGGGAGCAACGGCAACACCAGCACCAACACATAGACCTCTTCCAGTTGGCGTGCTGTCTGCGAGTCACTGCTGCTGCTGCACTGCAGACAGCAGCTGAAGCTCTGCGAGAAGGGCATCTGGGAGCTGGTGATACGAATGGGAAGGCAGCACTTGCACTCGAGGCAAGTATTTATCGTGCGCCTACAGGAGTCTCGCGCGCTGCTTTAGGGATTGCTGATGCACTTGTCGCTGCTAAACATCCTGCGGCCGTGATACCGCGTGCTGGGGATTTACTGCAAACTTTGGGTGACACCACGGTGTTTGTTTGTTCCAGGGTTTAGAGACAACAGAATATCTCCTACAGGCTGTTGATTTTATGCCTCTCGTCCTGCAGCGACAGCAGCAGCAGCAACACCAGCAACAGCAGCGCTGGGCTGAGCCATCGCCCAGAGTTGTGACTTATGGCCTACCTCAGGCAAGGCGCTTTTGTGTGTTACAGATTTTCGCACAGGGCAGAACGATTTGCTTGTGTGCCCCGTGTATTGGAGTGACTGTAACGTTAAGGTGCATTTGCTGCTTCTGCTACCGCTGCTGGTGCTATTTCTGCAGCTCTATCAAGCGGTACTTACTGCAGCCGTTCTGCGTAAGTGGGTCCCTCTGCTGAGGCCGCGTTTTTCTGCAGAGGCACCAGGAGACAGCGGAGCCACAACCCTACTTGCGGAGAGTGAAACTGCAGCCGCCTCTGCAGCTGTTAATGCTATTGCAGCTGGGGATGTTGTAGTGCCAGAAAGGGTATGGGAAGCGGCAAGGGCTGCCTTCCGCGATGTTTCATCTTCAACGACGGAGTCGCGCCCTCAGGTTTGCAGTCAGCAGCGCTGTTGCTGCTCCTGCCACTGTTGTTGGGCTTGCTGTCGCTATTCGTATACTAGCATCTTTATTTTTCTGTATGCGTGTGGCCTCCTCTTCTAGTTGAATTGAGCCATTTAATCGAGGATTACCTCGGTTTAGGTATCTGGTTTTGTCTCTGTTGTATGCCTCTTTTCGTGCTTTGACCTCTTCTTCGCGATGCTCAAGCTGACACAGTTTAGGCGATTTCAGTTCTTCGGCGACTGGAATTTTCCGTACCGTCAGGTGAGTAACATCAAGGAGCCTGTTTCGGTGTCCTGTGCAGCGCGACGTAGTTGGCTTGCTGCAAAGGCAGAATATCTGTTTCGAGGCAGAGTCAAGGACCCTGGAGGGCCTCTCGGTGGATTTCCGTATAACCTCCCTCCCCGCTCCTGAGTTGCAACAGCAGCAGGAAGAGCTACGCCTTTTGTTGGAGGTGGATGGACCGTCGCATTTCCTAGTTGAATGGTGGGTGTGTAGTAGCCGCACACGCTCCTAATGCTACTATTGCTTTGGCCTGCTGCCCCGATAGCGTGCCGGCTTGTCGGTTGTGCTTGCCACGCAGAGGATGATTGCGCTAGTGGTGAGGCCGAACTACCGAGGGTGCTGTTGCTGCTTTTGCCTCTCTAGACTCATTCGTGTTGCGTTTACGTGCTTGTTGCAGTAGCGAACCGGACAACTCTCCCAGGATTCTGTTGGGCTCTTCGCTATTCAAGGAGACGTTGCTACGTTTCCTGGGTTGGCGCCTTATGAGGCTGCATGCAACCGACGCCGCAAATGCAGCCCGTTGCGCTGTAGCGGCACATCAGGTGCTGCAAAAGCTCATACTGGAAACCTCCAAGCCCCTAGTAGGGGGTTTTAAAGGAATGTGCAGCAGCACCAACCACGGCGAGATCAGCCGTGCGGGCAGCGGACGATGGCTGCGTAACCCTAAGGATAATGGTGTGATGCCTTTTCTGCAGCGGGTCAAGCTTCTGCACAGGCAGCCATAGCAAGTTATTTGCCGATATACGAGCATAGGTTCCCGTCCACTGGAGCTTGAAGCCCTTTGGCTATGTTTGCCGTTCTCTGTTGTGCGTCCCTTCGTTAGAAGCACACGTAGGAGACAAGCCGTGCTGGTACACTAAGAGTTTTGTTGTTTGACGACTTGCATACAATCCGTTCGACGTGAAGGGTAGACAACGAGCACGGGGTGATAGATAGAAGTCGATTAATACTACAGACGGGCAGCAAAGGGAGGTGAATATACCAGCTGGCGCACCGTTGACTAGGGATTGGGCCGAATTGGGGTGTAGTATTCGACAGCTAGGAAAAACCAGAAACATGGGATAAGCATGAACTGTTAGGGGGCAGAGGTTACACTCCAGACAACAGGAGACTGCGTGGAAACTTGTCCCAACGAATTCTCTTTGCCGGCCTGTAGCTAAGTACTATTTTATGATCTGCTGTATCTACTTGGCACTGACGCAGGTTCAGAAACGCAGAAGCAGTGTTCCACAAGCAAGCTTAGTGTTCTTTGCGACTTTTGATGTAGCACGTTAGATGTGGGAGAGCTGCACAGCACTACGACACCTTGGTAGCTTGGCTTATTTCCACAGACGTCCCATACCAGACTACCGGCAAACAACTAAGAGGTCTCAACAGCTCACGATATAGACACTGGAAAGGAGTTATTATGAGACGATGAGGGGACCGCCCTTCGGTTCTTCCTAGTAGATTGCCAGGTGCGTAGAACAAAGGGAAGGCCAGCGGGATCCTAGCAAAGATGAGAAATAGTCGTTGGGGATAAATGTTCGGATAGACTGGGGGGGAACATACTCGGAATAAGCTGAGAAATGTAACTGGTCTCATGGCTATGCAGCAGCTGGCTTTTTCCAGGTTCTCGATTTGGTTGTAGAGTAATGCAAGTTTTGGGCCCTGCCGTTGGGCCTTCTAGAGCAGAGTAGGCACTTGTAACATTGTAACTCGCCTTCCCTCTAAAATCAATCAGCTGCGATTCCGACATATCTGTAATTGTTTTTAGCCTGGAGACGTCGGTAGTGTTTATTGGTCAAACGAGCTGCAGTTTTGTGCTATAGGGCATGGCTTTGTTGAAGAAATGAGAAAAGCAGCGCCCCTGGGGAGCGCCTACAGCTTCAGGGAGGGAGATGAGAAAAAGCCTAGGACTCTGTAAGAGAGAGGGCTGTTACTTTCTTTGTTGTATAGTAGTTTATGAATATGGGCACTCTGGTGCTGATTCATGACACAAAATGGCGAGCAAGGGCAAAAAGCATATCAGGTGAAGGGTTGCACACAGCTTTCGGGTGCAACTATACGACCGCAAGCGCTCTAGGCCAGCTACACATAGCATGCTTATCAGACGAAATTATATGCAAGCTCGATGATGTCGAGTGCTGCAAAGGGGCTTACGACGTCATGCCGTGCGGTGTGGCTTACGCCTCATGTGGTGAGCGCTGAAACAGAAATCTGCATAGCACTTCAAGAAAAACCCGCTCAGCGATGAAGTAATCACTATGTTAAAGAGTGACCAACAGGGGGTGTAAAAGCAAGGGAAATTTGCCCGGGCCAAAGACTAAACACGCGGCACAGGAAGGAGCGTGGGCGTGATTGTGGCAGAGGAAATGGCATCATGTTCATGCCATCTTATAGAGCTGCTGAACACGTAGACAGCAAAGTCTAGATGTTAAAGCAATAGTATACAGGACTCTGGCTCTAACACAAGCATTGTCCCCCATTGTTGCATGCATATACATATTATCCATGCGTTGCATGCAGACAATACTCAGCATGCATCCAGCTGTTGGTAACAAGCAACTTTTGATACCTGTTACTGTGCCTCATTACTTTGCAGTAGAACATGATCAAGGCTAACGTGTCTAGCCATAGCTGCTTATTCACTGTGCGCAAAACGATGAATGTTCCTGCACAATCAGAGCTCTAGCGCCTTCAAGAAACAGGGTATGGACCTTACCAAGATGAGGACTGATTCTGCCGCGTTACTGTTACGAAGGTATTAGACGGTGATCTTAAGTACACATTCCAGAGCCTCGGACATCATAAGACCGGCATAGGACCAGAAAAAGACTCCCTTCCTAGTGTGTCTACGTGTGTTGATTCCCTGTGTCTTGCGGCAGCAAGTAGATCGTTGGTGTATCACTAAGTGAGCTTTGTTACACTCAAGCCTACATGTGGACATTCCTTACATAGGGCGTTACAATGTGGGTCCTAAGCGGTGTAGCTTATGGGAAACCGGCTTGTCTGCTTGGCGTAAAACCGGTTTTGCATATGGGAGTGGCAGTCCAAGTAGCAAGCGCTGACGTGAGGTACTAAAGCATATGTCTGCATGCGTGCAACTGAAGCCCTATGCTTCTGAAGGTAGCGGAAACAGTGGAAAGCTTTTGCTAACAGCAATATGAGGAGGCTTATTGTGCGTAGCTCTGCAATACGTATGTCTACACGTGTCAGCGTACACATAGGTGTCTTTCGTAGACACTTGTGTAAGGTACACATGTGTTTACAGCATTGCAATAGAGCATGTATGTATAGCTACCGAAGACAGCTTATTATGCATACAGATGCATACTATTCTAATAACTGCACACATAACAGATATACATCTATATCTGTCTACGTGTAGGTGTGAGACGAGCTTTAATGGTGACGTGCTGTAGATCTACCTGGGCAATGCTACTGTGTCGACATAGATGGGCATTAGTCGCACGAAGAATCTGCAGAGGCGGCCAGAAAACAGTGGCCGCTCGAACCCACACATCAGCTTAAATTTTAAGCCTCCAATTCTCCCTTGCTTCGAGACCCCAATGTCCAAGCGCGCAACATCAATGCATGCTTCCTGATGAGGAAACCAGTAATGGTTGATTGCTTCATGCTGTGGTTGCGGCACTGAACTGCCTTCACGGATGTTTTACCAAGGCGCAGCTGCTGCCTCGGTGCACCGATAACAGGAGGACCTGTCTTCTGGTTGAATTTTGTGTAGCCCACAAAAACCAACTACCCGCCTTCTAAAAAGCAGCGGCTTTGGGTGACCTGCCTCCTCACACGTTCCCACAGCGCAAAGCTAAACATACAATGCATCAAGGAGGTCCTAGACTGTTTTGATCGGCACCGGGTTACAGGGTAGGATATGAATGCGTAACACACCCTTTTCTGGAATGCTACCGGCTTGGAATCATCACTGCTGCAGCTCTGCTCACCACTGCCTGTACTACTGATGTGATTGCTGTTGCCCAGGCCTTTGCTGCTCATTTTTCCTTTGTTATCTTGAGACTGGGGCACAGGAGTCTTTGAAAGCACGAGCTCTACCACATCATCAGCAGCAAAAAGATCCCTCATAGGTTCGCCATCCTGCTGCTGCCGCAGCTTTTCAAGACGCTGCTGCTGCACTATTTTTTTCTCCAGTGCTGCTTTTTTGGGTGTTTATGCGGCGCAAAGGGCGCATCTGCAGAGCCAGCAGCAGACGCACTGCAGCCCTTTCTGTGTAGCTGAAACGAAGTACAACAGAAGCAGCCACAGTACGAGCAATTGCAGCATTCACCCTTACCTTCGGACACACTTCTCTTCACACACTGCTCCTCGTCCATTGAAGAGGCCGGCTCCGGTTGTTGTGCCGGTGATGGTGGTTGTGGGGATGCTCCTGCGGTAGACGGCTCATGAGCAGGTGGTGAGGCGGCAGCAGTTCCTGAGGAGGCAGCGGCCGCCGTTTTTGCAGAGGGGCGCTTTTGCACCATCCTTTTGCTGACCCGCTGCTCTGATTTAAGCTAAGACATCTCGAGCCTGTTGGTATTGCTACGTTCTGGTGCTGCTTTCGCTCTCTGCAGAGTCTGATGTACCCGTTGCACCTACTGTTTGGGTAGAGTAGAATGAGCCTTGCAAACCGCTGCTCCTGGCGCTGCTTTTAGCGACTACATTGCTGGAACAGGATCAGACGCAATACCAAAAGTTGCAACAACATAATATCACTAGAAGGTACACTTGAGAGCTGCACTGCATCTATCCAAACACTTCATGTTCATGGCAACAAAACGAGTAAGATGTAGGTTGAGCGTCTTAAGTCTTTGCTTATTATTTGTCGCCTCAGGTGTGTCCATGAGCTTTGATAATGTCTCTCGTTTCAGCGGTTATGGTTGGATGCATGCACATGTACATAGGGATGGCCACCGCTTCTGCAGACGGATATGCTCTGTCTGTAAAGGTAGTCCTCTCCTGCGGCAGCAGCAGCAGCACTGGCTATGCAGCCGAGCATCTACAGTAGGCGTTGGAGCAGCGATATTGCTATTCTTTGTTGACACTCTCGACGACTTCGAGCAGGAGCCAACGCCTGCCATCGAGGATCAGGCCATTCGAACCCGTGGGCCTCAGGCACCTAGCCCGCCGAGAGGATCCGTGGAATTCGAAGTCTTGCATGGAGGGTATCGTGGTGTTCGAAGGCTGCCTGAAGGGTTAGGCCTAATTGATTGAGGTCCAAGAATAGCGTTTGGCTGTATGACAGGAACACGCTCGTGAGGTCGATGCGCTCTTATTTCTTTGTGCCACTACTAAGCGAAACTTAGTCTCTGTACAGCCCCTCTTCTGTATGTGTATGGCAAGCGCTGCCAAGCAAGTCAACGGCTTCAAAGTCCAATCTGTATGATTTCTGAAAAGTAGACGGTCACATTTGATATTCTGCCAACCACCACTTGAAAGTTTTTGTGATCGTCCCAAGCCTCAACAGTTATTCGCTAAAGTACAAGATTTAGGAATGGTGGCTTAGAGCCTGTTGTTATGCAAGCAGTGCGCATGGCGCTAACACTGCAGACAATCTTACTGCAGAGAATGCATGGGCGCGCTGTGCATATAGAATATCCAAGAATAACTTTTGCCTAGGCATATGTCGCTATGTCGTAAGCCCCAAAATGCCCTACTTACAGGGTGCCTCTTAGACATTCCCAGACACCTGAATTATGGGAAAGCCTGGGATTATGTACAGAATCTAACATTAATGCTCTCATCAAATCCAATAGGAGCATGCAAGCCTCATTGAACTTCAGCAGTAAATTGGGGCGGAGGTAACTCAAGACTACAGCCTGGGTGTTGTTGGATACCAAATCAAGCGTTTGCATTATGATTCGACTCTAGGTGTTGGTGTCAGCCCTCACGCGTTTAGCCGCGCGCATTAGCAGCGCTATATGGGCACGCAAATCTACTAGCGGCATTCAAATTAGCATTGGAGTCTCGGTACACCCTAATTTCAAGGCGATCGGGGGGGCGCGCGGACACTACTTGTCTATTGCCTTTCGCTACACAATCAAGACACTACGTGAAGGCGCTCAGTAGTGGCCATGGCATATGGCTTGTGTTGGATTGTGTTATATGGCAAAGCAGAGTTTACGATGTGGTCCGTACTCGGCCTCCTTTTGCTTGATAGCTCCAGTCCTACTGTGTATAAGGTCCACTGCCTGCGGTG